CTGATGGATCTCGCCCGATACAAAAAACATCGTGAATTGCGTTTAGTTCAACGGGATCACCAGCCTGAGTACCAGTACAATGAGCCTCGACATAGGTTACTTTAGTGGGATCAAGACCAACTTCGGTGTAGGTTTCATAAATCAATTGTCGTTGTAAATCGACCGATGGAAATGAAATACCCTGATCTTTATAACCATCGATATTGGATCGAGAATTAACTATCGTTGAGTAAATACGTTTAGAATCGGGTGCTTTTTGTAAAACAATACAACAAACGCCTTCAGATCTTCCATAACCATCAGCTGATTTATCGAGACATTTTGATCTACCATAACGGGAAACCATTTGTAGGTCACGAAATTGTTCAGTAACAAATGGGACTAAGCAAATGTTGAATCCAGCAAACAAAGCTCTATCGCAAATCCCTGATTTAATTGTTGCGAATGCTTCATTCAGTGCTGAAAACTTGACCCACATGCAGTGTCGAAATGACACACTGGTCCATTCAGATCGAAAATATAAGGAACCAATGTTGCATACATTTGTTTGTATTCAGGATACTCAAGTGGCTCTTCACCCCAGGCTATTTCAGTCTCTGCACATGATGACCCATAGAAAAATCCAGTTTTAGATCCTCTTAATGATTCAATGGACAAACCTTAAATGTAAACAGATATAATTCAGTGTCAATTGGCAATGTTAAAAATTATCTTAATGATGTTTATATTTCTGGTCATTCTTGGTATAATTAATTTTTATTCAAAACAATTAAGCTAAAATCCTTTAGAAGCCATGAGAGAGTGGTCGTTCATCTTCGAGTGCTAATATCTCCGAAACTGAGGTATGACTGGTAATGTTTTTGACTAATTTTTTAAAATTGATTAGCGGCTGACTGGATAGACTTATTGACTTTATTCAAACGTTATAATTACGATTAACTCTCTGGCTACAATTGATGAAAAATTCAATTTCATGATGATTACGATTGAAAAAATACGGAGGGCCAAATGGGGAATCGTCTTCTTTTGGATCTAATTCTCTTGAGAGTTGAGATCAATTTATGAAAATTAACATGTAACATGGCCTATGCAAATGTCAAATATGAAAATCTCAGCACTAAAGGCCATTTTGTTATTAAATTTTGAAGTTGATTTTAATGAAAATGATATTCAATTAGTTTAGGAACTTGGGCTGGATTGAGGCAATTCGCTGATCTTTTTTCTTATTACTAAATTATTTATTGTAATATCCGACTAGAATTTAGATCAATTGCTCGAATAATTAACCAAATAATAGAAAAATAACATTAACATTGGTTTGTATGGAAATTTAACTTTCGAGTTCGAACTTTTGTCCATAAAAAAGCCATTTATCGACATTTTTCTGAAATTTTTTCTAAGGTTAAATAATAGTCCAGAAATAGGTTATAATTAGTTTTTAATCGTCGAAATTCTAGAAAAAACTTTTATCTAATTATTTATTCGAGCATTAGAAAGTATTTTTTGCATTCGAGAGATAGAATTTCCATAAAATTTTGTCTATTTTTGTTCAAAATTAGGTATCGCAGTCTGTTTTCTAAAAATACAACGGAATTGTGGCCGGAGCACTTTAGATATTTTGGTAAGATCTTAGTTAATGGTTGGAGGTGTGGCCAATGGTTAGTTTTCACACTAATCTTATCAATTAATCGATTTAATTAATTAACATGAGACCTTATGATGAAGACTATTGTTTTTTTAAAATGAGTTTCCATGAGTTTGATTTTTCTAAATTAACTTTAGTTAATTTTGATTCAATGATTACATGTGACCGTGAAATATTACCTGGGTTTGAGTTTGCTAAACATGTTAAATTGATCAATGCCCCTAAAGCCCATCGATGTGTCGACTCTAATTGTGACGGTGTAATGACTATTGAGAAAAGAGATTCACTCAAATTGAAATACCGGTACCACTGCAACAAGTGCAACGCAGTACTTAACTTAGCCCAATATACATGGTTTTCAGGTAGCCGGTTGGATGTGTTGATGTCGTTGAGGTTGATATTTTTTTGGACAACCAAATGCTCAGTAAATTTTACCGCTAAAGCCCTTGGGCTAAATAAAAATACTGTGCTTAATTACTTCAGCGAGTTAAGAGAGATATGTATTAATAAATGTACTGACAACAAGGTAAAAATCGGTGGTGATGGTCATGAGGTCGAGGTGGACGAAACTAAGGTTTTTCACAGAAAAAGTCATCGTGGTCGTTTAACGTTTCAAGAGAGAAAAAAGTCGTGGGTTATTGGAGGCATTGATCGTGAAACAAATGCTTGTTTCGCTGAGCTGGCAGCCGACCGAGGATCTGAAACAATTAAGGTGCTAATAACCCGACGTGTTCACCAAAAAACTCGTCTATTGACGGACAAGTGGAGATCTTATTTGTGTCTCAATAATTGTGGTTATGTAGTGAACCAAGTTAATCACTCGAAAAATTTTGTTGATCCAAATGATCCGACCGTCAACACACAAAAAATAGAGAGAAACTGGCGCTCACTTAAGGCCTGCTTACCGAAAAGTGCACATGGAAAAGGTCGAAGTAGTTACATAGAAGAATTTGTCTATCGGAAAACATATTTTACGAAAAATTTTGGTTCTAATTACTCGATTGTACTACAAGATATCGCTTCTTTCTATCCGGGTTGTTTCTTATATGAATGAGTGAATTAAATCGATTAATTGATAAGATTAGTGTGAAAACTAACCATTGGCCACACCTCCAACCATTAACTAAGATCTTACCGATATTTTTTTACCAAAAAAATTTGATTCTCTGTAAGGACATGAAAAGTTGTCGATGGAATAAAAAATTCATGATCTGGAAACGTATCGTTGCTGAGAAAAAGCGACCTTTCAACTTCGAGCTTGCTTTTCTCGAAAACTACTGATCAGATAAAAAAAAAATAAAAAAATGTATTTGGACTTCATATTTGTGATCCTACACAAAGTTTTAGCTCTTAACTCAAAACTAAAATTTGATTTGATTATCTCTTACCTGAATCAATGATCGCCTCATAAGTGACCTCCAATAATTTCCTTAATTGTGGATCCATATGATGAGCTTGATATTCGGGGATCGAAAAAAATTGAGCATCGAATTTGTTTAAATTACAAACTTTTCCACTTGCTTGAGGTAAACCATTATGACCTGTAAATCCATTCATTCAACGTATAAAATATAATTAATAACTAGCAAGAATAATTAAATGATCCATTTAATTAGAGAACAATTGTTTCTTTCTTAAGGTATGACTGGTAATGTTTTGGATTAATTTTTTAAAATTAATATCAACTCTTCTATTCCTTATCTTATTTCATGGAATAGTCCAAAAGTCTTGTGAGTAAAGGAGATTGATTTTATCTTAAATTGTATCGATATCATTGTTAGCACAAAGTTATCATAGTTGGAAATTTGATGAATAATAATAATAAAATAAATATAAATAATAAATTATAAGAAATGCAAAATAATAATAAAGGTAAAGCGAAAGAATATGCAAATTACTGATAGAGATAATGGATTTTTGACTTATAGCCTTAGGTAGGTTTAGGTTTTTATCGGAAACTCAAAAAGCGTAATTCGAAATATTTTCATAATGATTAAATCATACAGTCCATTGAACCGATAAGCAGTAATTGTTGATATTAATTACTGATGAATTTATTTACCTGAACGGAATCGATCATTTCCTCCGGTCATTAGATCAACTGAATTAAATAAATTTTCAATAAATTCATCCACTGATTCTGATTTCGGAAATCGTCCAGACATTCCTGAGATGACCACATCCTCTTTCACTTTCCATTTACGATGAATAAAGTTATCGTTATATTTAATATCCATTATTTTAGTTTTGTTAATTGGACAATAAAGAAATAATATGAATTATTGTTAATTAGAACGCTTAAAAAATGAAACAAGTAAAGGATGAGTATACAAAATTCAGAATTTCACTTATATATTTAGAGTATAAGACGATCAAGGTTCTTTCGAGCATTGAATATAAAATTACAATTGTAAAGTTGATGATAGATTAATAGGAAAAGTTATCGGTTAGATTATTAAGATAAATGCGATGTATATTCGCATTATCTGAGTGCATCGTAGCTCCGCCTGATCGGAACCTCTTTCAGGGCCAATTCTGTTTTCGTTGATTCCTTTGGACACTCAGAAATTTTAATACAATAAGTTTATCGAGAATAAAACAAAATCAAAACAGAAAATTAATGACAATTAAGTATAATTAACTTACTCTCTCTTGAAAAGTTCAAAATTGATTAATATTGTTGCAATTCAACATGTTTGATTAACTTGTTAGCTTTTAATTTAATTATCCTTTACGAACTTTCATTTAATTAATTGATATGATTATAATCAGAATAATTTTCGCCTTTTTGTTTTCTCTGAATTAAGATGAAGATAATAAGAGTTATTTTCCAAATAATTTCAGAACTCTTAAACTGCTCTAAGATCAATAGTTATTTAATTATTCTGACGTAAAGTGATTAAAATTATCATTTAATTTAATTGGATGTGATTAAAGCAAAAAGATACAAAAACTTTTCTTTCTCAATTTATAAACTTACATTTTGATTAACCTTCGATGAAACGAAAACAAGATTAATTTTCTCGAGATAATCGGAATCAGATAGATTGATTCTTATCGATTAGATAGTTGATTGTAAAGTTTAATTATAATAAAGATAATTTGATAACATGAAGGTTAACATAAAATTATGAGGGAACTGAACTTGTTGTTTATCAAATTGATAATATCAATAATAAAACTGATGATTAATTGTTGTTTTTAATTACATTGTTATTGTATCAATGTTACTTGTTTATTTGTCGGTATTAAGTCAATCGGTAACTGAATTTGTTGATTAAAATCTTGTGAGTGAATTATTTGCATTTGATGATCATCAAAACTCAGGCCTTTAGTTAATTATTAATAGATTAAATTAATTCAAAATATTAATTTAATAATTATGCAAACAATTAAAAGTACATTTGTATTATTTTCTTAGTGGATTTACTTGTAAATCAATCTTGTCAAGAAAACTTTTCAACGATTTATAGTTGATATTAACTTGACTTTATATTTATCGATATTTACGAAATTATGAATTTATATCCTAAACAATTGCTGATTATAATTCTTGGTTATTAATTCAATTAGATTATTGGGTGTTTGTTATATCGTTATTATTATCATCTTCTTGGATAATGAAGAAATTGTTTGTTATTTTCTCGATAGCGTCCAAATTTGATCCAATTACCGTGTGATGATTACCATCGAAAAAGTGTTCGGTTCCAAGCTAAGAGAAAATCGCATAAATAATTAGTAAACTGTGGACAAGATCAGATTGGTTATTCAATTGATCAGTAGCTTTGAACTTTACTTTGGTTTTTCTTACTTTGAATTGAGTTTGTTTTGCATTTTGTAGTAATGGTAGATCAGTTTTAGCTCGAATATGAATTATTTCAGTTTTTCGATTTCATTTTTGGTGAATAATTGGCAAGAATTTGTGCTTTTTGAAAATTAAGTTCATTTACTTTAGAAATCATATCTGCTTTATCTTCGGGAATTCCTTTATCGATCATTATTTTTGTGAATTTTTCGAATCTTTCTTTTCGATTGGAGCAATTAGCTATTTCAGCATCGAATTGATTTGGGTCGAAATTCGCTAAAATTCTTTTCATTACACTCTTAATAAACTCAGTCTCTTGGGTACTCAAAGGAGCATCATCGATACGATTTTTGAGAGTTTCTACCACGTTTTTCAACTTTTCAGGATCAGCATCTATTAGAATTAATTTCTCGATAATAGGTCCACTTCCGTTGGACACAAATCGAGTTTCCAATTCACAAGCGATATTATAAGCAATAATTCCTCCAAAAGAATAGCCAATCATATGTAACTTGTCACTTGGTGAATGACATTTGGTCAAATAATCAGCATAATAATTTGCTGCAGACTCGATTGATGTAAGAGAGGAAAGATCGTAGGTCCAATTAAGTCCAAGTGCTGGTCTTTTGATACGATCAATTAGACCATTCAATATATCATAATTTCCTTCAAGGGGAGGAACATAATAGATCGGTCTGAATGAATTTGATTCTTTTAATGCACTATTTAGATTGCTGGTTATTGTTTTTGGAACTTGCAGAGATAAAAGTGACCCTGTCATCGTATTTATTTCACTCGATTCATTTACGCCCAAGCTGTTATTTGTCAGAGATTCTGATGTTTGTTTACCATTTTTAATTTTGTTTGATAATTCCTTTAATTTAATGATGGTTAGAGCTCGAATCTCCTTCGAGTTCATTGAGACACTGTACTGTTTCTCTAAAACTTGTTGAACTTCAATCGCCATCAACGAATCCATACCGAGTTCACCTAAAGTAACATTTGGATCAAGTGAGTTAACATCTTTGAAACCCAAAATATGACAAATTGAACTGACTATGTCTCCAGATCCAGTTGAAAAGCTTTTGGTATCAACTGATTTCACCAAACTTGACAAAACAGGAACAGGATAAACCAATGCTCGTTCTAGTACAGAGAAACAGGAGTGAATTCGTTGAGCTTGTGTACCTCGAATAGAATCAACTTGAACTCCGAATTTTTCAACAACAAATCCAACATCACCAACGTATCCCCATTGGATCGCTAGACCATGAAGTCCATGTTTGAATCTCTCTTGACAAATCGATTCCATATAAGAATTGGCTAATCCATAGTTAGATTGACCTGTATTACCTCGTCCACAAGCGACTGATGAAAAGATGACAAAATAATCAACTGGAGCCATTGATCGAGTTAATTTATCTAAATTCTTTGTTATTTTTACTTTAGATGAACAAACTTTTTCATAAGTTTCAGCATTTTGATCGGATATTAAAGCATCAGACAAAACGAGAGCACAATTAAATATCCCACCAATTGGATAAGGTGAAAGGGATTCGAAAAGCGAACAACAATCTTGTTCATTAGTTAAATCGTGTGTCGATATGATGACATTAGCACCAAGTGACTCTAATCGATCCAAAGACAGTTTATGATAAGACGTCTTAGGTCCTGATCGAGAATTAAGAACCAATTGACGAACACCTTTTTTGACCAACCAAGATGCTAATTCCAAACCAAATCCACCGAACCCGCCGATAATAATATAAGCTTTAGTTGGATAGAAAATCGGAGATCTAATTGCCAATGGGATCGATTGAGCTTCATGTATATTTTTCAATGCTTCTGTGGTAGAATTAATTTCGTCATCTAGAATCCTAACCAAGACTTTCCCAATATGTTTACCTGTAGCCATAAATCGAAAAGCCTTTTCAACCTGATTTATTTCGAAAACTTTTCGTGGAAGTGGCTTAACTGCTCCTGAAGCGATTCCTTGGATCATAAATGATCTAATTTCCTTTCTGGCTGGTTCCAAATTGTCTTTTTCACCGACCATATGACTTGAAGTGTTGAAAAACAAATCGAGTAAAATACTATGGAAAGTTCGACCCTCATCGAAAAGTCCCACGTTAATCTTATTATTCTGCATCATGTCATATTTACCGATTTCAAGGAACCGACCACCCGGTGCTAAACATCTAACACTTGCTTGTAGTTTGTCCTCAGATAATGAATTGAGAATCACATCAACACCTCGACCATTTGTGTGCCTAAGAATATGTTCTTCGAATGTAGTTGATCTCGAATGAGCGAAACTCGTCTCGTCGAGTGAAGGAAATTGTTCTTGGAGAAACTTCCGTTTTTCGTCTGTACCAACCGTTGTAAAGATTCGACAATTCATACTAAGACAAATGTTTATCGCTGCTATTCCAACTCCTCCAGTTCCTGCATGAATAAGAACAGATTCTCCTTGATGAAGTTTACCACGAATCAATAGACTATAAAGCGCAGTTGCATAAACAACCGGTACGGTAGCTGCATCTTCCATGGTCCATGTTGAAGGAATAGGCCAACTGAAATCATTTGGCCCAATTATGAGTTTAGTCGCTAATGCTCGATGAGGGACAAGACCCATAATCCTGTTACCATTCGAATCGACACCAGCATATTCTAATCCGATTGGTGTTGGCATTTCTATTGGCGTGCGCCAATCGGGATTCAGATTAGAAGGTAGTCTTCCAGTCGTATGCATAATATCTTTGAAATTAAGAGACGAATAGTTGATTGTCACGAGAGATTGACCTTTTTTAGGGTCAGGAATTGGATTGAATTGAGTCCATACAAGTGATGAAAGATCACCAGGAATTAAACATTGGACATAAGCATCTTTACTTAGGATTAAACATTTGCTATCGGTCTCTGGTTTTGTCGGTATCTCGAAGTGACAATAATCTCCCCATCCGAGTTTATCGTCATAAATATTGAATTTACAATCATTGGTTATTAGTTGACGGAAAATTGAACTATGCAAATCGATTGATGATAAATCGATTCCTTTAGAACCAGGTTGAAGAGCAACACAACGAATTCGAGATCCATAAGGTTCTAAACTCAGACATTTAGCTAAACCAAGTACACTCACATCGGAAACATTTTGACTTATCAACCAAATGATTGATTCCTCATCAGCTTTTATTTCATCTTTGAGATTATCGAGCCACGAATATTCAAATGGATTAACTCGGATAATCTTATGTTTTTCAAGATTAATCGACTCTGGTAACTTTTTGAACATTAATCCGACCAAAGGTAACGAATCAGGTGAAAGGGTTCGTTTACTTATACAAACCCAATTATTTTCTTTCATTTTTTCAATTAGTACATTTGAGTCAATTGAATGCGGAAGAAAATCTTTCAATAGATTTTGAACAAATAGATTCGATCTTAGACTTTCTAGGTTAGATGAGTTCTCTCTAGTCAATACTAACAAATGACCATTGGGTTTTAGAATCGATTGAATTTTTTCGATATTCTCGATTAATGAATCAATTGACTGATTAGATAGTTTGTAAATAACTAAATCATTTTTACTCAAGTCGCTTGGAGCTGGTGATTCATTGATATCCCAAACAATTGTATTCACAGCCGAAAGTTTATCAGCAATTTCTGGCTCAGGTACAGTTGATCTCACCAGAATATAATCTGATTTGATCAATCCTAATGATTGAAGCTCGATAAATGATTTGATAGAATCAAAGAGGAAAGCTTGAGAATCATTGATTTCGACAATTTTGGAGTTCGAATTGTCAGAACTGTTATAGACTTGATAATTAGCTGCTGTATTTACAAAAGCTTTCAGAAATCGTGGATCTGAATGAAGAACTGCATTTGTACCAATCAACATGTCATCAGATAGTTTAGAGGTAATTTCTATTGTTGGTGTTTCTCCTCGACACAAACAGATTAAATAATTAGCCAATGAATGTTGATCTTTTTTCAGGTCAATTGTATTCGAAAATGATTCCATTTCCTCTGCGCTAATCTCAATCGAGGTTAGAGTCTTTTTTTTAAACAAATCAATTAGTTCAAAAATCATTGCTGAATAAGATTCGATTGATTGTAAGGTCATTTCATCGACTACACAACTTTCATGAAATGGAACAAAGTCATAGGTCTCGAGTGTAACTGATTGATTTCGTCGATTTGCATCGGATGCGAGGAGACCTTTGATCCAAATACCATCGGTCATAACTGTCTGAGTTATCGGGTCGTGATACACATCAAATTCTGGATTTTTTCGTCTGGATGAGTCTCCATTCGAACTTTCATCCTCAGATGGATTTGCGTTTGGTGATTCAGAAGCCTTTTGTGTATCATTTAGATGCAAGGATCTATTGAATCGATTAACTGTTTCCATGATAGATACTGGATCACAGATTAATGATTGGAAACCTGTAGGAATATAAAGGTCACGATTCTTTTGACTTGAGAGCAAAATTAACTGTAAAGCTGAATCAGTAAATGTTACCCAAGTTTTCAGAAAACTGAAAATTCCGGCTTGAGTTCTTTCTAACATGGATGAAGCTTTTAACTGCGAGCTATTCGGTTCTCGCCATTCAACTTTTCCATGTAATCCTGAGCTCGAAGCTGAAGTTAATTTCTGGAAATGTGGACCATAATCGTAACCACGAACTCGTAACTCTTTATAAATATCATCAGTATTTAGATTGTAATCACTAGTTTCTTCAATTCTCAATTTAGGGTTAGAAGTTTTAACAAGATCCAAATCTGGATTACCAAAAGCTTTACCAGAAGCAACAATATCATTACTTTCAATGATATTAAAAGTCCCGTTATCAGGTGAATATTGGACGCTAAATTTGATATCCCTTTTTGGAAGAACTGTAGCTCGAATCAATCTGATGTCACGAAATTCAATTGGAAATTTTGTCGGTACGGATCCGTGACATTTAGCAACCGTGTACCAAACAAGCATCAATAACCCAGTCGCTGGATAAAGGATTCGACCATCGATTTTATGATCGGCCAAGAACCAATCTTCAGAATCAGTGAGATTAACTGTGAAATTATTGGTGGTTGTTAATTTCGTTATATTGAAGTATTCAGGATATTTGAAGACTTTCCAATCGGCCGAATGATCAAATTTGATTAATGAATTAAGTGAAAGAGTATCAACTGGAACAGGATAATTAACAGTTGGATATAAATGTTCAAGACAATAATCGATTCCTTGGTCAGCGTAAATTTTACCTAAACAGGTAAATAAACTTTCACCAGATAGAAAACCTTCATCGTTGTTGGATAAATTATATTGAATAAAATTAACAGTTGGACTTTTTGAATTGACGATTGTTTTCGGTGCATAGAATGGTTGCTCATCAATAGTAATTATTATCGTTGCGGCTTGTGTAAGCTTTTTAACCATTTGAATGTAATGATCTGAGAATAAAATTGTCTTGATCATGTGACTTTTGAATTTATTGATAACTTCTTGATTCCGTCCTGGATTCATTAAGATATTTTTATCTAAACCATTGAAATATCCACGATCGTCAATTGATTCTCCAGACCATTTAATCGTTATATTAGCAAGTTGTAGATTGATGATCGAATAAAATATTTCTTCATAATGTCCTGAGATGATACATGATTTACCTGATGTTTTCTTTGTGAGTTTTATTCCTTCTGATAAATGAGGTTTAATTTGTTCATATGACGATAAAACTTCAATTGTTGGATTGATTATTGATTGGTCTTTTATTTGGAAGAAATGTCCAAACCAATAAGCCATTAGAATGACTTCTTGTTCAGTCATCTTATTGTTGGCATAAAGATTAATCAAAGATCCAATTGTTGGAATCACAACTCCATCGATATTTAATTGTATCGATTTAAATAGATTAACAAGCGCCAATTGAATAGCAATTGATTTAACAATCGATTCCAAAGGGTTGATAACTTCCATCTCACCAAAAACGAGATCAAATAAATTCGATTTAAAAGGTTTGAGGTAAGATACTAATCTATTGATGGTATCAGAGAAAACAGGTAAATCTTTAAGATTTGGATCAACGTTGATTAGATTTGTTGATGATGTTAAATAGACTTTTTTATGCTCAACTGAATCGAGTTGATTTCCAATGAAATGTTTCATTGAATATTTTCCAGGTTCTCCTTCAATCAATGTGAATCCACGATGAGACATTTTACGAGTTTTCGAATATTCATTAAGAAGATCGAGAAATGATCTGGTTAATTTATTGACCGATGATTCGAGATAATTTTGGACATGTTTTATGCCCTCAACTGAACGACCAGGGATATTTACTAATCGAGGGCATTTTGATAAAGTTAAATTGAACTCATCAGCCGATGATCGGACGTCATGACCTCGGAGAATAACATGAACATTAGCACCACCGAAACCAAAGCAACTCAGTGAAATAATTTCACCTTTGAAAGGAGTAATGGTTGTAACTGGAACAATTGTCTTATTCATTAGTCCTTCAATTCGAGGATTAGGACTCTCGAAATTTATATTTGGAGGGATAAGACCTTTTTGAAATACCATGTTGGCTTTAACTGTAGCGCAAAGACCTGACGCGGCCTCAGCATGTCCCATATTAGATTTTAAACACCCAACTTTCAGCGGGTCTGATGGATCTCTACCAATACAAAAAACATCGTGAATTGCGTTTAGTTCAACGGGATCACCAGCCTGAGTACCAGTACAATGAGCCTCGACATAGCTCACTTTGGTTGGATCAAGATCAACTTCAGTGTAAGTTTCGTACATCAACTGTCGTTGTAATTTGACCGATGGAAATGAAATACCCTGATCTTTATAACCATCGGCATTGGATCGACAATTAACTATCGTTGAGTAAATACGTTTAGCATCTGGTGCTTTTTGTAATACGATACAACAAACGGCTTCAGATCTTCCATAACCATCAGCTGATTTATCGAGACATTTTGATCTACCATAACGGGAAACCATTTGTAGGTCACGAAACTGTGTAGTGACAAATGGTATTAAGCAAATGTTGAATCCAGCGACCAAAGCTTTATCACAAATTCCTGATTTAATTGCTGCGAATGCTTCATTCAGTGCTGAAAAACTTGACCCACAGGCTGTGTCGAAGTGACCTATTGGTCCTTTCAGATCGAAAACATAGGAAATCAATGTTGCATACATTTGTTTGTATTGAGGAAACTCAAGTTGCTCTTCCGCCCAGGCTATTTCAGTCTCAGCAAATGATGACCCATAGAAAAATCCAGTGTTAGTTCCTCTTAATGATTCAATTCCCAAACCTAAGGTATAAACAGATAAATCCCAAAGAATTTGAGTTTCCAGACTTTTTTAATCATTTTAAATTGTTATTTACAATTCAGGTGAAATATTATAATAGCTGATTGATTAAAATAAGTAAGTATATTCCAAAAACACGTGTCATTCAAATTCAATTTCTCAAACAATTTCGACAGAAAGTTTGGCCATACTTGTCACTTATATCAATAAATTACGAATTGATATTAATGAAAAGTTTCGATCATTATATTTTAAAGGCATTATTGTCAATTGAATTTAGTTTGATTTTAGAGCTCAATCCGTTTCATTCCTTACACCCTTTAATTATTTTTTAATTCAATCAATTTGAACCTAAAGACTTAACTCTGATTCGGTCCATTATAATTGCCACAATTCAATATTTTTGTAACTAAAAATATTGGTTCTAAGTGTAGCAAGACTAACTAATGAACTAATGATTCGTCTAAATAAAAAATTTCAATCAAGATTGTAATTGACTTAAATCATTTCTTACCTGAATCAATGATCGCCTCATAAGTGACTTCCAACAATTTCCTCAACTGTGGGTCCATGAGATCTGCCTGATATTCAGGGATCGAAAAAAATTGAGCATCGAATTCATGTAGATTACAAACTTTTCCACTTGCTTGAGGTAAACCATTATGACCTGTAAATTAATCGATTGAACGTAGACTATTAAAAAGTAGCAAGAATTTTCTTGAGGACATCAAGAAGAAAATGGTAAATGTAGAAAATGATCTGTTTCTTTTAATAACGCATATGAAATGAGTATATTCAAAATTTTATGGTTACTTTTTCACTTCTATTCTACTCTTCTACTTCTATTATCCTTGTTCTACAGAAAAGTATGAGAATATTGTGAATAAAGAATTTTACATTCAATTTATAAACATCGTTGAAATTATTATACATATGTAACAGTTAGAAGTTTGCTCGATGCATTGTAAGAAAGGAAAAGAAAGAAAGAAAGAAAGAAAGAAAGAAAGAAAGAAAGAAAGAAAGAAAGAGAGAGAGAGAGAGAGAGAGAGATTCTCTCAATGATTCAAAAATTAGTATACAGCCAAAGACTTTGAGTTTGCAACCACTTTTTAAATCATTCACGCAGTCAATGACAAGCAAATAACTTTTGATATCTGACCAGTTGACCATTTTAAGACTACATCACTTAAATTAGTGGACAAACTTATCATCATATCTCTGGGTTAACTTTATCTCTCATTGATTATATTCAACTGCGTGGATGATTTAAAAAGTGGTTGCGAACTCAAAGTCTTTGGTTGTATATAAATTTTGACCTTTAGCTTTATAAATTCGGTAAAGTTTTTTCTGATTGAGACTAACAAAAACTAAATTTTACGTATGTTTATAGCTCAAGGTAAATTCTTCTCGGAAAATCAAAAAATCGTAATAATTTTATGTTGACTAAATCATAAAATCCATTAAACCGATAAGCGGTAATTTTTGATAATTAGTAATTAATAAATTTATATACCTGATTGAAATCGATCATTTCCTCCGGTCATCATATCAACTGAGTTAAATAGATTTGCTGTAAATTCATCCACCGAATCTGATTTTGGGAATCGACCAGACATTCCCGAGATGACCACATCCTCTTTCACTTTCCATTTACGATGAATAAAGTTATCATTGTATTTAATATCCATGATTTTTGTGTTGTGAATTGAAATGAAAATAATTAACTAGAATAATTGGAAAATAAGACAAGTTGAGCATAAAAAATACAAAGTTAAACTTTTATTAAAAATATAAGATCAAGATTCGTTGGAGAATCGAATTTAAAATTACAATTGGAAAGTTGAAGATGAACTAACAAGAGAGTTATCGGTTAGATTATCGAGATATATTCAGATCATCTGAGTGAGAAAGTGTATCATAGCTCCGCCTGATCGGAACCTCTTTCAGGGCCAATTCTGTTTTCGTTGATTCCCTTGGACACTCAGAAATTTTAATACAATAAGTTTATCAAGAATAAAACAAAATCAAAACAGAAAATTAATGACAATTAAGTATAATTAACTTACTCTCTCTTGAAAAGTTCAAAATTGATTAATATTGTTGCAATTCAACATGTTTGATTAACTTAATTTGTTAATTGAACGTCAATTAAGCTCATGTGTTACCGATTTTTAGTTGTTAGCTTTTATTAATAATTTAATTATCCTTTACGAACCTTCATTTAATTAATTGATATGATCATAATCAGAATAATTTTCGCCTTTTTGTTTTCTCTGAATTAAGATGAAGATAATAAGAGTTATTTTCCAAATAATTTCAGAACTCTTAAACTGCTCTAAGATCAATAGTTATTTAATTATTCTGACGTAAAGTGATTAAAATTATCATTTAATTTAATTGGATGTGATTAAAGCAAAAAGATACAAAAACTTTTCTTTCTCAATTTATAAACTTACATTTTGATTAACCTTCGATGAAACGAAAACAAGATTAATTTTCCCGAGATAATCGGAATCAGATAGATTGATTCTTATCGATTAGATAGTTGATTGTAAAGTTTAATTATGATCAAGATAATTTGATAACATGAAGGTTAACATAAAATTATGAGGGAACTGAACTTGTTGTTTATCAAATTGATAATATCAATAATAAAACTGATGATTAATTATTGTTTTTAATTACATTGTTATTGTATCAATGTTAATTGTTTATTTGTCGTAGGACTTTATTGAGAAATTATAACAATCCATTTAATTTACTGGAATTGTAACAAGCACAGACAATTTATATCAACATTCAATTGATCAAATTACAGAGCCAATGATCATTAATTATTGATTCCAAAGGGTATCAAAAATAAAACACATTGATCTCTAAAATTAAACTAAATTCAATTGATTTTAGATAATTGTTATCTAAACAAATCGGTAACTGAATCTGTTGATTAAAATTCTCGTGAGTGAATTGTTATCATTTTATCATCATCATAACTCAGGCCTTTAGTCTAATTATCTTGAATTAAATATTAATTTAATAATTAAGGCGTTGAATAATTATGCAAACAATACTAACAATTAAACAACATTAGTATTACGTTCTTAGTGGATTTGCTTGTGAATCAATTTGTCAGTTAATCATGTCAAGAAAACTTTTCAAAGGTTAATGGTTGATAAAAAAAGCGGAATCAGATAGATTGATCCTCATCGATTAGATAGCTAGTTGTACGGTTAATTATAATCATGATAATTTAATATCCCGAAGGTTATGAAGAACTAAACTTGTTGTTTATCAAAATAAAACTGATGATTAATTATGGCTTTCATCACTATAGAATTAGTGATGAACGATCATCGATCGAAAATATCGATCCATGTTCCACCAAATTTCTCTAATAGTTTTACTCAATTTTAATCAATAAAAAGTTCGCACCATTGACTACGAAGCAGAGATATTAATAATTGCTTTTACTTTTGTTTCTTTCTTTTCCCTCTGTTTGCAATGATAGATTTTCTCGCAAAATCGATCGGTCAATTTTATTCTAAATAGGGTCGACCGACTTATTGATTCGGATCGGTGACCGATCATCGGTCCATCACTATTTTCAATTACATTAGAATTGTATATCACTTTTATCGGCCGTATAATTTTATTTACAGTCAAACCATTTAGGTTGAACCAAGTTTCTATTTAGCACAGAATATTTTCTATTTAGTTTGGACATGCCATCGGCTAATCCATCGGGATAATCTCTTTTCTCTAAAAGGGTTGGAATTTTTTCTATTTCCACGGGAAGATTTTCTATTTAGTTTGAACATTTTCTTCTGATTTTTTATCATTTCTCCTTCGAGACTTGTTTAAATGTAAATCATCATGTTCTCATAATAGTTGATTTAATCGTTTGCAGTGGCCATTTAACTTGCAAGATCAACTCATTGAAAAACATCATCAGGTGTATTTGGGTTGAATCGATTATAATTTTCGACAATTGGTTTTTCTTTTCTTTACTAATTTAACCATAATTCTGAATAGCATAAAAAATCAGAAAAAAATGTTCAAACTAAATAGAAAATCTTCTCGAGGAAATAGAGAAAATTTCAACCTTTCTAGAGAAAACGGATTAACCCGATGGATTAGCCGATGGAAAGTTCAAACTAAATAGAAAATATTCTGAGCTAAATAGAAACTTGGTTCAACCTAAATGGTTTGACTGTAAATGTCAAAAACAATTCATTCACTTAAACAATTAATAGACACAATCATTACAAAAATTTGTCGGAAAATTTTAATTAATTGTCTAACAAGTTACTAAGTTACAAAGTCGATTAGTATAGTTCTTGATTGAAAGTGAAAAAAATGGGAGACCCTCCTTAGATTGTTTATTGATTTAAATGTCAAGGAAACTTTCAACTTAAGATTAATATATGATATTTGATAAAAGACACATATTTATCGAAATTTATATGAATTCATATCTTAAACAATTTTTGATTATAATGCTTGGTTATTAATTCAATTATTAATAGATTGCTGGATGTTTGTTAAATCGTTATTGTTATCATCTTCTTGGATATCGAAGAAATTGTTTGTTATTTTCTCGATAGCGTCCAAATTTGATCCGATTACCGTGTGATGATTACCATCAAAAAAGTGTTCGGTTCCAAGCTAAGAGAAATTTTGATAGATTATCAGTTGATCAGAAATTGTGAAATTTTAAGATGAGTGAGTTAACCCATCAATAGATTTGAATGTTTACTTACTTTGAAATCAGTTTGTTTTGAACTTTGGAATAATGGTAAATCAGTTTTAGCTCGAATATGAACTATTTCAGTTAGCTTCGATTTCAGTTTTGGTGAATAATTGATGAGCATTTGTCCTTTTTGAAAAGTTAACTCATTAACTTTAGAAATCATATCTGCCTTATCTTCGGGAATTCCTTTATCGATCATTATTTTTGTGAATTTTTCGAATCTTTCTTTTCGATTGGAGTAATTTCTTATTTCGAGATCGAATTGGTTCGGATCTAAATTTGAAAACACTCGCTGAATGGCTCCTTTAACAAATTCGGTCTCTAGAATATTCATATCTTTAGTTTTAACTCGAGTATTTTTAGTTATTTCAGCCACTTTTTTCAACTTTTCAGGATCAGCATCTATCAGAATTAATTTCTCGATTATCGGCCCACTTCCGTTAGACAAAAATCGAGTCTCTAATTCACAAGCGATATTATAAGCAATAATACCTCCAAACGAGTAGCCAACCATGTGTATTTTGTCATTTGGTGAATGACACTTGGTTAGATAATCAGCATAATAATTTGCTGAAGAATCGATTGAAGTGAGAAGGGAAAGATCGTAAGGCCAATTAAGTCCAAGTGCTGGTCTTTTAATACGATCAATGAGACCTTTCATTAAATCATAATTTTCTTCAATAGGAGGAACATAATAAATTGGCTCGAATGAATTTGATTTTTCTAAATCATTAAGATTGCTGATTTTTGATTTTGGAACTTGAAGAGATAAAAGTGATCCAATCATTGAATTTGTGTCACTCGATTCATTAATGGTCGAGGCATTTGTTAATGATTCTGATGTTTGTTTATCATTTTTAATTTTGTTTGATAATTCCTTTAATTTAATGATTGTTAGGGATCGAATCTCCTTTGAATTCATTAAAATATTATACTGTTTCTCTAAAACTTGTTGGACTTCGATTGCCATCAATGAGTCCATACCAAGTTCGCCCAAAGTAACATTAAGATCAAGTGAATTAATATCTTTGAAACCCAAAATGTGACAAATTGAGCTGACTATATCCCCAGATCCGGTTGAATAGCTTTTGGTATCAATTGGTTTCACCGAACTTGACACGACAGGTACGGGATAAGTCAATGCTCGTTCGAGTACAGAGAAACAAGAGTGGATTCGTTGAGCTGCTGTTCCACGAACTGAAACAATGCTAACACCTATTTTCTCAACAACAAATCCAACATCACCAACGTATCCCCATTGGATCGCTAGACCATGAAGTCCATGTTTGAATCTCTCTTGACAAATCGATTCCATGTAAGAATTGGCTAATCCATAATTAGATTGACCTTTGTTACCTCGTCCAGAAGCTACTGATGAGAAGCAAACGAAATAATCACAATCAACTGGAGCCATTGAGCGAGTTAATTTATCTAAATTCTTGGTTATTTTTACTTTAGACGAACAAACTTTTTCATAAGTTTCAGCATTTTGATCGGATATTAAAGCATCAGACAAAACGAGAGCACAATTAAATATCCCACCAATTGGATAAGGTGAAAGGGATTCGAAAAGAGAACAACAATCTTGTTCTTTAGTTAAATCGTGAGTTGATATGATGACATTGGCACCAAGTGACTCAAGTGATTGATGAAGTTTCATTTATTTTGGTCAATGTTTCTGTTGTCAAAGAACTTTCATCATCTCCATTTCCATTATTTATCTTGACCAGTACTTTACCAATTTGTTTACCGGTGGCCATAAATCGAAAAGCCTTTTCAACCTGGTTCATTTCGAATACTTTTCGTGCAATGGGCTTTACTATTCCTGTAGCAATTCCTTGGTTCATATATGCACTGATTTTCTTTTTGATATGTTTCGTTCCACCTTCTTTACTAATCGGGCAACTCGCAGAGCCAATGAACGAATCAAGTATAATTCCATGAAAAGTTTGGCACTCATCGAAGAGTCCCACGTTGATCTTGTTATTCTGATTAATGTCATTTTTACCGATTTCGAGAAATCGTCCACCCGGTGCTAAACATCTAACACTTGCTTGTAGTTTGTCCTCAGATAATGAATTGAGAATCACATCAACACCTCGACCATTCGTGTGTCTAAGAATATGTTCTTCGAATGAAGTCGATCTCGAATGAGCGAAACTCGTCTCGTCCAGTGAAGACAATTGTTCTTGAAGAAAATTCCGTTTCTCATCTGTACCAACCGTTGTAAAGATCTTACAATTCATACTCAAACAAATGTTTATCGCTGCTATTCCAACACCTCCTGTTCCTGCATGAATAAGAACAGATTCTCCTTGACGAAGTTGACCGCGAATCAATAGACTATAAATCGCAGTTGCATAAACAACCGGTACGGTTGCAGCATCTTCCATGGTCCATGTTGAAGGAACAGACCAACAGAAATCATTTGATCCAATTATGAGTTTAGTCGCTAATGCTCGATGAGGGACAATGCCTATGAGACGATTACCATTCGAATCGACACCAGCATATTCTAATCCGATTGGTGTCGACATTTCTACTGGAATACGCCAATCGGGATTAAGATTAGAAGGTAATCTTCCAGTCGTATGCATAATATCTTTGAAATTAAGAGACGAATAGTTGATTGTCACGAGGGATTGTCCTTTTTTAGGATCAGGAATCGGATTGAATTGAGTCCATACAAGTGATGAAAGATCACCAGGAATTAAACATTGGACATAAGCATCTTTACTTTGGACTAAACATTTGCTATCGGTCTCTGGTTTAGTTGGAATCTCGAAGTGACAATAATCTCCCCATCCGAGTTTATCGTCATAAATATTGAATTTACAATCATTGGTTATTAGTTGATGGAAAGTTGCACTATGCAAATCAATTGATGATGAATCGATTCCTTTAGAACCTGGTTGAAGAGCCACACAACGAATTCGAGATCCAAAAGGTTCTAAACTTAAACACTTCACTAAACCGAGTACACTTACATTTTGACTAATCAACCAAATTATTGATTCTTCATCAGCTTTTATTTCACCCTTTAGATTATCGAGCCACGAATATTCAAATGGATTAACTCGGATAATTTTATGTTTCTCAAGATTAATCGACTCTGGTAACTTCTTGAACATTAATCCGACTAAAGGCAACGAAGTAGGTGAAAGTGTTCGTTGACTTATACAAACCCAATTATTTTCATTCATTTTTTCAATTAGTGAATTTGAGTCAATTGAATTTGGAAGAAAATCTTTCAACAGATTTTGAACAAATAGATTCGATCTTAGACTTTCTAATTTTGATGAGTTTTCTCTGGTCAATATCAACAAATGACCATTGGGTTTTAGAATCGATTGAATTTTTTCTATATTCGAGATTAATGAATCAATCGACTGATTAGCCATTTTGTAAATAACTAAATCATTTTTGCTCACGTCACTTGGGGCGGGCGATTCTTCAATATTCCAAATAACTGTGTTTATTATGTCAGAAAGTTTATCAACGGTCTCTGAGCACTTTTTTCGTAGGTAATTGATTTAGGATAGAAGAATTGGCGATCATCAGCATTGACTATCAGGATTGAAGTTGGTTCTGTCAACTCCAAAATCACTCGAATGTACTCATTTGGACGAAGGATGTTTCTGATCAGGTAACTTTTTAAATGGTTCATATTAATTTTTTCTTGATATTTAATTGGACGCATCAATAAACTTGCATTCAAATCAGAAAATTTATCATTCTCAAGCGATTCCTCAGGGCATTTGACCGTAATATTAGCCATTTGTAGATCGACAATTGTATTGAACATTTCTTCATAATGTCCAGAGATGATACATGATTTACCTGAAGTTTTCTTGGTGAGTTTGATTCCTTCTGATAAATGAGGTTTAATTTGTTCACATGATGATAAAACTTCAATTGTTGGATTGATTATCGATTGGTCTTTTATTTGGACGAAATGTCCGAACCAATAAGCCGTTAGAATGACTTCTTGTTCAGTCATCTTATTGTTGGCGTAAAGATTAATCAAAGATCCAATTGTTGAAATCGCAACTCCATCGATATTTAATTGTATCGATTTAAATACATTAACAATCGCCAATTGAATAGCAATTGATTTAACAATCGACTCCAAAGGGTTGGAAACTTCCATCTCACCGAAAACGAGATCAAATAAATTCGATTTAAAAGGTTTGAGGTAAGATTCTAATCTATTGATTGTATCAGAGAAAACAGGTAAATCTTTAAGATTTGGATCAACGTTGATTAGATTTGTTGATGATGTTAAATAGACTTTTTTATGTTCAACTGAATCGAGTTGATTTCCAATGAAATGTTTCATCGAATATTTTCCAGGTTCTCCTTCAATCAATGTGAATCCACGATGAGGCATTTTACGAGTTTTTGAATATTCGTTAAGAAGATCGAGAAATGATCTGGTTAATTTATTGACCGATGATTCGAGATAATTTTGGACATGTTTTATGCCCTCAACTGAACGACCAGGGATATTCACTAATCGAGGCAATTTTGATAGAGTTAAATTGAACTCATCAGCCGATGATTGAACATTATGACCACGGAGAATAACGTGAACATTAGCACCACCGAAACCAAAACAATTCAGTGAAATAATTTCATCTTTGAAAGGGATAATCTTTGTAACTGGAACAATTTTCTTATTCATTAGTCCTTCAATCTTTGGATTAGGCGTTTTTAAATGCAAATTAGGAGGAATCAGACCTTTTTGAAATACCATACAGGCTTTAATCATAGCGCAAATACCTGATGCGGACTCAGCATGACCCATGTTTGATTTTATCTTAAATTATATCGATATCATTGTTAGCACAAAGTTATCACAGATCAAAATTTGATGAATAAATTACATGAAATGAACGAAATGGTAAAGAGAAAGAATTTGAATATTTATGATAGTGATAATCAAAAGATAATGGATTTTGGACTTATAACCTTAGGTAGGTTTAGGTTTTTCTCGGAAAGTCAAAAAGCGTAATTCGAAATAATTTTATAATTACTAAATCATAAAGTAACATTAAACTGATAAGCAGTAATTGTTGATATTAATTAGTGATGAATTTATTTACCTGAACGGAATCGATCATTTCCTCCAGTCATCATGTCAACAGAATTGAACAGATTATCAGCAAATTCATCCACTGATTCTGATTCTGGGAATCGTCCAGACATTCCTGAGATGACCACATCCTCTTTCACTTTCCATTTACGATGAATAAAGTTATCATTGTATTTAATATTCATGATCTCCGTAAGGAATTGGCCAATAGACAAATAACCAATAACAATTAATTAAAATAATTGGAAAATAAGGAAAAAAACAAAAGTAAAGATGAGTTTAAAGAGTAACGTATTCACTTACATACTAGATAAGAGACTATGGTAGTCTTTGAATATACTGACGTAAAGCGGAAAAAGGAAATGACTCAGTCGGAAACAGTTCATGTTTGATCAGGTAAATCTACAGTCAAACTCATAAGTTTGTATACGGTACAAATGAATAAATAACAAGGGACAAATTAAGCACTTAAATGCGTATCTTTATTTAAAAGTGTTGTCAAAGTTAATTGTATGATAAACCGATGCGGCTTTGCCGCACTTTAGTCTGAATATTAAGTTACTTTCTAAAAGTATCAACAGGGACTTAAGGCCGAATTTTTCTCACTGATAAGCACTGAAGATAAATGCGGGGAAATAAGGTAATTGTGATTATCTCTTTTGTTTACCTGATAGAATTAAGAAGAAGCTTCACCTATTCTAAACCCTTTAGTCTTAACACCTTTTATTAATACTAACCATACAGGGTGTTTTTAATTGAGCTCCCGACATTTGAACAATCATAACTTTTTGGGTAATAAATTTAGAGATTTGATTTTTATTTTAATCGAAAGCTCAATGTTCAATTTAGTTAAGTCATTTGTATTCAAAAAATCAATTTATCACTTGATCTTAATGTTAGGATAATCCATTCATTTCGATGAAATAGTTAATAAATACAGTCGTTGCAAAAAATTTTTTGGTGGAAAGTTTTTATTAATAGTTAGTTGATTAAATTACAAAGTCGAGTTAGTATATTTTTTACAATTACTGATAAATTTCGAGAGGAAACTGAAAATTGACATTTCATTTTCAATGAATTTTTTTATTTTCGCAAATAATCTCATTGATTATTTTTGTTAATTTAAGTTGAAATATTAACAGTGTAAATCTTTGAAATGATTTAAATTATTATTAAAAGTATAATCTAATAATTTCTTGGTCGTTTAGAAATCAATTAAATAAAATGTCAAGGAAACTTTCAACTTAAGATTAATATTTGATAAAAGACACATATTTATGGAAATTTACATGAATCAATATCCTAAACAATTGCAGATTATAATGCTTGGTTATTAATTCAATTAGATGGTTGGATGTTTGTTAAATCGTTATTATTATCATCTTCTTGGATATTGAAGAAATTGTTTGTTATTTTCTCGATAGCGTCCAAATTTGATCCAATTACCGTGTGATGATTACCATCAAAAAAGTGTTCGGTTCCAAGCTAAGAGAAATTTGGATAGATTATCAGTTGATTAGAAATTGTGAAATTTTAAGATGAGTGAGTTAACCCATCAATAGATTTGAATGTTTACTTACTTTGAAATCAGTTTGTTTTGAACTTTGGAATAATGGTAAATCAGTTTTAGCTCGAATATGAACTATTTCAGTTAGCTTCGATTTCAGTTTTGGTGAATAATTGATGAGCATTTGTCCTTTTTGAAAAGTTAACTCATTAACTTTAGAAATCATATCTGCCTTATCTTCGGGAATTCCTTTATCGATCATTATTTTTGTGAATTTTTCGAATCTTTCTTTTCGATTTGAACAATTAGCTATTTCAGCATCGAATTGATTTGGATCTAAGTTTGCAAAAATTCTTTTCATTACACCCTTAATAAACTCAGTCTCTTGAATATTTAAAGGAGCATCATCAATGCGCTTTTTAGTAATTTCTGCCACGTTTTTCAACTTTTCAGGATCAGCATCTATCAGAATTAATTTCTCGATTATTGGCCCACTTCCGTTATACAAAAATCGAGTCTCTAATTCACAAGCGATATTATAAGCAATAATACCTCCAAATGAGTAGCCAACCATATTTAACTTGTCATTTGGTGAATGACATTTGATCAGATAATCAGCATAATAAGTTGCCGCAGACTCGATTGAGGTAAGAAGAGAAAGATCGTAAGTCCAATTAAGTCCAAGTGCTGGTCTTTTGACACGATCAATGAGACCTTTCATTAAATCATAATTTCCTTCAATTGGAGGAACATAATAAATTGGCCTGATTGTTTTGTTTGATTTTCCTAAATCATTGAGATTATTTGTTATTGTTTTTGGAACTTGAAGAGATAAAAGTGATCCAATCATTGAATTTGTGTCACTCGATTCATTACTGGTCGAGGCATTTGTTAATGATTCTGATGTTTGTTTACCGTTTTTCATTTGTTTCGAAAACTCTTTCAATTTGGATATCTTGAGAGCTCGAATCTCCTTTGAGCTTATTGAAATATTAAACTGTTTCTCTAAAACTTGTTGAACTTCGATTGCCATCAACGAATCCATACCAAGTTCACCTAAAGTAACATTTGGATCAAGTGAATTAATATCTTTGATGCCCAAGATGTGACTGATTGAGCTAATTATGTCTCCAGATCCAGTTGAAATACTCTTTCTGTCAATTGCTCGGACCAAACTTGACACGGTGGATACAGGATAAGCCAGAGCTCTTTCTAGTACAGAGAAACAAGAGTGAATTCTTTGAGCTGCTGTTCCTCGAATAGAATCAACTTTAACACCTAATTTCTCAACAACAAATCCAACATCACCGATGTATCCCCATTGAATCGCTAGACCATGAAGTCCATGTTTGAATCTCTCTTGACAAATCGATTCCATATAAGAGTTAGCTAATCCATAATTAGATTGTCCTGGATTACCTCGTCCACAAGTTACTGATGAGAAGACGACAAAATAATCACAATCATCTGAAGCTAATGATCGAGTTAATTTATCTAAATTCTTGGTTATTTTAACTTTCGATGAACAAACTTTTTCATAAGTTTCAGCATTTTGATCGGATATTAAAGCATCAGACAAAACGAGAGCACAATTAAATATCCCACCAATTGGATAAGGTGAAAGGGATTCGAAAAGCGAACAACAATCTTGTTCACTAGTTAAATCGTGAGTTGATATGATGACATTGGCACCAAGTGACTCTAATCGATGCAAAGATAATTTATGATAAGACGATTTAGGTCCCGATCGAGAATTAAGAACCAATTGACGAACTCCTTTTTTGACCAACCAAGAAGCTAATTCCAAGCCAAATCCACCAAATCCACCGACAATAATATAAGTTTTATTCGAATAGAAAATCGGCGATTTAATTGCCAATGGGATCGATCCAATTGATGAAATTTCATTTATTTTGGTCAATGTTTCTGTTGTCGAAGAACTTTTATCATCTCTACTTTCATCTTTTATCTTGACCAGAACTTTACCAATGTGTTTACCGGTGGCCATAAATCGAAAAGCTTCTTCAACTTGGTTCATTTTGAATACTTTTCTCGGAAGTGGCTTTATTGTTCCTGAAGTTATTCCTTGGTCCATAAAAGCAGTGATTTTCTCTTTTACTTGTGACACTCCACTGTCTTTATTACTGAGACGATTTGCAGAGGTAATGAATGCATCAAGTAAAATTCCATGGAAGGTTCGACCCTCATCGAAAAGTCCCAAGTTGACCTTATTGTTTTGCATCATATCATATTTACCGATTTCCAGAAATCTTCCACCCGGTGCTAAACATCTCACACTTGCTTGTAGTTTGTCTTCAGATAATGAATTGAGAATCACATCAACACCACGACCATTCGTGTGTCTAAGAACATGTTCTTCGAATGAAGTTGATCTCGAATGAGCGAAACTCGTCTCGTCGAGTGATGGGAATTGTTCTTGAAGAAACTTTCGCTTTTCATCCGAGCCAACTGTTGTAAAGATCTTACAATTCAAACTCAAACAAATGTTTATCGCTGCTATTCCAACACCTCCTGTTCCCGCGTGAATAAGAACAGATTCTCCTTGACGAAGTTGACCGCGAATCAATAGACTATAAATCGCAGTTGCATAAACAACCGGTACGGTTGCAGCATCTTCCATGGTCCATGTTGAAGGAACAGACCAACAGAAATCATTTGATCCAATGATTAGTTTAGTTGCTAATGCTCGATGTGGAACAAAACCCATAATCCGGTTACCATTCGAATCGACACCTGCGTATTCTAATCCGATTGGTGTTGACATTTCTACTGGAATACGCCAATCGAGATTTAAATTAGAAGGTAGTCTTCCAGTCGCATGCATAATATCTTTGAAATTGAGCGACGAATAGTTGATTGTCACAAGAGATTGACCTTTTTTGGAATCAGGAATTGGATTGAATTGAGTCCATACAAGTGATGAAAGATCACCAGGAATTAAACATTGGACATAAGCATCTTTACTTTGGACTAAACATTTGCTATCGGTCTCTGGTTTTGTCGGTATCTCGAAGTGACAATAATCTCCCCATCCGAGTTTATCGTCATAAATATTGAATTTACAATCATTGGTTATTAGTTGATGGAAAGTTGCACTATGCAAATCAATTGATGATGAATCGATTCCTTTAGAACCTGGTTGAAGAGCCACACAACGAATTCGAGATCCATAAGGTTCTAAACTCAGACATTTCGCTAAACCGAGTACACTCACATCGGAAAATTTTGACTTATCAACCAAATAATCGATTCTTCATCGGCTTTTATTTCATCCTTGAGATTATCGAGCCACGAATATTCAAATGGATTAACTCGGATAATCTTATGTTTCTCAAGATTAATCGACTCTGGTAACTTTTTGAACATTAATCCGACCAAAGGTAACGATTTGGATGAAAGTGTTCGTTTACTTATACAAACCCAATTATTTTCATTCATTTTTCAATTAGTAGATTTGAGTCAATCGAATCTGAAATAAAATCTTTCAATAGATTTTGAACAAATGGATTCGATCTGAGGCTTTCTAAGTTCGATGATTTCTCTCGGGTCAATACCAACAAATGACCATTGGGTTTAAGAACTGATTGAATTTTATCGATATTCTCGATTAATGAATCAATTGAACGATTAGTAATTTTATAAATAACTAGATCGTTTTTACTCAAATCGCTTGGAGCTGGTGATTCATCGATATTCCAAACGATCGTATTCACGACACCAGAAAGTTTATCAACAGTCTCTGGTTCAGGTACATTAGATCGTACCAAAGTATAGTCGACTTTCATTGATCCCAATGATTGTATCTCGAGAATTGATTTAATCGAATCAAAGACGAAACCTTGAGAATCGTTGATTTCGACAATATTAGACTTTGAATAAACGTCACCGCTATAAGATTCGTGTCCAGTTGCAGTTATAACAAATGGTTTCAAAAACGTTGATTAGAATGAAGAACTGCATTTGTACCAATCAACATGTCATCAGATAGTTTAGAGGTAATTTCTATCGTTGGTGTTTCTCCTCGACACAAACAGATTAAATAATTAGCCAATGAATGTTGATCTTTTTTCAGGTCAACTGCATTCGAAAATGATTCCATTTCCTCTGCGCTAATCTCAATCGAGGTTAATGTTTTTTCGCAACAAATCAATTAGACCAAAGATCAGTGATGAATATGATTCGACCGATTCTAAGGTCATTTCATCAACTGCACAACTTTCATGGAATGGTACAAAGTCATAAGTCTCGAGAGTAACTGATTGATTTCGTCGATTTGCGTCAGATGCGAGAAGACCTCTGACCCAAACTCCATCGGTCGAAACCGATTGCGTAATTGGATCATGATAGACATCAAATTCTGGGTTCATTATTTTGATTGAATCTCCATTTGAACTTTCATCTTCGGTTGAATTTTCCTTCGGTGATTCAGAAGCTTCTTGAGTTTCAGTTGATTTCAATGATCTATTGAACCGATTAACTGTTTCCATAATAGATACTGGATCACAGATCAACGATTGGAAACCAGTAGGAATATAAAGATCACGATTCTTTTGATTAGATAATAAAACCAATTGTAAAGCTGAATCAGTAAATGTTATCCAAGTTCTAAGAAAGCGGAAAATTCCTTCTTGAGTCCTTTCCAAAACGGAAGTTGCTTTTAACTGTGAACTATTTGGTTCTTGCCATTCAACTTTACCATGTAATCCTGAACTCGAAGCTGAAGTTATACATTGAAAATGTGGACCATAATCGTAACCACGAACTCGTAACTCTTTGTAAATATCTTCTTTACTAAAAGTAAATTCACTATCTTCTATTCTCAATTCATTATTTGAAGTTCTAACGAGATCCAAATCTGGATTTCCAAACGCTTTACCAGAGGCCACAATATTGTCACTTTCGGTAATGACAAAAGTTCCATTATAAGGTAAGTACTGGACGATAAACTTAACCTCCTTTTCGGTCAAAACTGTCGCTCGAGTCAACCGAATGTCGCGAAATTCAATTGGAAATCGTGTCGTTATGGTTCCATGAAATTTAGCAACCGTGTACCAAACAAACATCAATAGACCAGTCGCTGGATAAAGGACTCGACCATCGATCTTGTGATCTACCAAGAACCAATCTTCTGAACTAGAAAGATTGATTCGAAAACTATTGGTTGTTGAACATCGTGTGTGATTAAAGTACTCAGGGTATTTGAACACTTTCCAATCAGCCAAATGATCAAATTTGATCAATGAATTAAGTGAAAGAGTGTCAACTGGAACAGGATAATTAACAGTTGGATATAAATGTTCAAGACAATAGTCGATTCCTTGGTCAGCATAAATTTTACCTAAACAGGTAAATAAACTTTCACCAGATATAAAACCTTTTTCCATGTCTGATAAATTATATTGAATCGACAAATTCTGAGCACTTTTTTCGTATGTAATTGATTTAGATAAACAGAATTGTTGGTTAACCATATTAATCATTATGATAGAAGATGATTTTTTCATCATTTGAACATGATCATCTGAGGAAAGGATTTGCCTGATCAGGTAGTTTTTGAATTTAGTCATAATTCCGTTTTTACCAGGATTCAATAAGAAGTTTGTACTAAATCCAATAAAATTTTCAGAACAATCAGTTGATTCTCCAGGCCATTTAATTGCTATATTAGCCATTTGTAGATTGACAATTGAACTGAATATTTCTTCATAATGTCCAGAAATGATACATGATTTACCTGAAGTTTTCTTGGTGAGTTTGATTCCTTCTGATAAATGAGGTTTAATTTGTTCACATGATGATAAAACTTCAATTGTTGGATTGATTATTGATTGATCTTTTATTTGGACGAAATGTCCGAACCAATAAGCCGTTAGAATGACTTCTTGTTCAGTCATCTTATTGTTAGCATAAAGATTAATCAAAGATCCAATTGTTGGAATCGCAACTCCATCGATATTTAATTGTATCGATTTAAATAGATTAACAATCGCCAATTGAATAGCAATTGATTTAACAATCGACTCCAAAGGGTTGGAAACTTCAATCTCACCGAAAACGAGATCAAATAAATTCGATTTAAAAGGTTTGAGGTAAGATTCTAATCTATTGATTGTACCAGAGAAAACAGGTAAATCTTTTAGATTTGGATCAACGTTGATTAGATTTGTTGATGATGTCAAATAGACTTTTTTATGCTCAACTGAATCGAGTTGATTTCCAATGAAATGTTTCATTGAATATTTTCCAGGTTCTCCTTCAATCAACGTGAATCCACGATGAGGCATTTTACGAGTTTTTGAATATTCGTTAAGAAGATCGAGAAATGATCTTGTTAATTTATTGACCGATGATTCGAGATAATTTTGGACGAATTCAATACCTTCGACTGAACGACCAGGGATATTTACTAATCGAGGACATTTTGATAAAGTTAAATTGAACTCATCAGCCGATGATCGGACGTCATGACCTCGGAGAATAACATGAACATTAGCTCCACCGAAACCAAAGCAACTCAGTGAAATAATTTCATCTTCGAAAGGAGTAATGGTTGTAACTGGAACAATTGTCTTATTCATTAGTCCTTCAATTCGAGGATTAGGACTCTCGAAATGTATATTTGGAGGAATAAGACCTTTTTGAAATACCATATTGGCTTTAACCATAGCGCAAATACCTGATGCGGCCTCAGCATGTCCCATGTTTGATTTCAAACATCCAACTTTCAAAGGTTTTGATGGATCTCGACCAATACAAAAAACATCGTGAATGGCTTTTAGTTCAACGGGGTCACCAGCTTGAGTACCGGTAGTATGAGCCTCGACATAGCTCACTTTGGTTGGATCAAGACCAACTTCAGTGTAAGTTTCGTACATTAATTGTCGTTGTAAATCGACCGAAGGAAATGAAATGCCCTGATCTTTATAACCATCGGTATTGGATCGACAATTAACTATCGTTGAGTAAATACGTTTAGCATCGGGTGCTTTTTGTAGTACTATGCAACAAACGCCTTCAGATCTTCCATAACCATCGGCTGATTTATCGAGACATTTTGATCGACCATAACGGGAAACCATTTGAAGATCTCGAAACTGTAAAGTGACCACTGGTACTAAGCAAATGTTGAATCCAGCGACCAAAGCTTTATCACAAACTCCTGACTTAATTGCTGTGAATGCTTCATTCAATGCTGCGAAACTTGATCCACAAGCAGTGTCGAAGTGACATATTGGCCCTTTCAGGTCAAAAACATATGAAACCAATGTTGTATAAACTTGTTTGTATTTAGGTACCTCTAGTGGCTCTTCACCCCAGGCCATATCAGTCTCGGCAAACGATGACCCGTAGAAAAATCCAGTTTTAGATCCTCTTAATGATTCAACTGACAAACCTGAGATAGCAAACAAACAAAATCAACAGTCAACAAGATTATCAAATTTACAATTAACTTAATATCACCTTAACCCTTTACTATCATGACACTCAATGTCAACGACTCTGTCAAATTTTCTGGTTTGTGAATTTTCAATTTTATTTATATTAATATCACAGGAATTGTAATAAAAACCAAGTTATATTAATTTACAATTAATATTTTCATTCCGATGTTTAAAATTAACAAAGTTAACTGTTAATTTAACCTCCATTTAGGAGCCTTGATTTCTTCATGATTCAGTTGATTATCTGAATCATCATCGTTGTAACTTAATTATGATCTCTTCTTAATTCATCAAGGATTAAGTTAATTTTTCTCTGGATTAATATGAAGATCATGAAAGTCATCTTTATATTAAACTAATTGTAAACAATTAAATCGCCCTAAGCTAAATTGTTACAATGATTTTTAATTTCATTTCAACTGTTTAAAAAAACTTTCATTCTCATTATAAACTGAACGAGGTTAACACGTTGAGTTTTTTTCTTCACTTAATCATAATCAAGGTGAGAGATTAACTGATTGTTTCATTTTTGTTTGTTTTGATTAAGATTAATTTTCAATCAACAATTTGTCAGAATTAATGTTCTTAAAGTTAATCTCTTGATTTCGCTTTCTAAAAACTCTTCGTATTTAAATCTAATTGCACAATTAATCAAATAATCTTTAATCAAAGGTTTCTCATGCCGATTGATTTCGATGAACAATTAATCCTTTTGCGATAATCAAGAAAATCAGATCAATTTAACAAGAAATCACCACAGGGATAATCAATTGATTAATAAATTTGCATGATTTTAATTGTATTAATTTGACTACACAACATAATTGACTAATCTCATCATCGATTAATTTAATCAATTGTTTTATATTAATTGATTTTTAATCGGATTAATTAACAAAAATTCTGATTATCTCAATAGATTCATTTTGCTTTAAGGATCATCTCTTGCTCTGATTAATTTATTCACTTATATACTATTTCAACAATTATCAATTAACAATTAATTTAGTCTCTTTCAGTGATTAGCATGATTGAAATTGATTTTAATCAATATCTTAATGGACTAACGATAGTTTTGATTATCAATTATTGATGATAATTGGAGCTTCAAAATAATTTAATTTGATCCTTTGTTCATGATTAATAGTAATTATTAATGGAAATTGAAACAATAAAAGAAAATCACTAAACAATTAACAGTCAAAATAATGATTAACTTCTGAATTAAAATTGAATTAAGGTTGATTGATAGATGACACTAATATTATCAATATTCACTCACTTATAATTGAGAATGTTAATTGAATTGGTTTAATTGTTATACAAACGATTAATCAACAATTAGTTATTAACCGATAATCATTTCTTACCTGAATCAATGATCGCCTCATAAGTGACTTCCAATAATTTCCTTAATTGTGGATCCATATGATCAGCTTGATATTCGGGGATCGAGAAAAATTGAGCATCGAATTTGTTTAGATTACCAATTTGTCCACTAACTTGAGGTAAACCATTATGACCTATAAATTAATTAATAAAAATAATCAAATGATTACATGAGATTAATTAATGATGAAAAAGAGACAATTGATTATTGTGGTTGGTAATTAAGTTAACAGTTAGGCCTGATTGTTGACGCTTGGGGTATTTAAAGGATATGCATCACTAAGATTGGCTCAAAAGTTAATCAACTGATTAAACGTAGACTATTATTATTGATTAAGGACCATTGGATCCTCGAGGTTATTAAGAAATGATTGATTAAAACGTTTAATTGGCAATTTGATTTATAAATTGTGACGATAATACAAACATTTTAGTGATAAACTTACAGTCAAGTTAAAAGGCAAAGTTTAATTTGCGAGGGAAATGATAATTTAATTTCACAATTAGTGCTGTGAATAGTTATAATTACCGAGGAAACATCAATTAAATCAACAATTTAAGTTTGATTGCTTAATTCTGCAAGGGAAAAGTTTAGATAGTTGGCTATCAAATTTTATTGTTGATTTTAATCATAATGATGGTGATTTAATTAGCTAATTGTTTCTGCAATATTTTGGGACAATTAAGTGTAAATTGCAAATGCAACGGAAATTGTTGATAAGTGAAGAAAAAAATGAAAACATGATTAAAATTATACTAACTACTGTAATTAAACAAATTCTGAAAAATTAAAGTTAATTGTGATGTGATAATTAACCTGCTTGTTTGAATACAAAGCAATTGCATCAGAGTTTTATCTTGATTTTTTTTCACATTTTCAAGATTAAAATGATAACATTAATTGTTGAATTTAAACAAAATGATCAAAATCAAACCGTAATTGTGATTATAAATTATTTACTTATCAAATTGAATTCAATCAATTTACCGATCGATAGCTAATCGAGTTTTAAATCAAGTTCAAAGACGAACCTAAATTAACTTGCTAATTGTTGAGATTGATTAAGAATAAATTTAATTACCTGCTCGGAATCTACCATTTCCTCCGGTCAACATGTCAACAGAATTGAACAAATTATCAGCAAATTCATCCACTGATTCCGATTTCGGGAATCGTCCAGAGATTCCCGAGATGACCACATCCTCTTTCACTTTCCATTTACGATGGATAAAGTTATCGTTATATTTAATATCCATGATTTTTGTATTATTAAATTAGACAATAAACAAACAATAAAAATAACAATCAGTTAGCACAATTAATTAAAAAAACAAATAGAGAACCAATTAAAAATTGTATTCGAAAAGTTCAGATTAAGTCAAAGTTTCACATTTTTTCTAGAATATAAGACGATGATTATCATTTGGAACACAGAACTAACATGAAGTTCAGATGCAAAGAAGATGATCAAAGATGATGACGGATGAAGATAATTGAAAGAATGAGTTGTTTAGCTCCCAAGGCATTCATCCGTGTTAGTTACTGTTAATTATAAAATAAACTTCGCTCCGCCTCATCTGAATCTCTTTCACGGTCAATTTTACTCTCATCAGTTCCCGTACACACTCAGAGATATTGAAAGAGCAAAACCAAACCAATACAAAGAATTAACATCAATTAACCATAATTCACTTTCTCTTTTTATCCTTTTACCCTCTAGGAGATTAGAATTGGGAACAAAAAAACGAAAGGTTGATAATGTAAATCAGCCCAGTCGATTTTACGATAACTTATCGACAATATCGTGTTTATCTAATCTACTAATTGTTAGTTAATGATTCTCTTTTCTTTATCATGTTTAGTGATCATTAAAAGGACATTGATTTCTATTGGTTGATTAGAATCCTAAGTAATCTGAATGGAGAATCTTTTTTGTTATTGATTCTTTTTTTCTTCTTCTTGACCTTTACTGAACCTTAAAAGGTTATTTATGTAAAAGAGAAAAGAAATAAATGCCAAGAATTTACAATGACGAGGTCATTAGAATGAAAGAGAGAAGGTCAACTCTTTTTGGACTGTACAGTTTTCGAAATACTTCGAGAGATCGAAAAAGAGAAAAAAAAATCAAAAGAAAGTATCAAGTCTTGAGAAGGTTTTTTCTTTTCGGATGTTTGATTTTTATCTGTTTTCAAATTTTGATAATTCTTGTTTCTATCAACTAGAAATACACGATATCATCTCTATCGCCTCAGGGTAAACTTGAATTTTGATAACAATTCTGGTTCCATCTTCTCGTTTTTCATTCTTTGGGGTTTTCCATTTTCCTAATGCTCTTTATATTAATAATATATTGTTTACACGATACAAGTTAATTGATATTAGTAGCTCATTTCAGCCTTTGACGCTAAAAATGATGATGCTCATCATCATCATGAGGGGATAATCATGAAAAGATGATGATTACTTTCACTTTATCATCAAATACAAGTCAATGAAACCAAACTTTCATTCCTGATAAACAATATCAGTGTTGGTATTATTTTCTTATGAAATAATTACCTTGCATATTTATTTATTCAACTTGATTGTTGTTGTTTTTTATCATTTCTTTGATTGCTGAAAATTGTAAATTAATCAGAATTGGTTAAATTTACCTTTTATTTCATTCATATTTCATATTCTTTCATTTTTATTACTCTCTCTCTCTCTCTCTCTAATCAAGGTAATCACAATGTGATGCAAATGAATCAAGATGAAGGTTATCGTTTATGAAAACGTGCCAATTAAAACCCGGAATTATTAATAATTTCAATTCTTATCATATAATCAAAGGTATTAATTAATTTGTTGATTGCTTGATTTTCTAACTGTTAATTACAGAAACAAAGTTACCTTTTACTCTTGATTTTAAATTCGATCAGTGTTGATTTAATTAATTCTATTTTTTATAAAGAAAAATTGGTAATTACTTAATTATTATTACGTAGAAATCAAATATTAATAGATGAACAATTGAAATTGTTCAATAAAAAGTTAATGACAATTAATAACATTGAAAGTGAAACTTAACCATCAGACTGATTAACTTTAGCTCTCATGATTTATTTGATTGTTTGCAGCACAATTTTAATTGTAACTTTCCGTTGATGGTCAATTTAACCTTGTTTAATATTTAGATTACAATCTAATTGCAACATTGGATTTTCATCCATAGTAAATATCAATGGTAAATTTCCTTGAGATTAACTTAATTGACTCAACAATTAACTATACGTAATATTTGAACATTGAATTTAGTTTAAATTTTTAAAATTTGGTGGAAAAATTTGATCAATAATTAAGTGAATTGTCGGGTAATTTACTTTGCTGCTCCAGGCAATTACAATGATATAAAGGAATTGAATCAGTAGATGGTTAATCTAAATTAGATAACGAAACGTTATTCAAATCGTTAATTGTTCAAGGAATCTTTTTATTGTCCTTAACAATTTCTCATTGATTATTGTCGTTAACTTTTAAAAGTTTCAATTGCAAATGATTTAGATTAATCATTTCAAAGTAAGATTGAAGATTTAAGTCATTGAAATTGATTCTTATTGATTAGATAGTTGATTGTTCAATTTAAATGTAATAATAATCAAATTCAAATTGAGATGATTTGGTTATACGATAATAGGAATTTTAAATTGTCTAACTTCACTAATTGTGCAAGAAAAAGTCTTAATTATTATCAATGTTTCGCCAATTGTTAACCAAATAATCTTAATCTTTCATTGTGTATTAAATTAACTTTGCGAAGTTAATTAATCGCAACGGTAATTAATCAACTGTGAATAAATGATTACAATTAACTTATCATCTCCGAAGGCCTTAGAGATTAACTTAAATTGTTGATGTCCTTTTGTTATTGTTTTTAACAATGTAAACAGTTTGTTAATCAACTTGGTTGATTAACTGTTCTCAACTGTAACCATTTAAAATTTAACCAAGGTAACAATTAAGAAAAAAAAACAATTTAAAACTTTTAATTTCTCATGGATTTAATTTCAACTCTTGTTTAAGCTTTACAATCAAAAGTATTAATAACTACATGATTAAAGGTTAACGATAATTCATTTCATTTTATTTCACAATTGTTGAATTAAAACCATTAAGATAATAATTAAAATGTTAGCTAATTATTAAAACTTTTCTTCAATGAATTAGTAACCGAAAGAGGATATTAATTGTAGGTATGCTTTAGATGGTTCGGATTTGAATTCTATTATAAAATCTATTTATTATTAGCCTGGAGATTTACGATTTATGGATATTTGTTGATAGTCAGGCCAAAGCACGGGAATAATTAACAAGAGCGATTGAAGGAGATTGGGGAGTGTGCCAGAGTTTCGTCCTATCAGTAAAGTTAAGGTCACTTTTGTCAATGTGCAATCACGTAACGAATAAAGAATCGAACTGAGTTTCCGTTCGTCATCTACTGGCCTTGCCCCGAGTGACTTTACTTTACAATTTACTTTTCGAATGTGCAGAAAATAGATTCGCCCGTGTAAAGTACACTTGCCTTCAGCTGAAGCTCCGAAGGCCGAGGTTTTCTCAATGAAAAGAAGCCATCTTGGTACAGAGAGGGAATGTAAGTATCTTGTCTTTGGAAAAGGTTTATTATCGCCCGAGGGAATCGAGTAATGTTTCTAATAAATTTTTTATGACATAAAATCTCAATTTATCGAGTATCTTGATAGAATCTAAATCGATAAATTTCCTGTAAATGATTTACATAGTCAACTAGTTAGCTGATCGACAACAATTTACCAATAATCATTTTTTTAATTGTTTAATTTTTTAAAAGTTCTACTTTGTTTGTTAACAACAATCAAGGTGAAAATGATGATTAGAGGTTGATTAAACAACGAAGAGCCATAATGAAGGTTATGAGGAACTAGTTGCAAACAAGAAATAATTTAATTCCGATTTTAATCATCGTAATTACTGTTTTATAAACTTGACCATTAACTAAAATCTAATTGTCTACAGATAATTACATTGATTGAGACAACCAATAATTAATTTGTCTGTTTAATCTGGTCAAGATATTATAATCTAATAACTGTATTGGGTTAACCAAAAATAATCCATTTCCAGTTTTCACCTTGTTAAGATTTCAGTTAATTAAGTGAATTAAACTCGAAAACTTTAATTGATATTCAACAAGATATGTTACTTTTAATTGTTTTTCAAGAGTAAAAAAGTGAGATTTCATTAAATAGTAATAAAGGAGGGAAAATAATGATTGACCAATAAATGAGAATGGGAGTTAATTTTGATTGATTTTAAGGACTCCGATTGTATATTTGTGATTATTTGATGATATTGGCACCAATTAATATGTTGACATTATTGTGATTTTGGTCCGTCTTTTGATTGTCCATTTCAACTGCATTTTTAAACTTAATTTTCTTTGAGATGTTAATTCAATTTTGGCAAAAGAAAAAGTTGATTATTGTTAATGGAAATTGCAATTGAACTTTGCTTTCCTTTTGAGTTGCAGAGATCGGAGTCGAGATCGATTTCTATTATAATAAATGTTATCGTTAATTGTTGTTGTCATTGTTTCTTCAATTGTTACAAAATTAAATTATTTGTTTCTTTTGAGATGTTTGCCCTTCGAGAGTTTTCAAAATTTTTATATTCTTTCCGTCTTCTTTTCTGATGAAAGGGAATCGATATTTAAATTATTATCATGATTAAATTATTGTTGTGATTGTTGTTGTTGGTATTGGTAATTTTGTTTGATTCCGTCTCCATTTCCAACCAACTTTTTCAAAACACTGACGGAAGATGGACGATCTTAAGGTCAAGTTTTGATGGATCTAAATCTTCGGGATCATAGGATTGAATGTTGGATGATGATTGTTGGGATGATGAAGATGGTGATGTTGATCCATATGATGTTTTACCAACAAGTGAAGTCATCACTGGTTGTGAGGTTTGTGAGTATTTTCCAGATGATTGGACTGGTGAAGTAAGAGTACCAGAGGAGGTTGATGATGAGATACCTTTGACCTGACCGTTGGCTCCGTTTGATTGGACTTGAGAGATTGATGAGGTATCTTTGGAAGCGCACTCGGGATCTGAATAATATTCATTAGTGATCTGTGAATCGGTGTAAGCGGATGAGGTTTGTTGCGAGATGGGCTGTGAGGTTGGAGGGACGAGTTTATAAGATGGGCTGGAAGAAGGTGATGTTAGTGAGTAGACGGGTCGATATGAAGGTGATGAAGGTGCAGAGTAGCTTGAGCTTCCACTGGCTGATGAATAGCTTGATGATGGCTGGTAAGATGATGATGGAGCAGCGGCTGATTGAGATGATGAGTCTGATTCGTAGCCTGAGTTTGATGAGGTCATTTTAACTTGACTGTCACCTGAATAGTTATTGGTATAACTGTTTTGACCTGATCCAGATGAAGAAGCGCCAGATGATGAATAACCATCGCTACCATATGAAGATGAGGCTGGTGAAGCGGATGAAGAACCTGAAGAAGCTGAACCAGAGGACGATGATGATGATGGTGAAGTTTCCTGAGATTGACCATAGTTAGAAGTTGAATCGCTTGATCCTGATGAAGTGTAACTTGATGGGATTACCTGAGGAACTGTATTGTATTGAAGAGCGGCTCCCGATTGTGAGGGATAATCTCGACTTGATGAAGGTGAATAAGTTTGCTCAGGAGTAGCGACCTGAGTGTAAGAGGTCAAAGCTGATTGAGAAGCAGGTTGACCGTAGCTTGAAGCGGACGACGAAGAGCCAGAAGATTGTGAGGTTGAGGGTTGGCTTGAGTAGCTTGAGCTATAACTGTTCTGAGAATAAGTTTGCTGAGGTTGTTGGCCATAAGAACTGGACGCCGAGGTTGGATTTCCATAGCTCGACGAGTAAAGTGATTGTTGTGAAGCATAAGAAGACGATGGAGCTGAACCATAAGAACCATAACCAGTTAAGCCTGAGGATGAAGATGAAGATGATGGTGATGAGCTTGATTGTTGCGATGATGAGCCAGATGATCCAGTGTAACTATTGTCACTTGTTAGACTGTTCTGACTGTACGATGACGACGGGGAAGCAGCGCCATAAGCAGAGCCACTCTGAGGGGTCACGTAAGTTTGACCAGCAGATTGACTAGAATATGAAAGGAAAAGATAAGAAGAGTCCCGTTAATTAGAATGTTAAATTAGAAATTAAGTTAATTGATGTAATCAATTGAGTATATCAAAGACAAAAACAACAACAACAATTTAAAACAATCAAATAATAACCGATCCAATTGTTATCGATTTCAATTGGGCAAATGTTGAGTAAACTATTTAATCTCGTTGATGATTAGAAATTAAAAAGCTTTACATTTGTGACAATTAGATTTTTTTTACAAGAAAAAAACGTCAACAATTTGATTTAATTTTTTCTCTTATTGTTTAATAAGCTGTACAATTATTATTTATTGATTATTCATCAGTGTTGTTGATGCAAAAAACAAAACAAAAAGTATTTTTCATCGGTTGATTGTTGAGGTCATTTGAATGTTTGGTTAGCCCGAAAGTGAGTTTAACCAGTGAGAATAAATTTCTTGACCATCTTAATCGAACTGTCTCTCGATTAATTAATTGTTTGTTTCTTAAAATTGATTACATTTTGATGGATTACCAACGTACCTGTATGGGGCAACATTTGAATAAGATGAGATTGGTGATGATGATGATGATGATCCATAGGATGATGAAGCTTGAGGTTCGTAGGCTGAGACTGAAGATGAGCCACTTGGACCATATTCAGTTTCGGTGATGGTACTTGGTTGGGGTGTTTCGTCGTAAGTTGGGATCGCGGAGGCATAAGGTGAGGCACCGAGAGGTTGATGATAACCAATTGGCGATGATGCTGCTGATCCATAGGTGGTTTCGATTGGGAAAGAGGATAAGTAAGAGGGATTAATTGGTGAAGTCGCTCCAATACCATAGGTTGTAGCATCTACTGCAGCGGCGGCGGCTGCTGCTGTTGCATAATCTCCGGCACTGGCCACATAGGCACCGCTGTTATCGGCGGCTGCTGAACCATAACCTTGACTAGAATAACCTGATCCGCTTGCAGCTGAGCCATAAGATTGAGGGGCAGCTGAAGCATAACCAGTATTAGCACCACCATAGCCAGAGGAAGTACCGTAATTACCACCAGCTGATTGACCGCTGTAAGAGTTTGGTGCATTTGCAGTTTGTCCGCCGTAATTGTTTTGTCTTGATCCAGATGATGAACCTTGACCATAAGATGAACCTGTGGCTGGTGATGATTGTCCACCATAACCTTGAGCAGATGAACTTTCGTAACCTCCGTTTGAGGCTCCATAAGATTGACTTGGACCACTTGCAGGTGCAGTTGCTGCAGCGCCATAAGATTGGCCGCCGCTTGAAGCTCCATAAGATTGGCTTGGTCCACTTGAACCGCCATATGATTGACCGGAAGATGATCCACCATAAGATTGAGCAGAGTTTGATCCGCCGTATGATTGTCCAGCGTTAGAACCACTTCCATAGGATTGACTTGATCCACCGTATGATTGACTGGGTGCGCTTGATGATGACCCATACGATGATGGGGCTGAAGCTGCGGCACCGTAAGATTGGCCTCCAGTTGAAGCTCCATAAGATTGACTTGGTCCAGCTGAAGGAGCAGCACCATAAGATTGACCGCCGGTTGATCCACCATAAGATTGGCCGGAAGATGATCCGCCATATGATTGAGCAGAGTTCGAACCACTTGAAGCTCCATAAGATGAGCTCGAAGCTGGTGCTTGACCATAACTTTGGGAGGCTACTGGAGTTTCTTGACGTCCATTATATTGTTGGCCATAACCTTGGTTACCATTAGCTCCATAGTTGGCATTTCCCTGAGCGGGAGCGGCGTTACCATAACCGGCTTGACTTTGAGGAGCTCGAGATTCTTGTTTTTTAGCTGCTGCCCCACCAGTTAGAGCTGATGGACTAATAGCTGGTAAATCGTAAACATCTTGATTAGTTAAAGCTTTAAATTCGTGATTTTCCAAAGCACCAGTGAAATCTTGGAAAGCGCCTTTTTGATGATCTTCGATAGCCAATGGTTTAAGACCAGGAAATCGAACAGCTTGAGCACCTAAAGCGGCTGAAGAGTGTTTATTATTTGAACCATAACCAGAGTTACCTGAATTAGCGGCTACGGCGAGATGTGAATTGGGACTAGCGGCAGCGTAACCAGCTTGAGCAAGAACGGATGAAGCTCCGTTTGATGCTGATTCGGCGGGATAAATTTCGGAGGGTCGACCATATGAGGTTGAAGAGACTGAAGATGATGGGTGGCTTGCGGCTGGTTTTGAGGGAGCAGCATAAACGGCAGCATTGGTACGAGAAGGTAAAGCCAAGTAACGGTTTCCTTCAGTTCGAGTTGTTACCTCACTTTGTCGTCCAACCGATGAAGATACTGGTGATGGTAAAGATGCTGAAACGGATGATGAAGGTGAAGAAGCAGCGGTAGCAATGGTTCCAGAAGAAGCTGAAGAAGCTGATGGAGCAAATTGTGCTGCAGGTGAAGATGCGGATGCAGCGGGAGCTACAGCGGCAATAGGAACTCTTTGAACTTTACCTGAACTTTCAGCTCCCTGGATGATATCGTGAAACATTGGACTCTTTGCCTGGTTTGAATTACGAAGGTACAAAGGAATGGCAACTATGGAGGGCTGATGGTTGGACGGAGCGGCAATGGGTCCAAGGGCACCCGATGCTCCATTAACTAAACTTGACCCATGGCTGATTGCTGATCGTTTTAAACTGTAGCCAAGTTTTTCTTTGGCAAATAATCCTCGTAAAGCAGCTAAATCACTTTCAAGAAATTGTTGATTAAGAACGGGAAACTTTGGACCAATCGACCAAATCGAAGTGACTTGTAAAAGTAAAAACACTAAACCATAATTAAGGGTGAACATGATGATGATTAAAACAAAGTTAAACAACAATCAGCTTGATTACTTAAATCACAATGAGAAAACAATAACTAAGAATATGAAACAAATTGAAAAGTAAAAATGAAATTATTATCACAATGGAAATTGAATTGAACACAGTTTCTTATATTGATGATAAATCGTAAAAAGTTAATTAATAGTTGGATCTTAGAACCATTCAGTTTGAAATGATTCGTGAAAGTGACCTTAAGTGTTGGTGAGATGGTCAATTTATTTATTACAAGAGAGTAAATTGATTGTGGGAGAGATCAGAGTGGAAAAGGAGGAGACAAGGATGAAGATGAAAAAAAGAGAATGAAAAAAAAACAAGAAGGAGGAAAGAGAAATAAAAAGATACCTGAAGATGGAGATGAAGATGAAGATGAAGATGGAGATAATGGTGATGAAGAAGATGGGCTTAGGTAGATTACAAGTCTTGACCTCAAGACCAAGTTTATTTAAAGATTAAGTTTATTTCGGCCGTTCGTTCATGGCTCATATTCAGTTGACCAGTTAGTTAATCAAGAGAAAGTATGAAAAACATGTTATGTTTCATTCGGAATCAAAACACTGAATCAATCCAGTTACTAATACATTAGATCAACCTGCTTATCCATTATCATCTTTATCATCAACTTTTCATTTATCATCATCAGTTTATCATCATTCTCTTAACCATTTTGCTTAATTATTATTGACTTTTTACCCTTAGGGCGATTTCTTTTATTCTTGTGTTTCTCTCTCTCTCTCTTTCATTCAATACATAAAAATATTAGTAAAAATATACTTTCAGTTGAATGGACACAATTTTTTATCTTCTTGAGTAACAAATGATTTCTCATCTTCATGATCATCAATTTCATCATCATCTTAATCATAATCAGTTAATCATTGGTTTCAATTTACCTCTTTAATCTCACATTTCATGAGCAACATTAATTTTGATTCTCAGAACGAAAAGAAAAAAAAAGTGAAATCTTAATTCTTATCAATTTTCATCAATTGACCTTAAATTGTTAATCTTGATTACCCAATTAGGCGTGATTAAGATATTAAGATTAGTATTAATAGCTTATCAAATATCAACAATCAAATCAAGGGTTGAAATGTTATCACAATGGTAACCATGACCGGCGACATTGGTCAAAAGTAATTACTTGTCAACAGTTAACTCGACTGGAAATCTACTTCGCAATTAACTTTTTGTGATTAGAATTAATTAATCTTACTAATAAATTGGGATTTCACCAGAACAGTAATTTGATGTACTAATTGATTATATGAGTAAAACAAGCAAAGTTAATTAGTTTCAATATAAGTAAATGAGAAATGATTAAGATTAAAACTATTGTAAAGATAAAAAAAGGGAATTCTAATTGGGTTAATCTGATGAGATAACATTTAAGTGTCATATCATGATTAAGAAAATGTACAAATTGTTTACAGTTAATCCAGTTATATGGATTACAATTAAATCAACTTGTGAAGCTGTAACGTATCGTCTAATGATTCCTTGGTTAATCTTAGCTTATTACTACGATTTTGATTGTGAGGATTTTTTTGATCTTTTTGATTAATTGTGAGTAAATCAAGTTGGTTAACTAACTATGGCTACGTCAGGTAAGGGAAAGGTAGCAATTATTGGAAGGTGAGTAAATTATTGAACAATTTAGTCAAAGGTAAATGAACATTTTGTTTTAATTGTGTCAAATTAAAATTGTCAGTGGGCTGATTGGTCAAAGTTGGGCTATGATCTTTGTCTCCGCTGGTTATAAGGTTCAATTGTATGACAATCAACCGGAGAAAGTTATTGGAGCTGTTAAATCACTTGATGAACAATTAAACAATTTAGAGTCAAAGGGTATCCTTCGTGGCCAATTATCGGCTCAACAGCAATCAAATTTAATTAGTGGAGCAACATCACTTTCTGATTGTCTCCAAAATGCTTTTTGGGTTCAGGTAAAAAAACTTATCATTTATTATTCGTTATTCGGTTTGAAACATTGGACTAAATCAATCAGCGGCTAATCGTTTAACATTACTATTAATATTTCCATATAATATTTTCTCATGTTGATTGAATCAAGTAATCAATCCATTTTTCTCAGATCAATTTCAATACCTTCCGAATCAACGACTAAAGGTCAATGAAAAGGATTAACCACTAGCTGATTGATATAAAGTCGTTTTCCTCCAGAATCACCTTCTTTCTCCTTAGAAATAAACTTTTTTTCATTAGAATTAATTTTTCTTCAGTGCTGAAGAGGTTTAATTCCTGTTCTTATTAGAATTGGCCCTTTTCTCTTTCTAAATGAACTTTTTCTTCAAAGCAATTGATCTGTACCAATTCGATCTCATCAGTTGAAGTTAATTTTCCAATTGAACTCACCTTCTTTGGTTAAGAATAGATTTGCTAATAAAATAAGAAGAGATCATGAAGATAGTCCTTTGATCCTAAGATCGTTTTAATTTATATTCTCTGTGGAAATTATTATGATTCAGAAAATCTGATTTTCGATGATGAAAAAGAAGGCGAATTCAATAGGAATAATATGATTGAATTATTTATCTTTGAAATTTTTTATCCAAAAAAGGAATGTGTCTTCGAAGATGTCGATTTGAAACGAGATATTTTCACTCAATTGGATAACCTTGTCTCCGATGAGGCGATCCTTGCAAGTTCCACTTCGTTCATTCCTCCCTCAAAGTTCATGGAAAATCTGAAACATCGTGGTAATGCTTTGGTCAACCATCCAGTTAATCCTCCCTATTTTGCTCCGTTGACCGAATTGGTACCGTCTCCATGGACCAAACCAGAGATTGTCTCTCGTGCAAAGAAAATCTTATTCGATGTCGGATCAAGGCCGATTGTGGTCAAAAAAGAGGTTCCAGGCTTTATTATCAATCGAATACAAGATGCCATTTTCGCCGAAGCTTATAACCTGATTGACGATGATGTTATCGATGTCGACGATTTAGATGCCGTCATGTCCGAAGGTCTTGGAATGAGATATGCGTTCATGGGTCCATGGGAAACGGCTCATCTTAATGCCAACGGGATGGTTGAGTATTTTGAGAAATATGCTCAAGGAATTCATGATGTTCAATCATCATTCAAACCAATTCAAAAGATGGAAGGACCAACGGCCAAGAAGATAATCGATGCCATGTTAACCAAAGTTCCAATGAACCAATTGGCCGCTCGACGAAAGTGGAGAGACGAGATGATGATCAAATTATCTCAAATTAAGAAAGGAAAACAATAGATTCCAATTAAAATGATAATCTCTTGAAAGAAAATTAATCTTATCAATTCCAATTGGTAAACATGATTTGTTAGATTAACGATTATCTCAAAATATTGTCTCAATTAAGAAAACAATTAAAACGAAAGTCAAATGAAAGTTAAACTTGAAAACAAAATCTCGCAGCAATTGAACAATTATCTTTGTTGATAATTCGTGGTTGTTTATTATTACATAGTTAATCTTTATAATCACAATTAACTTGTTAATCCTAATCTTTAACTGAATCAATAATACAACATTAAGATGATTAAGGGTGATGATAATGATCATGTTGACGATGTTGATGTTTAATAATAAACACCAACAATTTAATTTAATTTAACTGTTGTTTCTAATATGTTAATAGTAATGGACGTGACTCAATCAACTATATTTACAATTAATAAACAACATCAACAATCAAGCAAAGGTTATCAAGGTTAAATTGTTAGGGTTTGGGTCACAATCAACTAACAATTACAATTTTCATCCATTTTCACGTTTTTATTTACTATTTTTTTCATCATCATCATCAACAACAACATCATCATCATCTTAATCATCATCTAAATATAATAATACTTTTAATTCAAATCTGAATAAACTTGATTTAGTTTAATTATTATCATTAAAATTAATCCAACAAAAGGAAAAACAAAAAAAATCATCATCTTTTACCCTCTCATTTGATTAACAACAATTTAAAGTTAATCAAGATAATCAGGGAATCGATGATTAAGTTAATTCCATTAATAGTTTCAACTGATTAACTAATCAATAAAATTAGGGGAAAAAATTATAAATGAAATATATTTGAAATGATTTCCAGCCAATCCTTTTTAAAATTAGTTACCTTTCAGCAATTAGTTTATTAATCAAGTAACAATTTTGTTAATCATTAAAATGAGTTCGTAAACAAATTAACAACAATCACACAATTATTTTGATTAACATGGCATACCCATTGAAAGATGATTAAAGTTAATTGTTTATAAAAATGACATTCAAACATTTATAATATTAAATTAAGGTGAAAATGTTAATGTTTATTATTATCACAATCAAGACCTAAATTGTTGATCTAATCTAATCTCATCTTTTTCAATTTAATTCAATAATCATAGAGATTAATTTCATCTAAAATTGTAATAATAATAATAAGGAGATAATGATTAGCTTAATCCAGTTTGGGATTAGTGTCTTACTTTTTCATCATAATCAAGATAATGTTAATCACCTGTTTGTTAACTATAAATTACAACGTAACAATTTAATTAACAACAATTAAACAGGTAAGATTAATGAAGAGGCAAAAAAAACTGAAACCGTTTTTTAGACCAAAATTAAATTTAATCCAATGATTTACAATCAATGGACAATAAATAAATTGTTAATTAAAAATAATGACCATTCAAATGGACATGATGATCAGGTCAATGAAAGTTGTGTACGGTTGCTAATTGGCGATGATAATGATTAAAGTGACCTTAATTGTTACCTTAATCATAATTAGAAGAAAAGTTTTTTTTTTCTCCTTTTTTTTTGGTTACAGTTTTAATTTAATCCTCGACCCTTTAGTTACTTTATTAACGATCTCAATTCTCATACATGATTAGTTGATTATCATCGTTTTGCTGATTGATTGTTAATTTTAATTTGACAAATGATTATTTTCTTGTGATTAATAATATTAATTGCGAAAGTGAATGAACAAAAAAGTTATTACATTTCTAATCTCATTGGTTTTATCATTTTCTACATTCAAATTGTTAATAATAATCATTCATCATTATTTTTTAATCAATCATCACAATATCATATATTTAATTAACTCCCAATTGACTATAATTATCATAAATTTATATTTTTATGTTTAATAGAAATTAACTAACATTAATCAGCTGATCACTTTGTCTCTCTTTCTCTGTGTCAATCAGTCTCTAGGTAAGAAGATGAATAATATATAAATTTACCGTTACTTTTATCATTTTTTTGGAAACTTTTTTATTTCTTTTGCGATTTCAGATCAATGAACTTACAATTCTTACTCATTTTCTTGTATTTGCACCTATCATTTCAATAATATTACTACTTTTATCATCATCATCATTATCATCTCGTGTTAATGTTTTCTTCCTTGAATCATTTCAAATGCCCTAAGGCATTTTTCCAGGTCATTATTCGTTCGCCATCATCACCATCCTCATCTTCATCTTTTAAACCACCAAATGATATGATTTTATCTGTAAAAATGACTATTTTTTTATCATCTCTCTCAATCTTGTGTTAATGTTTTGGTGTTATTTTGGTTACAAATACAAACCTTTAACAAAAAAAAACGCTAATTCCTAATGAAGATAAAGATGAATTAAGAATCAGAATCAAAAAATGGATACAAAAATCGCGATTATCAATATTATCGATAATCCATCTATTATTAGTTTATTTAACTTGAAATTAAATGTTAGTCAATAATAATAATATTAATTACAATTACAATTCTGATATAAGATTAAATCAGATCTCACTCATTTAACAGTTAATTATATTATATGATTTTTGCTGTTATTACTACAATTAAATTTGATTGTAATCATCATCATTTCATTGACACCTTTTTATATGGATTTTGATTCACTTAATCCATCCTCTTAATCCCATTTAAATATCAATTTAAAGGAGACACCAATTAACTATATTATCGATCGGTTTAATGGCCTTAATTATCAACTTAATTGTTTAATTGTTTGAATCTAATATTTATCCAATTTAACAAGACAACACTCAACTTGTCCTACTAATTAAAAATAACTACCATGATATGTCCGGTAATCATTTGGATTAATCTTAATTTAGATCAACATTAGTTTGTAATCCATTGAGCTTTTGTTGTGATCAAATTAAGTTAATCTATTAACTGTGGTTTATTTAATTGCAATTAACTGTTAACCTGATCATTTGAAAGTTAATTTATATTGACATATCAATAGTAGATCTAATTAAGTTTACTTATAATTAACATTGTAACATAATTAAGGTTAAATATTAAAGATGAACTTTAATTAACTTTAATTGTTAACAAGATTAGTATCATTATTGTTTTTAATTGTGTAATAACAATTAGAGTCTACATTTCAATGAGTACTACAAATTAACCTGAATTTTTAAATTGCTGATTCAATTGTCAATACATTTCAATCAATGTTTAATTGTAATTGTTTCCGGTCAACGATTATCAATATGATGATGACACTTTAATTGTTAAGATCAACTAATCAATAATTGCAGATTAAGTTACAACAATTAAAATCTATCATGTAAGTAATGATCATTAATATTATTAATATTTTTAATTCCTCAAAAGTAATCATTTAATTGAACAATTTAATCAATACAATGTTTACCTTTCTACTTGTTAATTTAATTGTGGTCACTTAATAACCATTACTCTTTAATTAGTTAACTAGTTAATTAACTAATAGCGTGTAGGTTTCATTTAGTTTTTTAATTAAATGAAAAATTAGAGGTAAACATTTTAAAGATGATTATCTTAATTGTGAATCATTTAAATTGTTTGATTAGGTTACATTTTAGTCAGAGCAATTTGTAATATCTTTCAAAAGCAAGGTAAGAAAGTAGAGTTAATTGTTACAATCAATTTTAATTGTAGAAGAAAAAATTAGATTCAAAGGGCTCATCTAATCAAAATGTTAATTAACAATTTGATTCAAGGTTAAATACTGATCCTATTTCTTGCCACCACCAAACAATTAACTGATTAACAATTAAATTGGAGCAGACAATTATAATTAATTGACTTAATTGTTATACAAAAATTAAATATAACTTTTTATATGTTTTTACCTTGATTACATTTCCAATGACCTAAACTTTCAAGGTTAAAGGTGAAGGAAACAATTAATTATATATTTTTAGTAATTAAACTTGAATTAAAACAATGACAATTAATAGTTTAAAGCTCCTAAATTGTTACAATTTAATGATATTAAGAAAAGGTTTCCAATGATTAACTACAATTTATGTGTGTATGTATAAATAAATACTGATTTTGTGTTAATTGTTTGCACAATTAAAAATGTAAATAAAAACAAACCAAATTCAGGTAAGTTAATTTGGTATCATCATCATTATAATTAATAGAAAACTGATTAATGATTAGTTAATAATTGTTTCTAATAATGTTAATCACAAATGATCAGTATAATCATAATTAACCATGATTTAGTTTGAAGTAATTTGATTATCGTTCAATTGTTATAATTAAACGTGAAATTGATTATGATCAACAACTATTGACTTGCAGCTGAACATTTAGTAAACAATTAAAATCGCAAGTTAATTCAGTTACAAATTATATTTAGATGATGATGATTAAGATGATTAATAAAAAAATAGTAAATAAAAACGTGCCAATGAATGAAAATTGTTACTGATTGTAATTGTTGGTTGATTGTGACCCAAACCCTAACAATTTAACCTTGATAACCTTTGCTTGATTGTTGATGTTGTTTATTAATTGTAAATATAGTTGATTGAGTCACGTCCATTACTATTAACATATTAGAAACAACAGTTAAATTAAATTAAATTGTTGGTGTTTATTATTAAACATCAACATGATCATTAACATTAGTTGTTGATCTTAATTTAAATATAAAAAATTAACAATTACTTTCATTGAGAAGGTTAATTAAAGTTCCAAATTAAAACAATGATGATGATTAAAAGTTATTCTTACAGTTCGTTGACATATTATCGTATTGGTCAATCAAATATCAATTTTAATTTGATTGATTTGTTCATGTGAAGTAATTAACTTGCTTGACCAAAATCTAATTGTCATTAAATTCATCATTAACCTTGATCAATTTTCTTTCTCAATTCATGATAACAATTAAAATGTTGTTTTTTTAGATTGAATCGTGTAGATGGTTAATCTACTTGTTAGAAATATCTAATGATAATTATAATCATGATACCGAATCAATTTCCATTAAATCAATCAACTTAATTGTGGTTACATGTAAATCATTTCTTATCATCTTTTACTTGTCATTTATTAACAATTTAAGATGATCAGTAAATATATTTAAATTATGTTCACACAAATAAACAGGTAAACATGATGATGATAATATAAACTGACCAAGGTAAATAACGGTAAATGTTGTAAACTGAACACAACCTTAATGTTGTCCATCAATCAGATGATTATCAAGCATCATAAATTGTTGATTATTATTACAACGTAATTAACGTTGTTCTGTAAATCAAAATGTTTAAATATGTGGTCAGTTAATTGTTATCAGAGTAAAATATCAAAGTTTTGTAAGATGAGAATAATTAATTCACTTGAAACACTGAACAGTTTTAATTAAAAGTTATGATTTTATCTGAAAACATTATCGTTTTCATAATTGCAAATACAAGTTATAATACATTTAAATGAATCATATCAAATGATAAACCACAATTGAATCAAGAGTATAATAATCAGCGGATAATCAATTAATTACAAGGCGAAACAAATCTCATCAGAAAAAAAATTGATTAACTAACAATTAGAACGGTAGATGATTAAAACACCAAGATTTAAATATAAATCTTAATCCACAGATGAGTTAAACAAAATCATTACAGTTACTATGTTGAAACACAAAGTGAAACTAATCTCAATTAAATCAATCACAACAATTTAGCAAGAAAATATAAACAATCAATCAGCTGGGTAACTAATTTTGAGAGCGAAAGTTAATCAAGAAGTAATTACAATGGATTATACAAAAGGGATTATGATTAGAAACGACTCTCTCTCTCTTGGTTAACTAGAATACATTTAACAAATTAAAAAGAAAATTAAATCAGCAATTAACTAAGAGAAAAAAAATGAACGATTAAAAATAGCCCAAGTCTTGAGGTCAATCAATGAAAAAATAAAGAGATGATGAAGATAACTGTATCTTAATTTTCATCTTCATCCTTTTTTTTCACCTTCTCTTTTTCTTGAAAACATTTTAATCATCTTCATCTTCATCTTCATCTCCATCATACTGTTGATGATGATGGAGATTGCAAAAAAACATTAAAATTTCATCTTCTCCCACAATCAATTTATTCTTGTATTATTATTATTAATGGATAATATCGATAACATGAACACTGATCAACACCATTAACATGAAAAGGTCACTTTTAATTTTAAATCATAAATTAGCTTCCAGTTCAATTTAATAATAATAATATTATATTGATCATCAACCTTGAAAAGAAAACAAATTTACAGGTAAATACGTGATCTGATTAAAATTGTAATAATAATAATCATAATCAGCATCAGTTTGCAAATGATGAGGATGATCAGTTATCTGTTTTTTACCTTGAAGATGAATTTAGGTTTATAAATAAGACGAAGCGAAAAAAAGTTTCATCAATTTTAATCATGATCGCGAATCAAATCTCGCTCACAATCAAAACTGATCATCGCACTAATATTATGATTATATTATTAGCCTCGATTGGCTAATAATTTGATGTGATATCATGACAACATCATCATCAACAACAAAAACAACTGATTCTAATCAAAGTGATTAGATATCAAACATTAATTATCAGTTTAAACCCAATAATTAGTTAAACTTAATTCTCGCAGTTACCCAAACAATTTATGATTTAAAAGGCAATCGATATATTAGAAACATTGTTTTCAATCAACAGGAATTATCTAATTTACTGTTGATTGTTGATTATCATGATTACCTGTTTTCTTTAAGATGGACTAATTAGTTTGATTGCTACTTTTATTGGAATTAAATTGCTAAATTGGATAACGAAAAGTTTTTTTTATTATTTATCATTTGAATACTAATTTTTGCTTATTATTTGTAGGGATTTTCATGTCATGATTATTATTGTATAATCCATGTTTCTAATCACATTAACCACTAATTAATTACCGATTTAGGCTAATAATTATAATCTAAAACAATCAAATGATCATGAGAAATATTTATAACCACAATTGAACAATTTTACTTAATCAACATGTTCAGGTCACGCATAAGGAATGGCTAATTATTTTCATCATTTTCTGTAAACAATTTAAGGGTTAAAGGCTAATTGTTGCTTGATTACAATTAATATTAATATCGTAACTCACAATCAGAACGAGATTAGTTTTCTATTATTAATTGTTTAAGTTAATCAGTAATATCGAAATGGAGATTTTTCTTATTATCTCCCAATTATTGACTATCAACGAGTAATTGACCACGAACTTTGGACCAAATAAACGAACTTTTTTTCTCTCGAACAATCGATCTGATCGATTCTAAGTTATTAGAATGAAAGAGGAAAAAATATTAGATAATCGACTGTCTTAATTGGTCAACAATTAATAAATTGTAGACAATTGGGATCATTTGGTTAGTTGCATGAACCAGGAATCAATTGAAAATGAAATTTATCAATCAATTGTCTCAATTGTACTTTCTAATTACTATTTAATTGTTTACTCAATGACTGAGTGGATTTTAAGTGCAAATTTAATCATCCTGATTACAATAATTCTGTTAATTGGTTGCAATTGAAATTAGTAATTTCATCTCTGCAATTTGATTACACATATTGTATTCTAGCATTAGATCATTATATCAGCAAACATAATGTTGTTAATGATGATTAAGATGAAGAGAATATAGTTAATTGTAAATTAGGGAAAGGAGAGGCTCATTTAATTGTTGTTCGTTTCAATTCAAATTGCTTGATTAACTTGATGTTTCCATGATCTTGGAAACTTGTTTCATGAGATAAAGGGTTGAATTCAATTCAGATTCATTTCTCTTTCTTTTCTTTCTTTTTTCTCATCTTCATCTTTTCTTTGAGAAAATCTTTTTGCTTCATCTTAGATAATCAAAGGTAACAATCAATTTTAATTGAAATACAATTAAATTGGAAGATTAAGCGATCAACATTTCTTTTAATCAACTTAATCAATTTCTCACATTATAATAATAGTTTTCTAATTTCCCTCGAGTAAATTTAATTGAGACAATTAACTTTTACCATAAACTAAACATGATTTGGAAGTTGCTTATTTATAATAAATTACGTAAATTAAATTAATCACAATTAATTTCAACCAATGTTTAAAAGGTGATAATGTCTCCCTAATGTTGATCATCCGATTGATGATAAAGGAAAAGGAAATGGATGAAAAGTATTTGTGTGCATGGAATTGATTAGAGAAATTGTCACATGATCAATGGTATTAATTAAATAATCCAGTTGAATTATCTACTTTTATAACTCAATTTGTTGTTCATGACCATTCACTTTACATGTCAAGTTTGAATCAAATGAGATTTGAGACAAAATTGAGATAATTTAGTTAATTTAAATAATGAAATTTAACAATATTTTTAAATTGTCTTTTGTTTTCTATTTCATCATTATTAATATGTTGTTAATCACAATCGATTGTTACAATAACAGTTTAAAGGGGAAGATCAGAGTGATAAATAATTGTAATTATTATAATATAAAAACAAATCTATTTAGATTGTAATTGTTATTAAATGTATTTATAATAAAGGTTCAAAATAAGTTGCCTTGGAATTGTTATTTTGATTAATTTCTTTATACACATTCATGAATTGACCATGTTGTTTGTTATTGTACCACAATTAAGCAATTTAGTGATAAATTTTTCTCTCATCAGGCAAAAATGGATATTCACATAATTCACTTAAAATCTTGTTGATTTTCACTACAATTGTTGACGATGAAATCAAGTTCGACTGCAAATTCACTGATTAAATAAATAAATCAATTTTCTTTTCTTTAATTGAGAAAATGGAGGGAGGATAGTCCATCGTGATTAAAGTTATATGGTAGAAGTTATTTTCTCGTGCTTTTTGTCACCACCATGAAGAGAACAACAATTAGTGAATTCTTGTCTTCTATTAATATTCTGTTATTCTCAGCGTGTTGCCTATGTGTGTTTCCCTAATAAACGATGATAAACACATTTTTCTCTTGTTCTTTGTCTTTGCCATTGTTTTAATGTCGCTGAGTAGATTTGCAGTTGTTGCTTTTTTTTAACTGCTTGTGGTTTTTGATGCTCAATCTTAGTTTATAAATATTTTACATGTAATTGTCATTACCACGAAGAGGAGTCTTGTTATAAACTGGGTTTGGTACAACAGGACGAGGTGGGTAATGAGATGAAGGAGAAGAGGCAACAGAGGAGGATGATGATGATGATGTTGAGTGAGATGGTGAAGAGACAATCTTTTTAATGTTGCTTTGATTGCGAGATGCTGGTGATGATGATGATGATGATGATGAAGCTGATTTTCCTGATGAAGATGAAGAGGTAACATCAATTGAACGATTAGTTAAGCTTGTCAAAACTTCTTTGACAAAAAATTCACTAACTCCAGGATAAATTTTCTCTGCAAGATCAAAGGCTCGTCGAAGTTCATCAATTGTATCAGCTTTATTACTCTTTGTTCCCATACTATTCCTCGTATATTTTAATTTCAACTACAAGAGAAAGAGAGAAAACAATTATTATAAACAGTTGAAACAAAACAATAAATTGAAATTTACCTCATTAAAAACTGGATTAAGAATCATTGTCGTGTAAGGAGAGGATTTTGATAGATTGGATTTTTCTAATTTACTGGTCACTTGGTCTATTTCTTTTTCTGTGCGTCCAGGTGATTTACGGTTAACAGGTAACACTGGATTAACATAGGAGCAGGATGGATTGTCCGTAATACTATATTTTTCACGTTTATCAGAATCATATTTATCTGAATATTGTACTAACGGGTTTGGTTTCATACGATGGTCCCTTACAGGTGATGAGGTTGATGGTGATGAAGAATTATTGAAATTACTATTTTTAGATGAGTTACTATCAATTGAGGGTATCGAAGATGATGTTAAAGATGAAGAGGATGAAGAGGATGTTGATGTAGGACTTTTTGGACGGTATTTATCCTTTGACAATTTAACAGCAGATATTTCATCTCTAATTGGTTCTTTAACATTTTTAGGTGTCTAGACATGAGAATTAGGAAATAGAAATGATAAAAAGTATATAAATTAGTTCAAGTGATGAATCAAGAAAATTAAAGGGAAAAGAATTCGTAAATAAATTATTTACATTGCCATTTTTAGCATCACCATTTTTGGGCTTCGATTTAACGTCAACTGTTTTCTTTGGAGTGACATTCACTTTCGCAGCTACCTTAGAAACACCATTGACCTGAGACTTGGCGATATTGGAAGGTGTGGAAGAAGAGGATGTAGATGAAGATGAAGAAACGAAAGACGAAACGGACGAAGGAATAGTTTCCTTCTGTGAATTGGAAATTGATGACACCTCAGAATCTTTTGCTGTAACCGATGATTTACTTAAAATAAATGGACTGATTTGTGGTCTAATGGTTAAATCCCAATTTAGACTATCACCTTCACTGTTATTTCTAGAATCGTCGCTACTAAATTAAATAAAGATGAAATCAAATGTTAGTTAGGTGTTACAATTAAATCGTAAAATGGAAGAAGAAAATAACTCACGAATCAGAGGCTTCAGAGTCGCTATCACTTTGACCACCGCCCGCTGCTTTCCAGCGTTTGTATCTTTCTATTAAGTCAATCAAATGAGAATTTTTCTTGGCTTTCCGGATGAATGGAAATTTAAGAAGCTCCTTAGCTGATGGTCTCTGAAAGTGGAAAATAGAATTTTTTGTTGTTGATTCAAGTGAGATACAGAGAAAAATAGAAAATAATTGTAAAGAAAGAAAATAACTTGTTCTCTACAACAAATTAAATCTCAAGATTAAGATATCATGGTTGGGTTACTATTAAGGTCTTACGTTTTCCGGGTCCTTGTTCAGACAAGCTTCGACAAACTCCTTAAATTGTTTACTATAATTTCCTGTTAGCTGAGGTGGATTGTTCTTGGGTATAAGGAAAAGAACTCTCATCGGATGTAAATCTGAATTAGGTGGTTCTCCTTTTGCCAGTTCTATTGCTGTAATCCCAAGACTCCAAATATCAGCCTAATGGTTTAATATGTTGAATAATTAAGTTGATTGAATTTCAATGAATAATAATTCCAATATCAGGTAGGAGAGAGGAACAGAGATAAAAGCAAAGCAAAGAAAATGAGGAGAGGGAAATAAAAGAGAAAGAAAGAAAGAGAGAGAGAGAGAGTAATGAATTAGCAAAATTATTCAACAGAAAAAGAGTGTTGGCTTTAACACTCAGAGAGAAGCCTTAAAGTTAACATGTAGTAACCTTGGAGTCATAATTAGATTGTTTTATAACTTCAGGAGCCATCCAAAAAGGAGTTCCTACAAATGTATTCCTTTTATTGGTGGTGTTAGTCAATTGTCCGGCGACTCCAAAATCAGCCAGTTTAACGTCTCCTTGTTCTGAGAGTAAAACATTAGCAGCTATTGAGCAGGGGAGAGAAAGAACAATTGATTACTAAATTATTACGAAGTTTTCTAAACATCGATCATAATCTCAACAATAGAGGAAAAGAAAAAAAAAGGTGTATTTGTCTATAGTTAACAAAATGGTAGAGAGAGAGAGAGAAAGAAAGAGAAAATTAAAAAATTAGAGTTGATGGTGATGTGTAGAATGGGGAGAGATTCAGGTGAGTGTTTACCTTTTATATCTCTATGCAATTTTCTTTCTGAATGTAAGTAATCCAATCCTTTAAGAACCTCTCTGAGGATAACAGCGATCAAATTCTCTTCAAAGTTACCAGCTTTCATTAGATCTAAGGCTGAGCCTCCGCCAAGATATTCCATGATGATCCATAATTTAGTTCCCTGAACGATAATTGAGGTAGAAAAAAAAGAAGAGAAATCTATTCAAGTTAAAACAAGTTCACAAGTAGAAAATATAAATGTATAAATGAGAAACAAACACACCCTTTCTGAAAACAACCCATTGGAAAATAACTACTAACCTTCAAGTATGATCCATAATATTTAGTAACAAAAGGTGAATCACATTGAGATAGAACCATAATTTCCTGTTGAATATCTTCAATTTCATCTTCAGCTTCTTCAAGGTCAATTATCTTAATGGCAACAACTTGCTGGGTCCGATTGTCGATACCTTTAAATACTTCACCAAAAGAACCTTTACCGATACGTTCTTGTTTGGTAAATATTTGCTCGGGATCAAGCCTCTGGTAATTATTATTCATCATGGTTTGTTTATTCAACCAGCCACATGATTAAGATTACGATAGTAAATTATCATTTAAGTATTGAGACAAATGATGTTGTCAGTTGTTGTTTTGGTTGTGAGGTTCATGTTGTATTTTGAACAATTAGTATTCAGAGTGTTTGATTTATCCAAGATGTTATCAGGAACCGAAAACAATCAGTGTGAAGAGAAGGAAATCAGTATGACGATGATAAAGATGATGGAGGCAAAAAGAAAAGAGAAAAATAAAACAAAAAGAAACACAATTAGTCGCAATGAATATGATAATATGGATGTTCAACATTAATTAGATTAAGGTAAGTAAAGGAGTGAACCAAAAATCCTTTAAAAGGAGTAATAAGGTTGTGATGATTTAAGGTGAAGGAAAAAATTGTTGATGGACACACAAAATACAAGAAAAAAAACAAGGTTGTAAAGGTAAAAAAGGAGGGTGAACAAAGATGGATGATTAAGTTAATTAATTTACCTCATTGTAGGCCATGTTAGACATCACGTTCAGATATGTGGAAAAATAAAATTCAAACTTGATTCTCTATTAAATTGATATAACTGATACATTGGAAGAAGAAGGTTCTTTTTTAGTTGAAGTTGGTTTGTTGATTTAATAGTTGTTTACACCGCAGTGTCGCTCATACACAGAGGGATGTTTCAAGATACAAGTTACACCATTAATCACAACCATCTTGGTGATTAGAGATTTAATGGAAATAGGAATAGAATTGGAGAGAGAGAGAGAGAGAGAAAATATATCGAACACAGAGAGATTATCAGATAATAGAAAAGATAGATAACAAAGAAATAGAGATAGAGAAGGAGAATAGATTAATAATAATAGGAAAAAATGATGATGATGATGTTAATAGTTGTTGTAGTGATGATGATGATGATGATGATGATGATGATGGTGATGATGATGATGATGATGGAGAGAAAAAGAGAGAAGGAGAAAGAGAGAATAGAGAATAGAGAAAGAGAAGCGATAAATTAGACACAGAACAAAATCAGATAAGAAACTGAAAGAAAGGTAAACAGTTAAGGTTAGAATTATAAAGATGCTTTTTAAAAGACCTTAGATTACAATTAGTTAATTGTTTAATTAAAATTGACAATTAAATAATAAACAAAATAGGAAACGAATCAGTTTATTGTTACTCTTGGTCTTTTAAACCAAACAGTAAACATTTGGTTCATTGGACTAAACCAAATATTCAAATTTTTTGGCGCTTTTTTCGAATTTTGATTTAATTCGAAATTTATTTTAATTTTGTTTATCTTTTTTTCCCCAACGATAATGGTTTGTTGATTACATGGAACAATTAACTCATTAATGTGATTTATCGTCATATGATTTGTGTATTTATTTGACGATCAGATTGCATGAGTTTTATCAATCATTTAAAAGGTTAATTTGATAATTGTTTTTGTCTCTTTTTGATTAATTAAGTTTCTTTTTCTTTCTTCATGTTAATTAGTTTTGATTGAATTAAATTGGGGAGAAGATTGTTTACTTTTTAATTGTTGTTGTTATGTTTTAAATTAGGTGAGTAGATCAAAGATGATTTAATTGTATTCGTTTACAATTAATGATTGTCTTATGATCATTTATTCAAATGGTTGAAGGTTGAATCTTTTTTTTTATAATTTAACAATTAAGTTAATTAATCTCATCTTGATTGTTGTTTAATTTTTTTTCTCATTCTCGTGATGTCTAATTACATAAGAATCTATGTTAATTAGATTTTCACTTGACAGTAACTTGAGGTTTGTTGGATGATCGTGATAACTATTTGATTTTAATGATCAATTTTGTAAATTGACCAAATTTTCATCAACTTAATTTGATTAGTTGTTAATTGAAATTAAAATCAGTTCTCCGGATGATTGATCAGCATGCGAACTAAAAAAATATCGTTCTGTCATAAGAGTAATCTAATTCCCATCTTAATATCAGAATAGATCTCAATTAATTTGATGAGATTAAAGTTTTCCATTTAAGAAACAAGTCAAACACTTTCCAACAAAGTTAATTGTTATTTAATTACTTCCATGGTGAAATCTAAACATTAAAGCTCAATATTTAGTTGATGAAAGATGATAACTCTTGTTAAGTCCAGAGAATTAACTTTGCATTCATATCCAAAAGGTGAAATGGTTAATGTGAACCATATTGAGGAGCATCATGTTAATCATGTAAATGTAGAATTGGAAATTTGAACAATTAAATGACAGAATGAGCCAATTGAATGGAGACAATAAGTTGGATTCTTATGGAGACCCTGTAGCAGGTTTGATGCCGTTTACAAGACAAGGATTTCTCCACGTAGACGAATTCAAATGTCAGACCAAGTCAAACCTGTCGAGGGAAAGGTAATTTATCTTCTCTCTTTCTCTCTTTCTCTTTCTTTCTCTCTCACAATTACCTGAGTAACTTGAAGCTGAGAATCGATGAATCTCAAAATGTCCACCCTTTTCCTTGCATCGATTGTGTGACGATTTGACTTGTCATAGACTCTCCTTCATGGTGACCTTTCATTGTGAAAGTTAACTAAATTTAGAGAGCTGAGCAATTAAGTTAATTTTACTCGTAGCCGCCAATCTTAAGTCGAAAAGCAGCTTGATGTTAATATTTTAAGCTGACGGATTCTTGTTCTGCTCGGTTGCTATTGGCAACAAATTGTTATTCTGATTCACTTTAATTGTCTCACATTTTGTTAAATTTTTCTTTTCTTTTTCTTAGTTTTTTCTTTGTTAATTTTATTAAAAGAATTCATTAAATTTGTATTTTCAGAGACAAAGTATCCAATGATTCTCAGAATTTTATTACTAACTTACTTGGATTACTGGATTAGATTAGATAATCCTAATTCGAATTGTGCTTTAATTCGAGGTGATGTTGAAATTCTTGCTACTATTGGAGGTGGAAAATTAACAAGTCACTTGTTGATTGACGAAGAGGAATATCAATGGTGAATAGTTGATCTTTCAGATGAACGGCCCGTGAATCTGCCCATAAACCCAGTTGAACGCAATTACATTATCATTAAAATCCACCGAATATACAATTACCCGTTGGTGCCCACATTAAATACTGATTTCAAATTATTGTTACATTTGATTTCTATCGCGAAGTTAATTGGACAGGTCAAACCAATCGAAAAGGTCGAGAGTACAAACTCCGTCTCAAGTTGTATCACGATGTAAACAACATTGACCATTGGCCAGCATTTTCATATCCATTATATTTACCACCATTTTCAGTGGTCTTTACAAGGATTGATTGTAATCAAAAAAATTGTAACAATTAACGATAATTAAACTTTCATCGTTGTTTCCATCAAGAAATAATTTTCATTTCAATTCTTCGATTCAAATTTGTCTCTCAAGTTTCGAGAACAATATCTAACTTTTCAATAGATTATCACAAGATCAGTTTTGATGAGAAAATAGATGTTTAAAAAGACAAAGAATTTAAATTGTCAATTCAATTGGTTTAATTTTCCTCTCGAACAACTTGTACACGTTACTATGAACAACAAGCTCTCCCTTTAATCAAGTTTCTCACTTGTCTCTTTGCCTTCATCATCAGTTGTTCATTTCTTTGTTTACAATTTTTGTTTCCTCATTTTGTTTTCTCTTTCTAATTGTTAATCAAATCTAATCATCATCATGGTTAAAGCAACAATTGGTTGGGACAATCTATTCACTTATGACAGTTTAGTCCATGCCATGGCGGGATCGGCCGGTGGGGTCACGGCGATGACCACTTTCATCCCTTGGATACTGTTAGGTCCCGATTACAGGTTGATGATTTAGCCAAGGGAAAGAATACCTGGATTCTGATCAAGGAAATTCTCGATGCTGAAGGAATGTAAGTGTAACAATTAACCCCAGTTAATTGGTGAAAAGTCACTTTGATCTACCAACAATTAATTGATTCATTTCTCTTTGTTTCTTTTTTTCCCGTTGTAATCATTTGTTTCCACCATAAAGGGAAGGCCTTTACCGAGGATTAGAACCCGTCCTTATATCTCTTTGTGCTTCTAATTTCGTCTATTTCTACTCATTCCATGGATTAAGGGCCATGTTCAAGACTAAAGCACCTTCTGCAATTCGTGATTTATTTCTTGGTTCAATCGCGGGGACAATTAACGTACTATTAACAACACCCTTGTGGGTTGTTAACATGAGGATGAAGATGCAAGGAGCTAAGGTATTAGTAATTGATTTTCACTCTCATTTCATCACTTGGGTTATAATGCATTTGTAATTTAGGATAATTAATCAATGTTAAAATTGTCCTGTCTTAATTGAACTGAGAATTATCATTTTCCACCAAATACTTTCCTTATTATGACCCAAATTATAGTTTTTATTTTTTCTATTTCCTTATTTTCTTCATTGGTTTTCCTTATTGATTTTTTTGTTACTTCTTCCCATTCAAGTTGAAACATGGCGGCGATTCAGTTGTCAGAAATTCACCTCGATACAAAAACATATTCCATGGTATTTATAAAATAGCTGCAACTGAAGGTGTTCCCGCTCTCTGGGCTGGTGCGATTCCATCCCTTGTTTTGGTTACTAATCCAGCGATACAATTTATGATTTATGAGAATCTTAAACGTCGAACACAATTATGGACTGGACAAGAACAAATCAAAGGGTCGACTGCCCTTCTCCTTGGAGCGATTTCCAAAAGCATGAGTACCATTTTAACTTATCCATTGCAAATCGTCCAATCAAAATTAAGAGTAATTATCTTCCAATCAATTGATCAACTTGAGATTCGTCATGAATTTGTTTCTCCTTCTATTATCTAATAATCTGATTGATTTATATTTTTCTTTTCTCTGATCGATTAGTATGGAAGTGAAGATGTTAGAAACAAAGATATGATGCAAGTAATTCGGATGATTTTACTTCGTGATGGGCCCAAAGGACTTTACAAAGGAATGGAGGCCAAACTTTACCAAACTGTTCTGGCGACAGCGTTAATGTTTTTCACCTATGAGAAAATCGCAGCATTTGTGTTCACCATAATGAAGGGTTCGAAGAAGATGAAAAAATAAACAGAAAACGCGAGAACATAATTTCCAATGGTTAATCTCATCGTCTTTTCTTTAAATCAATTATCCTTTACATACGATTTTCTTTCATCGTTTTCACTTTCCAATGTCCAAGGCCAACTTTAAGTGCCTCGTCTATGCAATATTGACTTTTTTTCTTTAATTCTCATTTTATTTTCGTTTTCTATTCTATTCCAACATTAATCCATTTATCAAATGGATACATTTATATGATTACCATAACAAAAAATTTTCACCTTAATATATAATTTAGATAAAATATCAACACAATTATCAATTGTAACGTTTAAAATGCTCAAAAGAGCTTTAAATTGACAATTATTTCTTTCAAACGTAGAGAAAGTTTCAATCTTCAAAAGGAGGTAATCCAAATAATTCAGGCTTAAAATCGTTTAAAGATGGAATAGATAATGTCGGCTCTGCATCATTCCATGGTAGTATCATTGGATCGGGAACTTGGACACATTGCATTCCAGCGGCGATGGCACCTTTGACACCATTAGTTGAATCTTCGAAAACTAGAACCTAAAACGAAAACAATCGAGATTTTAAGGATATTATTAATTTCTCTACAATAACAACTATCTAAACAAGAAAAGCTTCCAAATTCATGAATTTACATGTAGATATACAGCCAAACACTTTGAGTTTGCAACTTTTTTTTTAAAATTAGGTAATGATATGATATACGAATGATTTAAAAATGGGTGCAAACTCAGTCTTTGACTGTGTATTCTCATTAGGTGAAATAATTTATTGAATGATTTTGATTACTTACAAGTGATGGATCAGCTGGTGGATTAAATCTTCTTGCACAAACAAGAAAAGTGTCCGGATGAGGTTTACCATGTTTAATATCAGGATCAACTGCAGCCTTAACGATATGGTGAAAATATTTATCCGTCTCAAAGACTTCTTTATGCTTGACAATTTTAACATTAAACGAAAATTCCGAACTAGATGTTGCTATTGCCATTGGAATTGAATGTTTCTTTAAATGGTCCAATAACCTTAAGGCTCCAGGCATAAAGTTAATATTTTGAAATAGCTCTGAATAAATAGGCTCTAATAATTTGGTTGCCTCTTCAGGTGTAAGAGGTAAGTCAAGAGCATCTATCACAGTTTGTGAAGCATCTTTCCCAGTCTTTCCCATAGTTTTAGCTGCAAGTAAAATAAAAAGACAAAATGGAAAACAAAAACGTTAGAATAGAACAAATTAACTAGAAAACCAAAAGAATCCACAAAAAGAACAAAACCTTTAATCTCAGGTGTATATACTTTTCCATATCTTGCCGTAACCTCGGTTATTGCTTTAAAATATATGGTCTCAGTGTCTATAATTGGAGAAGAAACAACAATTAATATTAATAATTTCCAATTTAATTAGAAAATCAATTTCAATCTTACCTAATAAAAGACCATCAAGATCAAAAATCACATGAGTAATTGGTTTAAATGAAGTACTTGTTGCCATCTTAACTAAAGACTAGGATGTGAATAGAAAACAAAAGGTTTAACAAACAACCAAACAATCAAAATAACGTTAAACAAACTCAACTACAATTAAAAAGAGATAAAATTAATTAAGGTGTTAATTTAATTAACTGATTAACGGTTAATCATTAACCTTGCGAAAAAAGATTCACATGTAACCAGCGAATCCCAAACGATCCGATAGTATCGATACTCGTATTGGATAAATGGAAGTGAAGCCGAACAAATGGTTCGTCGGCTCAACAACTGATTCTTTTTCCGGCTCAAGACTGGCGACTTTTTGGAAAAGTAAGAGACTTTCATTTCTCTTTCTTCATGGCACTTTCTGCTTGTTGAGTTGTTTGGATTCCGATTTTTTTTACATTAATCAATTAGTTAATTTATTTAAATTGATTGAGTATTTTTCTCTTCATCTCTTTGTTTTAATCTATTAATTGTTAATCAACAAGACACTGAATAAATTGAACCTTTTCTTTTTTATATCTTGTGTGCTTAACTGTTGCTTCTAAATTGGTGACAGTTACATTTTACTCTTCATCCATTGATTTAGTTGTTTCTCTTTTTTTTCACTTTTCTCTCTCTCTCTCTCTCTCTTTCTCTCTATCATTGATTCTTTGTGTGTTTCCTTGTTATGTATTTTCCATTTCTACTTTCTATCAATTCTTAATTTAATTTCAATTTGTTCATTTTTCTATCAATTTCCATCATTCTTACAGTGTCAATTATTCTCTTCTAACTTAATATAAACCCTGACATTCTGTTCTCTCTTACTCGTTCTCTATCCTCTTATCCCTTTAAATTGATTCTTTTTCTTCTTCTACCTGTTCTTTTCTTTCTTAATTATTCTTTATTTCTCTCTGTTTAAGTTAAAATTGTTTAACTTCAATTTTATTCGATGGCAACAGTTTCAAATGACAATCTTCTTGAACTTTATCTCAATCCAACCTATCTATTTCCATTGATTGGTGTAATAAGCGGTTTAACGGTTTACCTGTTGGGATTTAATAAAACCAGTTCAACTCCACCAACACTTCAATTATTTGCCAATGGAAAGGAAAAGAAGACACAATTAATTGGTAGAAAAGAAAAGAAACGTGATAATCTTAATTCAACATCGATTACCAGTAGTCCGGCTAAATCGAAAACCCAAGCCAATGGTAAATTAAGCAGTTCTAAATCAGCATCTCCTGCAACTAAAAAAGGCAAAAGTAAGTAGATTAACATGAAAACCGAAATGAAAATAGTATTCAAATTAACGATCCGGTAAAAACTGGTTTAAATCGTTATGACATAATAAGGGAAAGAAGATGAAGAAAGTTGTTCATTTTACTGTTATAACGATCTTCTAACCAATTCTACCTTTTTTCTTGATTGTCTCTTTTTCAATAACACCCAAATATTTGCTCTTCCAAAATAAGGTTAAATTGTCTCACCGAAATCATACTTGTTATGATCAAATTTAATTTTATTTATAAATTAACAATTAACTGTTTCCCTTTTGCTTCTTCTTCTTCTTCTTCGTCATCTTCTTTCTCTTAAAATTTCTGAATACGTGGACATTTTAGATATAAAACATGAGTGATCGTCATCAGAGATAAATTACTGTTAATTGTTTCGTACGTCGACATCTGCTTCTCATCCAGCTCTTGTAATTAATTCTCTTTCTCTTACCTGATATAATATGTTGATTAACGATTTCTTTCAAATCATGATCCTGATTAAATAATCTTACATATGCTTACCAAGCTTTTACAATGATTTTCATGTTGACTAAAAAACTAGAAAATGATTAGTTTTTGATGAGTGTTTGTTTCTAGATATGATTGATTTTATTAAACATTGTGTCACAAATTATCAACAAAATTGATCAACTACTCACCATTAAAATGAAATATTGAGTTTATAGTGACAACGTATGAATCTCAATTGCTACTAGGGAACTTTAATTCCTATTCAGCTGTGTTGATTATCATTATTTTCTTGTTAATTGTTAACATAACCATTTTAATTATTATTATTATTATTATTTATTAATTTTTGTCTCTCTTTTTTGTTTTATCCAATTTTTAGATGTAGAAAGTCCTAAAAATGTGAAAGCAAGTTCAAAGGATAAATCGTTGGATTCTGCAAAGGTTAATGTTGGCAAGAAGAATAAAAAGAACGCAAATGAAAAGGAGAACGAGGTTCACGATGAGATCGACCAAATGTTGAACGATACCAGTGACGGCGAATGGAAAATTGTCACCGGTAAAGAGAAAAAGAGAAAGGATAAGAAAGACGAGCCCGAAAAGAAAGAATCATCAAAGAAAAAATCTAATGAGAAAAAAGTGGCTGATAAGAAAGTTGCTGACAAGAAGATCGCTGATAAAGAGATGATCAAGAAAGAAGTGGAAAAGAAAGAGGTGCCCAAGAAAGAAGTATCTAAAAAAGAAGTAGAAAAAAAGGAATTGCCTAAAAAAGAAGAGAAGAAAGAAGTAGAAAAGAAAGAAATTCCCAAAAAGGAAACATCGAAAAAAGAAGCTACAAAAAAAGAGACAAAAAAACAATGAAATTAACTTAGAATTAGTCTTCATAATCAATTGATAAGCAAATCAGATCAGAATCAATTATTTTCTTTGGTCCATTCTGATTAACTCTATTTTTCATTATTGTCTATGTTATAACTATTTTAACTCTATCTCTTCACGACTCATCTCAAAAAAAAACAAAAAATTTTCTCTCGGGCTTAATGTTGGGCGAACGGATTTGCGAAAAGACAAGAGACAGAAGCCAATTATTGCCAAATTATTTTCAACAATCAAATCAAATTTATTTTCCAAGTGTTGGTCTGCAAAATTGATAAGCAAAACCCCATACACATTGAAAGCAATCAACCTCTCGTCTAAAATATTTTTAATATAATTTAATATAATCAATGTAATCATCATAATAGACTGAGTGAAGACAATTAAGCCAATCACAATCATCATCCATTTTACTTTGGTCAATTTAACAACAACAATTAAGATTTCTTGATTTTCCTTTGCAACGTTATCCACTAAAGTTGAAACCGATGATTCCATTACCTGATTATGTGTTTTAAAAGCTGCTAACAACTCAAATCGACTCAATCAATTGTTTTTCTACAATTATCTGGCTAATTTATCAACTATTTCCAAGATGATTATTTTATTCATGGCTTAATCGATAAAGTCTTCACAATTAATAGGAACAAAGGCCCGACGATAACCTCAATAATTTAACTAAAGCTCAGTTACATTAGTTGGATTGGCCAAAGATTCCATGTCTCCTGAAGCTCATTGTGATGTTTTTAATTATATTACATACAATTTGTGATGGTTTCTTTATATTCTCAATATTATGGAAACAGTGAAAACAAAAAAAAACTCCAACCCTCTTGATTCAGCTGATTAATTTGTAAATATTTTAATAGTCTCTCTATTTCTCTCTCTCTTCTCATTCAATTTATTTTGTACACAGATGAAAATTCAACCTTTCCAATCAACTTGATCATTGTGAAGTTGAAATTTCAAGTCTTGTTGATTATCAATCAAAAAAAGAGAAAATTTCCAATTGTTAATCATATTCAATTTCTTTCAATTGAGGTAAAGATTGAATTACATCTAGTGAACAATTAGCACCTTCCTTATTCCTAATTTCAAATCAATAACTTCCAACAATCATAAATGACCAACTAATTTCCAAAATTATCCTAAACAACAAATGATGTAAATTTATACAACTAATGTGTTTAAATGAGAGAGCAAAATTGTCCATTCCATTGTTAAATCATTATCAGAATGAAACCTAATTGTAAACCTAATTAATATGTCACACAGAACAACATCAACAAAGACAAATCAATCCTAATTATGTTTGGTAACAATTAGTTATCATGATCAAATTTATATACAATTTAATCAACGAAAGGGTAAAAACGAAACATGTGAACAAAAAAAAAATCCCAATTTCCTTTTCCTCTTTTCCTTGTCTTATATTTTTGAAACAACATTTGCAATCGTAACTAAATCAACTTATCATTTCAAATCAACATGGGACTTCAACAACAACAACAACAATCAAATTAAATATTGATCAACAAAAATAATAATAAAAAACTACTACAAATAAAAATGAATTTTAAATGAACATTCAAACTGATACATCCAATCGAAACTTTTAATTTCGGTTTAATTGTTTGGGTTACTAATTTAATTTTAGTCTATTATAATCAATGGAAATAGAATGATGTTAATTGTTGAATTGAACTATTTTTGGGTTAGGAATTTTTGGTTTCTTTCATTTTCGTTTTTGGTGTATTGAGCCAAATTCATGTAACAAGAACTAATTTGGTTCTGCTTACATGTTAATTCAGTTTCCACTCCTTATATTGTATTAAATGTTTGTATTCCTGTGGATGTCTGATTTTTTTGGTAATTGTGACGATTGATTTTCTAAACATTGTTAATCACAGTTAGCTAACAATTAACCTTCCAATTGCAATGGTCATTAGAGTTTTGTTTATCATTTTCGGAGTAAAATTGTCGCAATTGTTTTTACTGCTAATTGAGTTGGTCAAATTTTCTGTCTTTTAGTTTTTTTTGTCTCAATGATTTTAATTATTGCTCATTGATAGTTTTAGTTTGTTAGTTATGATTTTGAGGCTTTGTGATTTACAATTAATCTTTGTTTGATATGATTCAGTCTAATTTAGTAAATTTGAATGATTTTTATGATTTTAACACTTTTTTTCTGGTCGAAACTAAGCAAAAACCAATGTAATTTAAAAAGTTCCCGGGCCAAACCTTAATTTTGTTTGCGATTAGTTGTTGATTGTGTATTTTTGTTTGCAATTTGATGAAAAGATGAAATCAAATGATGTCGATGGAGAAAAGTTAACAAATCAATCTCTAATTTGGATTATGATGAAGCCAAAGATCATGGGGAATTATTGGCAAAGGGATAGATTGTTTTAAAGAGGAAAATGATTAAGATGATGAGAAGAAGATGAAAAAATTGTACAAAAATGAAGATGAAGACAGAGGAAAAAAAGAAAAAATTGACAGAGAGATTTGCAGATAAAAGGCAGGAGAAATGTGAGAAGATGATGAGGATGAAGATGAAGGCGAAGATGAGGATGAGGATGAGGATGAGGAAGATATATGTTGGAATGAGAGTGAAGATTCATTTTTAGAACCCAAAATGATGATAAGGATAATGATTCTTTCCCATATCTGGATAAGCTCAAAGATGCTCCTTCATCATCATCTTAATTTAACTAAATTTAGACTGTAACCATAGATGGATATGATCAGGATGATTATAATTAAGGATGAGCAGTTGCAATTTATTTGGATGATGATTAACAATTGATGAGATCCAGTTTCGCACAGTAACCTAAACATTTGAAAGAAAAAAAGGAAAAATTTTCTTAATCAAGAAAATACAACAGGTAATCAAACCTTGTTATTGATTAAATTACAATTAAACTGTTGACTTTTTAATCGTAAACAATTAATCAGCAGTTGAACAAACCGTTAAACTGTAAATTTGCCTCACTAAACTTTCCCTGTAATTAGTTGATGAGCAATTAACAATCAACCGAATGATTTGCTTAATTGTTGAAGTTTTTTCTCTTTCTCTCTTCGTTAATCCAAAGTGATCGAAAAGTTTTCTTTGGTTAATTGTTTCAACTTTTCTTTTCTGTTTTAATTAATCACGAATTCTCGAGGGTATGAAATAAATTTATGGACACAAAATCAATTGAATTTTTTTGTTGTTTACATTTCCGTTTCCGCTTATCGTTTTTAATTTATAATAATATAATTAAAGAACAGTCAAGATCGTGTTGGTGTTGAAGTTGTCGATGGTGTGTTTTGGTTGTGTGTGTTTCGTTTTGTGTTGATCTTGGACACAAAATGTAATAGTAATAATAATATAATAATAGTAATAGAACAGCGTTTGTTTCAATTTCTCTGCCTTTTTAGATTTTCTTAAAAGGGAAGGTGTGAAAGTGAGAGAGAGAGAACACATTTATCCTGTGTGGGTGCGAGAGAAAACGATAGAGAAAGGAAGAAATTGACAGAGAGAGAAATATGTATATATAATTGATTTCCATTGAATTGATGTTGATGTAACTTTGATTGTTGCTGTAATTTGATGTTTCGATAATATTTGACAATCTGATTGCTTTGTTGTTGTCGTTGTTTTGAAATTTTTTTTTGTTGATGTTGTTTTGTGATTTTGATTTTTTTGTCTTCTTTCTTTTTCTTTTCGTCTCGAAATTGTTGATTTAGAAGCACTTTCTGTGGACAATTGCGGGTCCTGATTCGTCGTACTCTTGCTTTGAGATCCACATTTGTTGGAAGGTTGAAAGGGAAGCCAAGATGGAACCTCCAATCCAGACAGAGTATTTTCTTTCGGGTGGGGCGATGATCTTGATTTTGAGGGTTGATGGGGCCAAAGCGGTGATCTCTTTTTGCATTCGGTCAGCAATACCAGGGTACATTGTGGTACCACCGGAGAGGACAATGTTGGCGTACAAGTCTTTCCTGATATCAATGTCACACTTCATGATTGAATTGTAAGTTGTCTCATGGATACCACATGATTCCATACCCAAGAATGAAGGTTGGAAAAGGGCTTCAGGACAACGGAATCTTTCATTACCGATGGTAATTACTTGACCGTCAGGAAGTTCATAGGATTTCTCGAGGGAAGATGAAGAGGCAGCGGTGATCATTTCTTGCTCAAAGTCGAGGGCAACATAGCAAAGTTTTTCCTTGATGTCTCGAACAATTTCCCGTTCAGCGGTGGTTACGAATGAGTAACCTCGTTCAGTAAGAATTTTCATCAAGTAATCAGTAAGATCTCGACCAGCCAAGTCCAAACGAAGGATGGCATGAGGTAAAGCGTAACCTTCGTAAATTGGTACAGTGTGAGAAACACCATCACCAGAGTCGAGGACGATACCAGTGGTACGACCAGAGGCGTAAAGGGAAAGAACAGCCTGGATGGCAACATACATGGCTGGGGTGTTGAAGGTTTCGAACATGATTTGGGTCATCTTCTCACGATTAGCTTTTGGATTCAATGGAGCCTCAGTAAGGAGGACTGGGTGCTCTTCAGGGGCAACTCTCAATTCGTTGTAGAAAGAGTGATGCCAGATCTTTTCCATATCATCCCAATTGGTGATGATACCGTGTTCAATTGGGTACTTAAGGGTGAGGATACCTCTCTTTGATTGAGCTTCATCACCAACGTAAGAATCCTTTTGACCCATACCGACCATGACACCTTGATGACGGGGTCGACCGACAATTGATGGGAAGACAGCTCGAGGAGCGTCATCACCAGCGAAACCGGCTTTGCACATACCTGATCCATTGTCAACAACAAGGGCTGCTACTTCATCGTCACACATTTTGATTGATTGGGTTTGTTTAAGTTTTCACTGGAAAAACACAAAATCAAAAGAGAAAAAGAAGAAAATTAAAATTAAAAAATCAAAAAAGAGTTTCAACAAAATACTAAAGGAAAAGGTTAAAGATTGTTAAAAGTTTGTTTTGGACTATCCAAGTTTGGGCACAATTAACTAATTGAATGTTTTTTTTTCACTAAAGGAATGAAATATTAACACAATTGTTGATTCACTTACAGTTAAAAGATGAAAATTAGAAAGTGTATAAGACCGGCTGGGAGGACTAGAGAGTTATATTCCAAGTACCAAGACGAGACTGAAAAGCAAACTGATTAACTCTCGAGGCCCGGGGTGAGTTTAAATACTAACGATGGGTCTGGCCCTGGTAAGGTTGAAGGATGAGATTGCGTCGATTGTTGATCACAAAACGGTTAACCAAAGTATTTAGTTGATTATATGCGCAAGATGATGAACAGTTAAAGGGGGGGCTGATCAGAGAGAATTCGTTTCTTCGTCATCTAAAGTATAAAGTTGAGAAGAAGAGGGATGAACAGAAAAGGAAAGGAAGATGATAACTAAGAAGAAGAGAGGAAGAGAATGAGAGAGAAAAAAAGAAAGAGAAAGTAAGAGTAGTAGTTACATGGAGGGCCAAATATAGTCAAAAAAAGTTGGTTAAACTTAGGAAAAAATAACGTGTTACTACGAATGGGGATTCATTTGATAGATTAAACCAATTTTAGGAAGATACAGATGAGAAAAAAAGTGGAGAATGAGAAGAAAGAGAAACACAGAGGGAGAATGAAAATAATAATAAAGGAGGTCCGGGTTAAGATTAGTCTATGATGAATAAACTAAAAATAACGAGAGACTATGAATGTGATTCAAAAAGTATAGATGAAACCAATTTTAGGAAGATTCTTTTTCCACCTCTTGTGTATCATCATCCTCCTTATAGTCTTCATGAAGAATAACATATTCTCTTGAGCTAAAACCAAATTTGATAACATCTTTCTCGAGTAGTTCATAATATCTTTTTGGTTCAATTGGTTTGTTATTTAGAAATGTTCCATTAGCGGATTCCAGATCAATCAGGTAGGGACGAATTCTTTTACCAGAGGAACCATCTTCTTTCTTATAAGACACAAGGCGAAATTGGATCACGGCATGTTGCTTTGAACAGGAAGGATGGTCAATGGGTAAATCGGCGATTCTTCTATCACGGCCCAATAAGAATGCACTTTGATTTTTCAAACTTAAATGGGGTAAAGTCTCTTCTCCCTTAAAAGGATACAATCTCCATCGGCGCTTGGGAATTTTAGCTTCAGGTGGTTCGGTGTATTTAATGACAACTCCATTAAATGTATTAGTATCTTCTGCTAATTTACCACTTAATGAATAATTTGGCTTATTTTCAGGTGTATTAACCATGATTAACAAAAATATTTTTTCGAACTCAGAATAATGAAACAATCAAAAAAATACCAGTCAAGTTGAAAGTGTCCAGTGGTTTAGTTTTATTGTTTACATTTTCTCATAAACCAAACTGATCCATTCCAACTGAGGGCGTTACCTAGAGAACAGCGAAACGCGCTTCATTTAAAAGGATTCGTATTCAATGGTAATTAACTAAATGTTTTCTGATAAAATCAATTATTAATTAAAAATGGAAAAACGATTAATTTATAATTAAAATTGTTCCACTCGTAAACAACAATTCTAAAATTGAACAAGAACAAACCAAATAGAATTTCTTCTTGTCCACCAGATGGAGTTACTTGAAATTCGTTTTAAAAAAGAAAAAATTATTTTTAATTGTTCAAAATTAGAATAATGGTCTATTGATTTGTTAATTATTTCGTTTAATTTCTTACCATTACTTAATTGTTATTGTTCTTTATTAATTTTAACCTGAGTCGTTTTGTTTAACCGTTTCTCTATTTTAAGTTTCATTTTATTTTCTCTCAAGTTTGTTCTTTTTGTTCCTTAAAGAAAGTGTAACAATTTGTTTTCCAAAAAGTTGACATGATTGGGGCTAATTAATAGGGCTTTGATTTAATTGTGAAGAAGAGTTAATATTACTTCAGACATACTGGTGGTTACCTGATCTTCTTAAGAGCTAATTCAACGTCAACATGGTTCAGATTTGATGTACTAATTGGTAAGTAATTTAATGTCGCCAATAATTGTGTTTTTCATGATTTTATTGGAAACAACAAATTCAATTTTCTCTTTATAATTAAATGTTTATTTGTTTTCTTCAATGATTAATATTTCAGCGATAAATACACAAGGTAGAGAGAGAGAGAGAGAGAGAGTATAATTTGATTATTGTGATCAATAAAGATGATTTGATGAGAGATGAAAAGAGAAAATTGAAGCTGCCAATGAATAAGAAATCTTATTTTCCCTCAATCAATTAAAATTGAAGATTCGACGATGATGCTGATGAAGGAGAAGAGAGAAAAAGTAATATCAACAATCAAGATCAACAATTTGTAACTAATGTCGTTCAGAAATCAACCAATTGTGATGGATCTTTTTTTCTACTTTTTTTGTGAATTAGTTGAATGTTCAGAAGTGATTCCAGTTGGTTCCATTGATCGGTTGAGGAGGCGACGGAAAGCATTTCGATATTGTGGATTCATGATGAAATAAATTATCGGATTAACGGAGGCGCTAAACAACACCAACCAAAGAGAGAGTATGTAAAGGTAAGGATGCCTAAAAGAAAATCGAATAGATTATTAATTAAATTTAGAATCATAATCTCATTTCAATTGAATTAAGCAATCACAGTTATCTATTTCTATTTATTTATAGATTAATGAATTAAATTGTTCAATCCATCAATCAAATTAATACTGGAAACGTTTTGCTTTTCTGCTGTTATAATTTGGATCACCAGAAGTGAATCTGATAAACGTTAATCCCGATGTTTACCCATTGGATTAAAGATTAAGTCACATTTAATTGAATAACAGTAACAATTAGTTGTAACAGCAACAATTAAATAGGAAATAATTATTTTCTTTTCCAACTACAATGAGATAGAATTGGTGATAAAAATCAATCATGATGATGATTAAATATAATTTCTTACCTCGTTGAAGCTGAAGTTATTTGAAGGATTACTGAAGGTGCATAACATATAACGAAAACAGCGAAAATGGTGAACATTAATTTGGTTAATCTCATTTCTCTTTGGCTTCGATTTATCCCTTTATCAGCCAAATTTCGTGTATGAGAACGAACCTTAAACCAAATGATTCCATAGCAAAGGATAATTGTTACACAAGGAATAACGAAACTAATCAGGAAAAGGAAATCTTTCAATGCCTCACTTCCCATAATTGTACATGTTAACAGATTCTCCTGGTAACCGAAATAGCCCCAGGTATGGGTCAAAGGTAAACATAGAATTGTGAATGGAATGATCCAGGTAATTATTACCATAATCAAAAGATTTCGATTGCAATAGAAATTATTTGATCGACTATTAACAATAATGATAACCAATCTGTAAGAAAAGAAGGTGATTTTACTTTAATTGTAGAAAATTGTTTTTAAACAATTTAACACTGACACTGGAAAAATTAATTAATGTTAAAAAAATATGGGAAGTTAATTGTTCAATATTATTACTTTCTAGGAAAATGTATGTTAATTTGTTTCTAAATATCCGTTTCATTGATTAACTAATTACAGTTAAATTACAATTGAAGCGGAAATACCGGTACAATTGACAGAAGATGTTTAAGATAAATTGTTTGATTTCAATTGTCAATAGAAAAAAAGTTTTAATCGAAAATAATTAACAAATTAACGAAATTTGATTACCTGTTGATTGCGATGAAAGTTATGGACAAAAGGGAAACAGCGATGTTGCCATAGTAAAAATAAGGGTAAAGGTGACAAACGAATTGACCAAAAGGCCAATTTCGAGTGAGAAATGGTGTTGCCGTTAAGGGAACATTGAAAAGGCAGAAAATAAGATCGGAAGTACTTAAATTAATTACGAGTTTGGTGGTTGGTTGTTTAATTAAAGTCGTTGAATATTTGGTTAAACATAAAATGACCAAAAAATTACCAATGGAACCAATGATTCCAATTAACAGAGCAATTGAAAAGGTAATTATCGCTTCGGTTTGATTAGAGATGATCATTGTGATTAGAAATATATGATTACAGTAATAATAAAGGTCCGGATAGATTTGTTAATTGTTGAATTAACTAATTACATGGTATTAATTTGGTTAAATGAATAAACACTTGATGAACACACAAAATGATTTAGAAAGTTGATTGTTCACAATCAAAGGTTGGGAGGATAATGAATGTGAAAACAAAAACAATGAATATGAAAGATTAATCAAAGTATGAGTCTGATTAGTACAATTATTATGTTTTATAGTAACGATACTAATTACAGGGGAAACGGAAACTATGGTGGAGGAGTTACAGGTTAAATCAATTTTTTGCCACCAATCAATTGGATAATCAAATGAAGAGAAAAAAAAATTCACTCAGCTGATAAGTTGTTGATTTTAGTTAAATCAACTCATACCTTGTTCGGAAAACTGTTAACCAGATTTATAGTCAATGTTAATTGTTGATTCCAATTTAATCTTCGTTTCTTTCGTGAGTGTTTTCGTCTTTAGTTGATTTAGAGCGAATTTCATCTCGTTTATGTTTTCCAATTCTATTGGAATAATTTCCAATGTTTTCGTCTCTTTGGTCTTCTCTTCGGGTGTTGATTCTTTCTCTTCGTTTTCGGGTCAATTTTTCATCAACAATCATCATCTCTTTCCTTTTTTTCTGTTGAAAATCTTCATTATCATCATCGTTTTCTTCATCTTCTTTGAAAGAACTGAATTTGTCACTTCTTGCTTCTCTTCTACACAGAAAAAAGAGAAAAAATGACAATAAAAGTATAACGTTTTCTTCGGACAATTAAAAACAATCTATAAACTCACCTTAATGTTGAAGGTAAAATAGAATCTTTATCAAGTCTATTGATCGACCAGGAAAGTAATTGGTACTTGGAATAGACTAATGAATCATGGTTAACTTTGGGTAATTGTTGTTGTTGGAAACAATTAGTTTGTAAGAAAATGGTTAGAGAAGTAAAAACAATGAACAAAATGGCGGACACCAAATTCATAGTTCAAAGGCTCAATTCAGGAACAGTTCAAAAAAGTCTGATGATTTACCAAGAAGAACTGTTTCCATTTTTTCATTTTGACGATTATTTATAGAAGAAAATTTTTTCTATTTAATTAGCTGATGTGATTAACAGGACATTGGACTCAATGAAAAGGGTTAATGATGTTGGAATATGTAACAAGATAAATACACGATTAAGGAAGTAGCGATCAGAGTAATTAAACAAAACAAGGAACAGGTATAATTAATAATTGTCTTCATCTTCATCGATTTCCAAAACAAAATGATCAACACTAATAGAAAACAATTCAATTTTCTTATTTACTAAATAATCAACCAACTTGTCATTCCAAGACAATTTGATGGTCAGATTGTAATTAAATCACTTGAAGTCAGAGAGAAAACGTACGTTTGAAACTGGAACGACTTTTTGGAACAAAATTATAAATGTGAATTAATTAACTCTTTATGTGATCAAATTACCGAGAAATTGTTTAATTAAGATGAAAGATTGAAAGAAATTAAAAATTTGAAATCTTTTTGTTTTGACGAAAAAATTTGTTTTTCTGTCAATAGATGTCACTGATTTTCGGACAAAAGTTAACATGTGTTGAGATTTTCACTTTTCTTGATCAATTGTTTATGTTTGATTTGATGTGTTTTCCTTACTATTGTAATTAGTTTTGATTAAGTTACAATTATGAGGGGTAAATATAAGCTTCCTAATCACTATGTTCATCCAAAATATTGCGATTTGTGGAGCTTTGGTCTTGAAGCTAATCAATTGAACGGTCACATTGAAAATGCTCCTTACCAAGGATTAGGAAGGTAAATTGATTGTTGAATTTTTTTTCAACAAACTTTGTTTTGTATCTTGTTGATTTACCATTTAAATAATTATCTTCTTATTCATTTTGTTTGTCACTCAGATATGTTTGCCAGTTGAAAAGGATCACATTGAAATTTTGCAAATGGGGTCTGGGAAGCAAAGGAACTCGAGATTACATCGAAACTGATTTGGTTGATTATTGTCGCAACAATCAAGGTGTTGTAGTTTACCTTAAGCCTCGAAGGCACAAAGCACCAGTAATGGTTTGTGAATATTTGAATGGAAGCTACCACTGGATGGCTCTTCATGGTATGGCCTCGAAACACATTAAATTATGGATCGATTTTCATACTAACAGATCAGGCGAACCAATTAGAAAATTTGTCAAAGATGTTCGAACCGCTTGGCCATCTGTCCAAGGTCCATGGAACCCGTTCTTAAATACACCCAGTGAAGTAAATGTGACACCTTTCCCAAATGAAGATCGGTCTGAGTTTAGACCAATGAAAATATCTGCTACTGAACAGTTACTACGTTTAAAAGCCGAAGGCAAATTAGACAATATATTATTTGGTGATGAAAAAAGCGATTCAAAATTTTCAATAATCAAACCAACAGATGATAAATAATTCAACACCAAGTTAATATAATTGTTGTAATCTTTATAAAAAAAAATATCAAAGAAAATTATAGTTACTCTAGTGTAATAAAAATAAACTTAGTATTGTAAACAAATTACTAAACCAATCTATTAATTTTGTATCATGTTGTCATGAAAATACATCATTATAATCAAATAATTGATTTGGATATCGATGTTAATTGTAAGGAATACCAAGTTTTTTCATTTCCACAGCAACTTTGAACAGATAATCATAACATTCAGCCATTGATTTCGCTTGTTTCCAATTAGCGCCCCAAATATAAACACCATGATTACGGACCAGAACTGCGTTTGTATCTGGATACTTTTTAATTGCCTCGGTTAAACTTTCAGTTAAATCACATTCGAAACAAGTATTTTCAATTATGGGAACAATTAACGTATCATCGTACCGATGAGAGACATTACTTGATCCTTTCTTGATTCCCTTGATCATCTCTTGTTTAGTTATCTTGAATTCTGATCCATTGGTGATAATCGTGGCGAGAACAGAAAACAATGAATGTGAATGAATAACAGCTCCAGCTGATCGCAGGGAATAAGCAGCAAGAAACAAAGGAGTACATTCACTTTTCTTTAGATTACAATTAACTGGATCCTCGATTGTTTCTCCGTCACCATTAATCACGAAAATATCTTCACTCTTAATTAGCTCTTTCTGGACACCCGATGGAGCGATAAAGATACGATCGCCAATTCTAACGCTCATTCCGCCTCCGGTACCCGAAACCCAACCAAGTGAATAGAAATGATTACACAAATAAGGAATCAATTTCTTTCCATCTTCTTCGTCTAGAATATTAATCGACATGATTAACTGGGCAACAATCAAGTGAATCACAATTAATAATAGAAAACAAATGAAAAATGAAAAAAAACTGAAATGAAATCAAGATGAAATCAGTTGACTGCAAGTCTCATTGCTCAAACTCACAAACAATCACATGGCTGATAAATTGCTGATTAACATTGTAATTAAGGTTTGATCAATGAATTTTAATCAACATTTAACAATTGATTTTACAACAATGTAGTTTTTTTTGATAACATTTGAAATACATGAATTTTTGAAATGGATAAATGATATAACAGTAATTAGATGAGATTTTATCATTTAGTTGTAACAATTTTTTTTTCTTCACTTCAATCGTTAATTACTGTTCTTGTTTAAAGCGTTAATTGTTAATTAAATGGATAAAATATCTCGTTTAAATCTTTTGGCTTTGAGAAGATTTGAAGAACGTGAATCATTATGATAACCATTTGATAAACTTGAATCCATCACAGAATTAATTACAGATTCTGTTGATTGTTCAATTTTACTTCTTTTCAAATTGATTGCGTTACAATTTGATTGAATGTTGATCAATTCTTGGTGATTTGGTTCATCCATTTCTCGCATCCTTTTGTCAATCAGTTTATTCATTAAAGTATCAATTCGGAATCTTGTTTGACTCTCACGCTCTGAGATGTTGATTATATTCTTTGAAGGATCAACACCGTTAATTTGTCTTGGATTAGGATTAAATTGAGAAAATAATTCCTGACTTATGCCAACTTGAACTTCTTTATCTTCCGTTGAGATCACTGATTTAAGGTCGGAAGATGAATTAAATCTAATTGGAAATGGAATTGGAAGTGGAATCGGCATTGGAAGAGGTAGTAAATATGGATGGGCCATTGGACCAAATGAATTAGGATAATTAAATGAACTATTTGGTCCTGATTGTCCCATAATTGGTGCTGGATGAAATTGTAATGATGCCGGTGGTTGAGAACCTTGATGACCTGGTAAATGAGAAGGACAAGAAAATGGTGAATGATGATGAACTGGAATCGGAGGAAATGGTGGACAATGATGTCCACCAGGTAATCGGAATAAATTTTGTTGATTAAACGGTGGCATTGGAAGAGATTGACGAAGACGAAACAAGTCCGGTCGAAGTTGATGGAAGAATTGATGAGATGGATGAGGAAAATGAGGTAACCTCACTGGTCCATTAGGAAAACACTGATTCGGCAAATTGGTAAATGTCGGTGAACAATTAGTAACCGGCTCTGAGAATTTAACTGGCATTGGTTGATTAATTGAAGGACTAAGAGATGAAAACGGTACTGGATGATCATTAGGAGGGACAGATTCACAAGGTACCGAATTGGCTTTTGAACGTTCGTTAGTGCTTCCAATTTTGCTTCTATTTGAATCGACGATATTTTCTTGATTGTTGTTGAGATTTCGCTGACTTTTGACGGAACGTTGCTTGTTACAATTACCACTAGAAGATTTAAGAATTGACGAAGATTTGACTTTATTTTCTCGAGAATTACCAACTACTTTGAACTTAACTAAAGCTTTTTTAGTCGAAGTTTCAGTATTTCGAGCAATGTCTTTGGGTTTCAATTCTTCATTAGAAAGATTTAAATTGTCACAAATTTCTATGGGACATTTGTCGATTGGAGCTTGATTGTTGTGGATAGTTAATTGCTGAGAATTACTTTTCGACGAAGAGGCTGGCGAACTACAGAGAGACTCTAATGTTGGAGGAGGACTTGAGGATAAACTTGATCGTGATGAGGAAGATGAAGAAGTGGCGATCAATTTGAGGAAACTTGAATTTCGAGGCCAAAGATCCGGGGTTGTTGGTGGAGTTTCAATTTCCTTTGGTTCATCTTTATCACTCTCATGAAGGAGATCATTAGAAGAACGAAAAATATTTCCAGAATTAAGATAACTTCTAGGTGGACTTGGTGATCGATATACAGCAGAAAATGCGTTTAGATGAGCCTGAGTTTCACGACAAAAAATGTTCATCTTATATTGATTAAGACATTTGTCTGAACAAAATTGAAGTGTTTGTTCACCAGTGTGAAAATCAACATAATTAACTGTGTGACGAACGTGTTTACACCAATCACAAACTTTGTTTTTCTTAAACGAGGCTCGTCTACATTGAGCGAAACACAATTCACTACAAAAAGCCTTGAAGCCATTGTGAGTTCTCAGAGAAAACACTTTAGAGCCAATCTTTTGACACCAAGCACAAAGAACGTGACCATTTGAATCTTCATCTTCGTCACCATTAGAACCACCGGTGGAATTTGAACATCCATGAACATTAGAAGTAGCCATTGATTCTGTTGGTGAGAGATAGTCAACAATAGGAGGAGAAACAGTTGAACAATTAGAAGACATGATAAAAAAGTAAAAAATAAACGAAACGTTGACTAAGTGAATTGTTGATTACATCTGATGATCTTTATCGTCTTCAGGGTTCCCTCTCACCCATAAACACTAAAGGATGAAGATCCACCCTCTCTCTCTCTCTCTCTCTCTCTCTCTTTCCTACGCAAGAGTTAAGGATTATACGATGGAGATGAAAGAGAAAAGAAAACAAAAGTATAGAAATGGCGGCGTCGGCGAAGGGAAAACAATGTGATGTAATTTAATGGGAGAAAAGAAAAGTGGGTTTGATTGAGAGAACTGTAACCGGAGAAAATGAGATGATGAAAGTGAGAGAAAAATTCAAAGAACTTGATAATCAACGAAATTGAAGGCTGATGATGAGAAGAGAAATTAAAGAAGGAGGAGGAAGAAGAAGAGAAAAGAAAAAAATAGGAGGTAAAAGAACGAATTCTCGGTGATTATGGTAAACACGTTGTTGACAATTTCGCTTGGCGTTGGTGTCTTTTCAATCACAAAAGGTAAAGAAAATTTGATTAACTTTACTAATGAAGATCAACATGAGAAAGAGAGAAAATGAAAGTGAGAGTAAGAGTGGGAAGAGCAAATTTAGAAATATAATTTTCGACCTCAATTTGTGAATATATAATAATAAGGTTAAGAAAATGATCTTCAATGTTGATAGAAGAAGAAGAGAGAAGAAAATAAATGAGAGAACATCATTGTTTTCTATTCTATTCTATTCTCTCTCACCTACGCAATCATCATTTACTCTCATTCAATTGATCTTCATCTTCCTTTTGGGTGGACGATGTTTACCTGATATTTAAATTGTTACCTTTAAATTGCCCAAAAAAAGTCATCACTTGTGATACTTTAACTTTAACTTTCACTTGAAATTCATGAACATGAAATGGATTAAGATGAACATCTTGTCATGGACAAATCGTGGGAGATTAAGGGAGGAGAGTTAATCAACAGTTAATCTCATCTGATAATCTCGCCTGTTGGATAATTTTATCTTTTGTTTACTTTTTTTTTCTCTCTCTCTCTCTCAGACCTTTGTTTCCACCAAAAAGGATGATAATGTTGCTCATCAGATCAATTAAATGTCTTTATAATTAGTTAACTCTAATGGATATTAAATTGATTCTCTTTTAAACTGTTTGGTCAATTAACAACACAATTAATCCTTGGGATCGAGACACTAATCCGATGGAAGATAATCAACAAGGCGCCAAGAAAACAACAATCAACTGGTAACTAACCCAAAGTCTAATTGTTTCACTGTTTAGATTAGTGATTAGACAAAAACAATTATTTTCTCTTGCTCTCCAATAACATCAAACATTCATAATAGTCAATTGTTAATCTGATACTTGATGATGGAGATAATGGTAATCCTATTTCATTACATTTCCATTGATTCTTAACCATTTTCATCTCTCTTTTTTTTTATTCTTTTCTAACCAATAGATACAAATGGAGGATAATCAAGGATGAGTGTATTCAAGAAGGAGGATGAAAGGAAGACGGTGGTTGCGGTGGAAATGGAGGTGGGAAGAGGTGGTGGTTCTGAAAAGGAAAGGAACTAGTGAAAGAACCACTCCTTTGGTATGGAAAAAGAGAATAGAAAAAGGGAAGATAATGTACCTTGTCTCTTTTTTCATCTTCTTCTCCTCCCGAATCAAGGTGATTTCTACAAAATGAAAGGGAGGAGTTCGTCTTCATCACCATCATCATCTTCATCTTCATCTTCTTCATCAAAGGAGTTACTGATATTTTCCTCATCATCCATCAAACATTTTCTTCATCTTTAGTATCATTATCTTCATCATCTCATGAATAATTTGGTCACCTTTCAATATCCTTGGTGAATTCAGTTCTCAATATGAACATCAAGTTAACCAACGACAATTAACAGGAAATTTCACAAGTTTCACCTGAGAATAGCGATTTGATTAACTCATTTAATTAATTACAGAATTCAATTAATTAATTAACCATATTTGTTGATATTAATATTTTCTATCTCACGAGTTAATTGTTGAAAAATAAACTAAACTTTGGTATAAGTACATCAGCTGATCGAATTTTTCTCAACCCATTTATCAACGCAAATGTTACAATTTATATTGATCATTAATTTAGAATATAATTCGCCCTCTCTCACTCTTTCATCGACCAACAATCGATCAAAATCTTGGTGATTATATTATGGATCTTGATGGAAATTGAATGTTCATGTTTTTTGATGAGAAATTATCGCTTATAATATAATAACTTGATCCGCCTCTAATTTTCAGATTATCGGTACTAAATCATTATCTCTATTGTAGAGTGGAAAAGATTAACATCATCATCATCTCTCTCTCTCTCTCTCATCCTTTTCTCCTCCTCTTCTTTTTTTCTTTCTTCACTTTTTCCACCAAATATACTCCACCCTGATACAAGACACACTCTCTCACTGAAAAGAATCCACGATAATCAAGGAAGAGGAAAAAGAATTAGGAAAATGTGGGCGAAAATGAACTCCCAACGCCCTATGATTAACATGAAAAGATTGTGATCTAGTCTATTAAACACATTGAGAATCAATGAGACTCATCCCAGAATTTTGGTGTTAACCTTAATATTTGTGTTCCATTACACAATTAATCTAATTTAAAGTTTCAATGAAAAGTTTCTCAGTCCGAATGCGACTCACCTTCATTTAGATCATTTGATTGATAATTAGTGGCAGTTGATGAAAAAGGTGATGAACATCGTGACGATGGTTTATCACTTTCCTTGTCCATCCATTTGGTACAATTAACTTTACACTTGTTTCTAATAACTGATGAGAAAAAAGGTAAAAAGAAACAATAACAATCTAATAATAAACAACAAAAACTAATTAATTACCTTTGTTTTCATTTAATCCACAGATATGATTGGTTAATTTTAATCCGTTTGCTTTTCCAGTATTTAATTTATCTAATCCATACCAACCAAGTAATTCATTCATTGTTATTGCCTCGTAATCCTGTTACCATCACCACCAGAAAGAAAAACAAAAGATTAATTAAATTACCAAGACCAAAAAGGATAAACAATTTCAAAGTTAATAATGATGATGATTAGTGTTGATTCACAATCAAAGGCAATCTGAACCCATCATGGAGATAAAGGAGAGAGAGAGAGAGATAAAAACAAAATGGACGCCGCAAGATGAAACCAGAAAAAGTAAATTGAAACCCGAATTTGGTTCAAGTTATCTGATCACCATGAATCTTGAGTAATACGAATCAACAAATTGTTAGCCTGATGAACAAGGAACCTTAATAACATCATAAGTTTCGTTGAAAATTTCATATAAATTGGAAACTCACCAAGAAAAACAACAATCGATTCCTCAATCAGACTAATGAATTAACCATTGGCAACTAATCATGATTAACTTTCTAATTAGTTAAATGATTATAACTATGATAATATTATCATCTATTACCATATATGTTTATTTAAGACAATCAAATTAAGATCATCATCTAATCATCCATCCATCGATAATTAAGGAGAAAAGTAGATGTTTAATCATTAATTGTTGGAATAGAATAACAATTATTCAATAATTTAATTGAATTAATTACTATTAATCCATTGTGGTTAAAAGTATCGGATTGTGAAATGGGAATCAAATTTACTCATTGAAATTAAATTGATCATGTTGCCACAATATTAGATTAATCAGTTAACCCTTTTCACAACAATAACAATTACAATTAATTCCTTGATTGTTATTAATATGAATTTAGTTACTTTTGATTATGAAAGTTTTAATCATAGATAATTAACAACAAAAAAAGCAAGATATCAAATACAATTTAATTTAATAATGATTGAAATTTGATTCTATCAATGTAACTGTTATCGGAACTTTTTTCTGTTAAATCTTTTGTTTCAATTGTTTACAATTTATGATTAAAAGTAATTTGATTGAAAGTTTTAAGGTTTTAAATTAAATTATTGTATTTACCTTAATTTCATCCTTAATTGTTGTTGAGTTTAATTTAACTCTTTCCTCTGAGAAATCATTAGATGTTGAGCTTTGTTGTTCAATTGATTGTTGCTTTCCAGTCATTAATTTAGATTTAGAGTGTTAATTATTACAGATTATTTGATTAATTGTTGATTAAGATTGTGATGATTAACTTTCCCAGGGAAACAAATTGTTTATCATTCTTGTTTTCATGTTAACAGAACAATAGTTTAAATCAACTGAAAGTTAAATTCATCCATTGATCATATTTCATCTCACTGATTGTTGATGAGCATGTTCCGTACAATTTATCAAGTTAATTGTGATTACAATGGATTTTAATTAAAGATCATTTAATCAGTAATCTATTAGATTGTTGTCAATCTAAATGTTGAACATATAATTATATCTAATCAATGATACATCATACATAGTTGATTTATCTTCATAGTTCTGAGGTGAAGGTCATTCGGGATGACCTCGACAGAGGTTATTCATTGATACGGAATCGAAAGGTAAGAAATTTCAACAATCGAAGTAGAGAATTCGAGAATTGAACTTATCGAATTCATGAAAGAATTGATTCCATCATGAAGACAGAATTCAAAATGGAAAATAATTTACAATTAGAACTTTTTTATCGTTTATTTGGATGAGTTATAATCGAATATATTTTGTACAATCAACAGATTAATTAGAAGGTTAATTTGATGATGATTAATGATCGATTGATTCCTTAATTTGGCAATAGAAGTGGACAAAATTGCGAATTGATTTAACATCCGTTTCACTGGAATCAATTGCGATTATCTCTCTTCCAGTGTCGATTTGATTATCGATCAAAAACACCAATGAACCTTTACGGTCGAAAGTGTGACTGAACTCGCTAATGTCCACTTCGAGTGTCTCATGAACAGAAAGACACTTAATCAATTGTTCCAATTGTTGGCAATCTTTAATTTTAACTGCGCTTGATAATCTGCTGATTCTCAATTGTGGTTCCATTTTTTTAGACTCAATTTTCACTTCGATCAATTTTTTAATCGAACGAAAATATTCAACAAAATAATCACTTATATCTTCGTACGAGTGAAAATCAAATATCAGATCCAAATCTTTTCGAGTTTGATCTGCTCGAATAAGATTAACGGCCACATAATTGTGTTCGAAGTTCATCAAATTTGGTCCTTGTTTGAGGTAAAGACAATCACGGAATAAATTAATTCGATTGGGAACCAAGTTAATTATGAATTTAGTTCGCGGGTCAACTGAATCGAAATTGATAATCTCTTTCTCGATTAATGATCGAACCCAATTGTTGGTAATCACATTGGTCAATTCGCTGAAATATTTCTTAAGAAAACCAGTGTCTTCCCATCGACCATCAACTTGGAACGATTCAGTTTCCAAATTATCGTTAATTTCATCGCAATCAAACGACAATTTACAATTTAAATTATCTTCACGTTGTTTTTCTGATTTACAATCAACTTCATTTTCCTTTAGTTCTTGACCTTCCTGTTGATTGTTTGATTGATTGTCACTTTCACTTGTCTTTACAGTTTCACCTTCACTTTGATCATCATCTCCTTTATCATTAATTGGTCCAGTTAATTGTTTAACCCGTTTCTTAATATTTTTCACAATTAACTCTTCCACATCCAAGTAAACGTAATGCCAACCAAGTTGGTCTTTAATTTTATCACCTCGTTTTAGATCATCATTTAGGAGATCAAATATAAATTCACCTTTATTGGAACCATAGCCACCTAATTGTAGCAATTAAGTTTAATTAGCTCATTTTAAATTTATTCTGATTAGTAAAAAATGAGAAAAGTTTCCAATACTTACCAAAGATGAAGATGCATTTATAATTTGAATGATTTTCGTCCCTGAGAAAGTTAATCAATTCATGTGCATCTTTAACTGATTCAATTGATTGATTGTTCATTCCGCTATTAGATGGTGATTCAATTATAGTTAAATATGATTTACTTAAACGACAACCCATGATAATTCATGAACTAAATTAGATAATGATGATGATGACGATGATGATGATGGAACCACAGAGCAAACAATTAAAATATTCATCGCCTTCAATTAACAAACAACATAACAATCAGATGAAAGATTTAATTGTGTAACTTATTAGTTGATTGATAGAATTTCAAAGAAATCAAAGTGCAACATGATAACTTTAAGAATAAAATATGAACAACAATTAAGGGAAAATGGTTTAGATTAAGATGGAATCAGAATGCGAAAAACAGAGTAACTCAGAATTTCCCCTGATTCTTTGTTGGTTTTTCTACTCTCTCTCTCTCTTATTCTGTTTGATAGCTCACTCACTCTCACAAGTTAATCATCTTTAATGGTCCAACAACACGCTTCTAATTGTGACACAATTGAATTTCCATCTATCCCCTTGGAAATGTATACGATCAATTTCAAAACAAATCAAACTCCACCTTCTAATGGATTAAAACATTGAGGTGAATGAGGAGAAAAGGAAAACATTTAATGATATTTGGCTTTTTCTTTCTTTCTACAACCTTGTGGTCACTATCTTTCTCTTGACCAATGTTCTAGAAAATGATAATAATAATATTATTCATAATGCATAGTCAAATATGAAGATATCTCATGCTAATGGTCATCAAGCGTCCAAGAAGTAGGAGGAAGCCACTGATTAAAGAGCTACTATTTCAGTTTGAGTGGTGATTATTTGTCTCAATTCTCTGGTGTAATATTAATCATCATCATGAATGATACAATTTGGTTAATAGTTAGACCATGAAATTCAACAATTCGCAACATTTTTCAGGTTCTGAGTTAACCAGAAAAAAAAACAGCAACAAATCAACGGTCTAATATTCATGTTGACCAGAACCCCGACTTGATTACTGGTCAACCTATTTTCTTAGATTTCGATTGAAAAATTCTTAACATTATGAAATTACCTTCAAATGACCTCCAAACATGTAAGTTCATCAATGAGCATCTTTCGATAGAAATTCGAGTGCTCGTGCCGTTCAAATTTCTATGGCTCATACATGTAATAGTTGGTAAGAGAATGGCTGAATAGCCTTGAATATCATATTAAATTTACTCTTTTATCATGAGAATCACCAGAATTTTAATTAGTTAAATGAGAAATGGAAACAGTTGATGTAATACAATAAATATATAATTTAAGTCGATTAATCACCCAGACAATTAGTTAAACCATCTTGTTGTTACAATAAAGGGCTTCTCGTGAGTTCTCATAGATCCACATTCCGTATGAAGAGACTCGGGAATAAACTCCAGGGTAATTTTTGTGAGCACATTCAACGCCCCAGGAAACAACACCGACAACGTAAACACGTCCTCGTATCTTGGTCATCAAAGGTCCACCAGAATCTCCTGAACACGAGTCATACTTTGAATCACCGGCACAAATATGATCTTCAGTAATTCGAGAAAAACTGAGAAGCTTTTGGCACGTTTGTAATGGCCTTTCTTTCACAATTACCTCCATCAAACGCGTTGATGTTTCTTTCCCTTCACCGAGTGCACCCCAACCGATAACCTTTAAAGAGTCAAAGGTTCGCCTCATGTTTCGAGGAGGTAAACAAGCAGGTCCAATGTTCTGAGTAAAGGTCACATTTCTTTTCAATCGTATCAGAGCGATGTCAAACTTTTGATCAGCTGAATTCGGTTGGTACTTTTCATGGACAATCACCTTATCGGGCACATAAACGGTAACATTTTCAATCTTGGCTAAATCATGAGCACCCAAAATGATTCGGATGGTCGACTGATCAACATCATTGAAACAATGACCAGCGGTCAAAATGTATCGATTGTTGATCAACGTTCCACCACAGAAAACATTTTGTAAGTTACGATCAGAAATCGCGGCGATCCAACGATAATTGTTCGGAATCGCTTCTTTACCGTTAACAATTTTAGCGTCAATTCCTTCAATCCCACAACCTAGAAAATGTTAATCAGATTTATTGAATTAATGGTTAATCTAATTTTTCACAATTAACTGGACAATTTGTTATACTTACTGCAATTTAATTTGTCATATGTTAAAATGGGAACCAGTTGATTTAGTAAACAAATAACAACAATCAAAGAAACTGTAATATCCATTTTTGAACAATTTAAATTGGAACCAATTGGAACAGATTTACAATTTAATCTAAAGTTGATTAGAAAGTTATAAAATTGATTATAAATGACAATCTAATTGATTAGTTTAATTGTCGTCTATGGACATGAGTGTTTTCTTGTTGATCAACTTTTACCATTTGATTTAATTGTGAATCATTACAATAATGGGCCTTGTCTTTCACAATTAAACATTCAACTGATTCATAAAAGTGATTCTAATTGTGATGTAATTGAATTTCAATGATTTCATCTATTTATAAATTAAATCATATCAATATTTAATTGACAAGGTCAATGTTAATTACTCACCTTGATTATAATGTGACTTATCTATGGGAAGACACGAGAAGCTCAACAATTAACTAATAAATTATCATCGTAATTCAACATTATCCTAAATAATTAGTTGAAAAATAAATAACAATCATCATTAACAATCAATCAATAATCATTTTGACCAGAACATAAAATCATCTTAATCCAATTCAGTCAAAATAATGACTCGAGACTCGAGAGGTAAACAGTGTTGGTTTATTAAGACAATTAATGTTGGGTAGAAAAATGATTTAGTGATTGATTAGATCGTGATATGAATAACTTAATTGCTGTTCTGTTGATGAGAAAAAAACATTGGCTCAATTGGAGGAAAAGTTAACATATGGAATTACCATGTTACCAATAATCATCATTTTCTCTTGATAATATTTTATTTATTTTCTTCTTGGTTCAAGGCCTTCATTCATTCTGATTGTTTATAGTTACTTAATTGTTGGAGAAGTTTTTCTTTTTTTTTAAAGATCATATTGAAAAGGAATCGATATTAGAATGGAGTTTTAGGTCACTTTTCCGCTTTCGAAATTACCGCTTCAACGAACAAAGATCAAAATATTCTGCTCTTGTTTCCATTGTTTGGACAAAACTTTCGCTTCTTAAAGTGACATTTAAAATCTATTGTTTGTTTATTCTTGTGTTTCTCAATTGAATAACAATAATAATTAGATTGTGATGGACAATCAGTTTAATTGTGGTCACTTTTCACTAGGGCATCAAAGTGGTTTCAACGGTTTATCAACGATGGAGATGAAAGTTGAACCTCAAGGCGAATCGATAAACATGAGTGTTAATGGTAATGAATTTTATAGATCGAACTCATTATTTGTTAATCGTTTCCATTTCCGTGAAGAAATTAACCAATTGAACGACTGATTAGTTTATTTTCTTATCTTAATTGTTGTAAGTCTTTTCTTCTCTTCGCTAATAGAAATGACCAGTCGATCTTCATTCAATGGAATGGTTCTTTCTGGTCAATCCTCTGGTACTCTTGAGACACATGGAAATGGTTCCAATCAAATTTCAATTAGAGAAAATTGGATGAAAATGAATAATCGAATGGAACAATTAACTTCTAATGTTACAAATTCTGTTCGAGCAAAGATTCAATCCAATGAGAGACCAAAACCTCATAAACCAATGAAAAGTGTAAGAAAAAACAATTGGAACTTATTGATTATACGAAAAGAATAATCTAATTGCTGATTCATCTCAATTTAAATTCTCTGTTTATTTTTGTCTTTTAGAAAATGAGTCTCTTCAATAAGAGACAGAAATTTCTCATGAGGGAGATATTCAATCGGAACATTGAACCAGTTCCATTCGAACACTTTACCGACGTTTTCAACGCTTTTAGAGATAAAGACGCTCAACTTTTTGATTTTTCGGACTTTTATACTTGTTACGAATTCTATTTACGTTCATTGATAGAGGTTGGAATTCACAAGTTTCGAAAGAGAAAAACTCCCCGAGAAAGAGACATAAGGGCAGTTAAAGAAGAGTTGGAGAAGCTTAAAAAAGCAAAACGAGATTACGATGATCGATCAATGATGTTCGACCTCATGTCACAACTCGAGATGTCCAACAATTAGAAGGAAAATAAACTTCGGATGACAACATTTCTTAGCTTGTCGTCATTTTATAATATTAAGTAAAAATCAAGTACAAATTAAAAGTGTAAATTGGAAATCAATGTGGATTAAAGTGAAAATTTGATTTGATTAAATAATTAGACTTTAACTTGATTGAGTCTCTGATGTTGTAGTGTTTGTTGGGATAATCGTGAGATGATTGTTTATATAATTTACAAAAAAAAGATGATTTGATTTGTTGATTAAAATATAAATTGATGCGTTAATTAAAAATTGGGATAAATGAATTAAGTTATTCAGCGATTTCGGATCCAACTTCGGATTCACGGTCAATCTGGTCTTCTTCGACTCCTTCTTCGTCTAAATATACAAGATGAAAGAGCAAATTATTAATAACTTCGTTCAAATTAAGCAGTCGATAGATTGATTGCAATTAACTTACCATTATCATCACGATTTCTTTTTCTACCTCTGTATTGTCGTCCTGGAGCTCGATTCAGAGGAAGATCGAATTCGTTATGTTGTATCAAACTACTTCGATAGCTCATCAATGGCTGCCATTCGTCGTTGTGTGTTCCTGGTAATGCACTTTGAACACATTTGTCCAAATAAAGTAAACTAAACGAGAAAATACAAATTTGATTAATTTGATTGATAAAATCATCAGATTTGAATTAATCAGGTGATATACATACACAGTCTTTTTATCTTGTTTAATCAATTTGTTTGAAAATTCACTAAGAATTTCAAGAAAAGGTAAATTAGGTGGAGGTCCGAGAGGATCAATTGGATTGTCCAATTTATCAAAGCTAAAATGAATTCCTTCTCGATGTAAAGATGCTACGGCATCTCGATTTTTTTGATTATCAAGACCAAAAGATAAAGCAAATCTTTTAGCCAATTCTTTCAATGCCAAAAAGTTTTCGTCTTGTTTTGTAAATGCATTTGCGTTTTGATGGGATTCCGTTTGTAGCTCTTTGAAAACTTGGATCAAAGCACTGGCCATTGTTTTCGCACAAATGACCTTATTCATTTCTCGTAATTTACCAAGTGTGGTCTTGATGATATCTCCAAAATCGTTGAAAAACTGTTAAAGGAGCAAAAAATACAAATTTAATATCACATTAATTTGCAAATCGCTGCTTTCTCAATGAAAATACTCACTCTAACATAGTGCCTGATAACACAAATAGCATGTCTCATTGGGATTACGTTATAAATGATCAGTTTACAATATCCAGCGAGCAAGTGCCTTTTCTTGTGAAGTCGTTCAACCGAATTTTGGATTCCAGGCTCATCTAAAGTTCAGAATTGAAAGAAGAAATTGAATTTCAAGATCTACATGACTAAATGGATTAACTTCTTACCCTCAGATTCTTCATCATAAACAAAAACTCTCTCCATAATGAAAGTTTCCAATTGTTTGATCAAAGCGTTGTTCGGTCGATAAACTAATTGGGCTACTGCTGGTGAATCATTTTCGAGTTGGTGATCAAACATGAGAAGTAAATCGCAAATACTGAAATAAGCCTAAAATAAAATAGAAATTGAATTAAGTGAAATGAATTGATGAAATTTATTTTAGTGTTACATTTACTTACTTCTTGAGCTAAGTCTTCATTAGGATGGGTCAATATGTCACGTAATTCAGCAATAAATTCAATCAAACGATTACGAGTATAATGATCAACAGGTCCTTGATTTCGAGCTTCAGAGAGAGTGTGCAGTTCCCAAATCAAAGCATAATAACAAACACTTATCGAATACTTAATAGCTTCTTCGGGAACACTGTCAGCGTTTTCTGATCCAGCTCCTCTTATCCATCGCTCGAAAATTGTGTCCCACATTTCGTAAGAACTCATATCATGACAGGATATGAAAGCTGCAATCTTTTTCGAAATCATGACAACAGCTTCTCTCTCATCTCGTCCATTAGGGCGTTCAGAATAAGCTTCGACTGCATCTTTGTGTTTTCGAAGAACCAGAGTATCCAATAAAGAACTTTTAGAAACCCAGACTTCTCTTTTGAATGTGAAATTTTCGTCGTACAAGTACTCATATGCTTTGGCACAAGCTTCCAAAACTTCCGAATCCGAGTGAATTTCAACAAGAACATTTATCAATCTCAAAAGAGATTCAAGTTGATCATTAGTCTGTGAATAATAACTTAGCTCAAAATATTGAGGGATAGTCATTAGATTGGCGATTTTTTCAGGATCGGTCTTGTATTTGTCCAAAAGTAAAGGAAGAGCAACAATAAAATGCTCTGAGATACGGTTCTTGTCATCGGCCACTTGTTTAGCTTCTTTGGTTGATATTTGTTTTCGAACGGGACCTCGTCCAATAGGATATTCTCCCGTTGCCGCTTGTTTTATTGCACAAACCATAATCTCAATTAAACTGGTCTCTTGTCGATCATCTAGTGCTTCTTCATCAGGCCCTGGCTCTTCGAGCAGTAAATCAGTCATACATTCCCAATCTTTCATCATCGGGTGACTCTCGATTAAACTGTCAACCAGATATGCACCATGTTCATGCAGCTCACTTTCAATGAAGAAAGTTATCAAATCTCTAAGTAATGGAGTGTGAACCGATCGCTTTTTACCTCTTCGAGAGCATAAATTTGCTGTAACTTCTTCGTCAACCTGGAATAGTCTTTCATTCAAAAATTCACCAGCAGCTTGAGCGACATTCCGATGAGTAGCGTAAACCAACTCGTAAACATGTTCGCAATCTTTATCAGTTAAAACTTCTCGGTGATACTTGTGAATACTGATGATCAATTTGACCGCTTGAACTGCGACCTCATATTCTTTGTCCAATGACATGGCGACAATTCGTTCTTTGAACTTGTTGGTAAACAATTCCATTTTTCTTGCAATTTCTTCAGTTTCATAAAGTGGTAGCAAGGATTGTAAACATTTAAGTCGCACATCACCAACTTTATCATGTAATGTCCACCCAACGTATTTGAGGAAAGAATCATCGAGGAAATAATTTGGAAATCTTTTCATCCAAATGCCAATTTCATACATACACAACGCTCTGATTTCTGGAATAATGTCTCTGTATCTATGGACGAAAATTGATTTGAACAGATATCCAAGCATAGTTTTGATATCTTCCATGTTGTCATCAAGTTCTTGTCGTTTAATTTGCAAGCCATCAAGTTTATCTCCTCTTCCTCCTTTTTCTAGACGGGCTTTGTCATATTGACGCTGAGTATTATCAATATTGATACTAAGAGTAAGAGCGACATCAACTAACGCAGTCATCAGTTTCATAGCTGCTAAAGTTGCTGTATGACGGAAAGCTCGAACTTGAGAGTCAGATAATGTGATCAAGAAGGAAATCATATTCTCCATAAGATACTGGTCATAAATTATACTGTATTGACATTGTCGGATTAAAGTGTGGACAAATTCACAGAAGTTGGACCTAAATTTTTTCCATTGAGGGCCATTGGTAATTATTGGATAATCTCCACCAGCCTGGTCATCAAATTCTTCAACCAATTCTCTGATGATTCTTCCATTGTCCATAGTTTCTTTCATTTGTGGTGTTATTTTTCCCTTACAACCAGAGGCTAAGCTGAAAAACTGTAGCAGCTCAAGAGTTGCCGTATTTCTGTCTTGTCGATAAGATTCAATCCATTCATCAACAACAGACTGTAAATAATGTGGATGACAAACTCATATTAGTTCTAATTGAACAAATAGATCTCATGAATCTCGTTCTTACCTGTAATGCAGCTCGACCTTTTTTGACACTGGCAAACAATGAATTTCCCTACAAGAAGTTGACATGAAAAAAATAGAAGAGAAAAATAGAAGAACAAATAAGTAAACCAAATTACAAAGAAAAGATAATGATCAGCATTACTTACATATGATTTAAGAAGCTCAATGTCCATTTCATCTTGAACTATTGACCAAAGAAAAATGAAAGAGAAAATAAATTAGATTGAAAAGGTTAATGTCAATGTAACTCAAAAAGAAAATGAAAGAAACAATAAACAATAAGCATTACCTTTGCCATCTTTATCTTTATCATCTTTTTTCCCTCGTCTTTGATCTGATCCAACATAATCCATTTTAATTGTCGAACAAACAGAGCAGACAGTTGAGAGAATCAGTAATTAAAAGTATTAAAATATATTAAAATTAAAGTGAAATCGATTACAATCAATTAATTCACTTAAAAACAAACATTCAATTTGAAGAAATTTCCCAAAATGAGCGGGTAACCCAAAGGTGGCGCTTCGAATGCTTTTTGTTCTCTCTGTCGCTTTTTCTGTCTTCTTTGTTTTTTTTCGTTCTAATTGTGATTAATTTAAATATCTAATTGTTCAACTATTTGTTGTTAATCTGAATATTCATTTAATTATAGTAATTAAAACTCATTCTCATGAATCGCTTCTCAGAAAATGCAGGGAAATTCAGCTTTTTGTTTGTTTTCTTTTCATGATTACTCGAAAGCTACTTGGCCGATATGGTCCATATTTCGTCCAGAGAATTTGGAATTCATGAGAATATGAGAATTCAATGGTTAATATCACCTGAAAAATTTAGAATAACTAAAATGTTTCGAGATCTAATTAATTAGTCTCGATTATTGTTTCTCTGATTTCTTGGTCATCCAATTTTCTGAATTTAGCCCGTTAATTAATCTAATAGTAGAGAAATAAAAATCACCAACGAATCAATCAAGAATCGATCATGTTTTGTCATTTTCTCATTGTTTTCCAATTGATTTTCCATCTGATTCTAGATTATCAATATTCAACTGTAAAAATCAGCTTTATAATCAATGATTATAATCAAATCAAGGTTAACATTAAACAAATACTAACTAATTACCTGCTGGAATATTCTGATGATCTGTTAATTGTGTAAAGATTTATTTGAAAACTTTGTTAGTTCATCTAAAATCACACAAACAAAAAAAATCAAGGTCTAATTTTAGTTTACCATTAGTGTGATGTAACAGTAAATATTTTTAAATAATCTAAATCAATTTCAAGGATTCTGATTGATTTAGAGTTAATTTGGTAATGAAAAATTGGCTCAAATCCGAGTTGATTAAATGTCACCTTCAGTTGCCTTTTTTAGCACAGGAAAACCCCAATTTAGTAAATTACCTGAACATGAGTAACATTTAATGAGCAACAATTGAATTAGTTGTAACACGTGACACGTTCAGTAAACTGAATTAATTCGATTGATTAAATAGTAAATTCAAATGAAATATTCAAAGGATTCATGATGATTGATTAGATAGAAATTATTTGAACATTTTAAATAATAATGATAAATGGATTCAAATCAATTAGTAATGATTTAAATGATAATTGATTAATGATATGATATGAATGGTAATATTGAAACGAAAAGATTGATTAAATGAATTAGTACTATTCAGATTAACATCAATAACATTGAAAATTACTGAAAACTATATTTAGTAAAATTAATAGAATCAATGAATAGATCAAACTAATTTAATTGAGTTAATCATATCAATTAGATATACGAAGTGACAATGATGAGTCATAATAATTACAATGAATTGAATGTGATTAAATTATTAAGAAATCTGTAAGATCAATTTAATAATAAATGATTATCTAATATCTACTAAATCATCAATAGAGAAATGAGATAATATAAATCTAAATAAATAGATATGAAACAAAATGGAATAGAAAATAAAATGAAACTGGATTATTTTCTTGGTTAATTTGAAATCATTAAAAGGTAAATTAAAGATAAAATACAATAAAAATTAAATTTGAATAGAATTTCGTTAATTTATCGAAAGACAAAAAACTTTCCTCGCAAGTCCATCAAATCGACGAATAAGATGAAAGAGTTTACAAGATGATGTCCACCGGCATAATTGTACCTTCTTCACATTTAATTGTAAATTTAATCTCATTGTAAACGACGACGAAGATAACGATGACGCTGACAATTTAAATCTAAATATTGGTAATGATTGTTTCTCTTTTCCACTCCAATGGCAGTTCGAATTGGCACTTTTTTAAATCGAATTTTTCTTTTAATTTCGACAATTAAAACCACTACCAAACATCAGACTTTTTATCACGTTGTTTTCCTCGTGATTTGGTTCGAGCTTTAAATGAGGCGATATTTTCCATTTTCTAAGAGATGAAATGAATAATAGAAATGAAATAGAGAGAGAGAAAAAGAAAAGTAAATACGATTAGTAAACAGAAAATTAAATCACATTTTAACGATAAAAAAATATAGTAAATTAATGAAAGGGAAGCAAAAAGAGAAAAATTCAATCATAACAATTAATGACTCACATATCGAAATACAAGTCATAAGATTGATTGAAGAGGATAAATTGTAATTGAAAATAATATTCATGGTAAAGAATAACAAACAATTGAAACAACAACAAAAGATCAGAAACTCGATTAAAGAAAGAGAAAAGAACTTCAACAAAATCCAAACTAGAATCGAATAGTTTCTTTTACTTTTATAATTTCGAACAAAAGGAAAATAATTGAATCGTGTTCATGCTCATGAGAATTTGGAATGATGAAAGAAGTAAAAGAAAAAGGATAACCCAACCTTTTGGAATTTACTCATTTTGTGAACTGGTTCGTCGATTGGTAAAGGAGTACCTAATTCGAAGACATCGCGTAAAAGATCATTTTGTTTGAGATGTAAGTTCATTCCAGATCCTAGAACATTACAAAATGCTTCATATTGTCTTTTTCGACACCACGAATCGATGAATAATCTTTCTCGGCCAAATTTAACTGTTTCTGAGGGAATCTCATCGTCTTCAATATATTTAAGAACATCTCGAAAACTTGAACGTTGTTTCCGTCTGTCCTTTTTAGCTCTAAACTTTTGACTATCAGTGGCTAATTGTCGTAATTTATCAGTTAGACCAATTCCAGGTGAAATGTCCATTCGACCCTCACGACAAATCTCAAAGATAACGGCAATTGTTTCACCTGCGGCAATCCTAAGTTCAACATCACTACTATCTAATAGCTCAATTAGTTTGGTTAAATATTTATCGGCAAACTGAGCAACATAACTGACCGGTTGAGTGGTACAAACAAGTGTCCAAGCATATAAACAGGCGACATGTAGAGCGGTTATATCGGTACCATGATTGGGAGCTACACCGTTACCTTTAAAATAAGATGCACTGAATAGAGTTTGAAATGATTCCAATATTTCATCACAACTTTCACAATCAGATCCTGAAATGAAACAACATAAACCTAAAGTAGAAGCAAATTGAGACCTTACAATAGGTCCGACACTTTTATCCATCAAAATGGTCAACATTTGAGATTTTAATTCAATGAAAATGGCATCAGTATCTTCACCAGAACCCAAAGATATACAAATAATGGCCGCCAAAAGAGCAGCGGATCCCTGTTCTTCACCTTTTCCTTTTTTGATACACCTTTCCAATATATCACAAAAAGTTGCACGTCTATGATTATAGAAAAATGGAGAATAGAAAAAAAAACAATTCTATTGATATATAAAGTAGATATGGAAAATATTTCATCAGATGAAATACATGTAATGTATCATGGAAAGTAAATCATTTGACATTGATAGATATTAATGGAAAAACTCATTCGCTTACCTTTCTGCTATAAAATCAATGGCGTATCTCGATATGAAGGCTTTACGAATAGCCTCAAGGGCAGTAACTCGAGTCTTTGAGGCTTTTACAAATGTTGCATCAATCGCAGCCATTAATTTATCTTTAAAATCGTCCTCAGTTTCTGGTTCTTCATTTAAACCATCACCATAACCAACGTTATCTTCATCATCCTCAAACCGAGAGGATGACATAGAGTACATGGAGCCACATTCATCATGAGAATCTGTACTTGGAGCCATTGAGAAGATGAAAATTATGATTAACACACAATTAGAAAGGAACAATGAAAATATTATTTTAATTCGTTAATTTGTTGCAATCAAACAGAAAATTGTTGTTATTGATGTTACAACATGAGATTAAAATGTGTTGGGGAAATTATTTTTGCTCCCTCAAAGGAGTGAGTCTTTAAGGGAAAATATTCTAATAAAAAAAGAGAAATTTGTGTTTTTTTCTATTCGCAACAAAATTAAGTCTTTTTAATCAACAGGTAGAAAATGTTTAGATGAAAGATTAAGTTGAATGTCGGGAGCAAGTCAATGAATCACTTAGATTGGACGATTTTATCTTGATTGAACTTTCAGGTTCGTTGAGGGTAAATGCATGAGGAATGTTACATTCGGTGAGGAAAAGTTGACCAGTTAAAGCAGTTCGACATTGACCACCATCGAGGGTACAGTCTTTGAGATGAGTTTGACCAAAATGAACTTGTAATAGGCCTTGTGATGAATCTGCTGTTCGAAAGGTTAAATTGGAAATACTGACATCATTTGAAGCACAGTGAAGAAAAATTTCACCCGTTGGATCGCTAGATTCAAGAATGACCTCTTCTTTGGTCAAGCCAATTCCCGTGACACTTATGTCTTTAGTTATCCAAAGGGTTGTTACACAAGCATAAGTTCCTGGAAGAATTAGAACTTTATCTCCTGAGTAAGCGGCAGAAAAGGCTGAAGGTAAATCTTGATGGAAAATTATTGGAATTGAACTTTTCCCCTTGGACTTTAGAGAGGAAAGAAAGAAAATAAAAGATTAGATAATATGAAATAGATTCGAGTAGATGATCAATATTTCTTACTATTTGTGAATTTTTTAAATAAGAAACAATTTTCTCGAGTAGGGAAAGATTGAATTCAACAGCAACTAAGTGAATTCTTTCACCATCATCCATTTCTTTCGGAACATCGACAATCATCATGATATTTCGGAGAAGAGGATCTTCAAGTCGTGACATTTCCAGATCAAAATCTTCTAATTTCATTTGTAGTCGTAAAGACTCATAGAGATCAAAATCATTTATAGCAATTTCTTCGTTGGTTCCCCAATCACCTCCATCTAATCCTTGATTAACAGCTTCCATTTTCTTTTTAACATCTTCAAATCGAGCCTTTAATCGAGCACCTTCATCAAGTAAATAGTTGATCCGATCAATAACTGGCTTGCTAACCGCACCAGAGCCAATTTCAAAGTAAAGTCGGAGTCTATCGGAAAGGTAACTCTCAACAAAAGATGCAATTTGTGGACGGGTCAATATATCATCCCAGGGTCGCCAAATATGACGATAAAAGAAGCGAACATGTTCAATAACCACCGCAGTAACAGAATATTCATCGCTGTTTTCATTGATAACATAAAGCTCTGTAAGGGAAACATTGACAATCTTTTTCTTCAACAAAGAAGTGATTGCAACTCTTTCCTCATCATTACAATCGTTTCCTTCTAATGGTGGATATAAAAGCTTTTCAATGGACACTGTAGCTTCCAAATCACTATGAGAAACATCCAAAACTTCAACAATAAAATCACAAACTGTTCCCGGTGAATTAATTCCAGTCTCAGTGGTTCTCCAAACAGCTCGCCATCCAGCAGGTTCAATCAGAGAAGTGACATATTTAACCATACATTCATGAACCTTACCTGTCGGAGATGAGCCAATGATAACTTCAGAATACAAGTTCTCAATCTCGGATAATTTAACTGAAAAGAAACCAAACAATTAGATACAATTAAGAAAAACCCAATACAATGTAGGGATACCTACAGATCTTAAAAGCAAAAAAAACCACTTACCTAATTTTATCTTGAAGATTGGTGGATAACTTGAAGTGTGTGGAGTAAATGATGTTCGTTTCTTGAACATGATGATTAAGAAAAGTAAAAATTAATTCAAAACACTTAAAAAAAGAAATTAAAACGCAGAACAATTGAATTAAAAGATTCGGAAAATCAGTCAACAGTTAACATTGATCAAGACGAAAAGGGCGGAATATATTTGAAGGAACCGCGCAACTTTTTTTGTTTTTCCAGCTCTCTGATTGGTTGATTTTTTTTTGTTTATTCTTTTTCTTTAACCAATCGGATTGGTAAACATTTCATTTGATTTATTGTAACTGTTAATTAATTAAAGTAAATTAACTGATAATTTAAAGTAATTATGTCACGAGGGACTCTTTATTTCATCACCAGTAACATGGATAAACTTTCAGAGGTGGTCGCCATCTTGGGGAAAGATTTTCCATTCAAGGTAATACAATTAGTTTTGGTGAGAGAAATTAATTCATTTTAACAATTTAATTAATTATTTCTATTGAATTGATATTTGGTTTGAACAGTTAGCTTCAAAAAAGGTTGATCTTAATGAGTATCAAGGTGATGAAGATTTCATTGTGAAAACTAAATGTATTGAAGCTGTTAAACTTGTTGGTGGTCCAGTTATAGTGGAAGATACCAGTTTGGGTTTTGAGGCTTTCGGAGGTTTACCTGGTCCTTATATTAAATATTTTCTTGATGCAATTGGTCCGGAAGGATTGTTTCGAATGTTAAATACATGGAAGAATAAAAATGCATTGGCAACTTGTCGAATTGGATTCTGTGAGTCATCCAATTCAGAGCCAATCATTTTCAAAGGAATTGTTAAAGGAACCATAGTTGAACCTCGAGGATCTTCAGGATTTGGGTTCGATTATTGTTTTCAACCCGAAGGATTAAGTGAAACATTTGCTGAAATGAACAAGGAAACTAAAAGTAAACTGTCGCATCGATATGCTGCCGTTGAAGCGATGAAAAGACATTTCCTACCATCAAACGATAATGAGCAAAGCTAAAGTTCAAATAAAGTTCAAATGAAGCTCATTGATTTATCATATTATGGTATTATCACATTACCCTGATACACATGCAGTGTAACTAAGACCAAGAATTAACTTTATCCTAGTCCAAGATGAAGTGTATGGATAACAATCCACTCGAAACTGATTAAAAAAGGGTCATTACAATCAGCTAATCATCTTGCCTCATCTTTTACTCTCTTTCTCATTTTCTGATTTAAATACTTTTGTTAAAAATTAAGAATGAAAGTAAAACTAAATCGGCAATGTTAATAATCATTGATAATCGTGATAGATTGTGGATGAAAATCAGTTTCAAATTACATTAAATGAAAGGTCATGAATCTATTCATCACTAAGCAATAATGATTGATGAATTGATTTTAAATTGTTAACCAAAAAACAATCGGGGAAACTGATTGGTTAATAAAATCACAAGCACAATGAAAAAAAGTTAAATGTTGGTTGAAAATCTCGTAAGGCGGAAATTGTGAAGACAAATTAAAACTCTTTGGTTAACAAACGATTCTCCCATTCGGTGGACAAAATTGAATTAACACGATCCAGTTAATTGCTCAGATTTTGTTTATTCTTTTCTTTAACCAATCGAATCTTTAAACATTCCATTTGATTCATTTAATTGTTCTGTTCACTATCCATCATTAACATCGATGTATCAGATTCGTTTCTATGGGAACGAATTCTCTTGGACAACAAATCACGAAATTCTCGAATATTTTCAAAGCGAAAAGTTGATTGTGATTAGATGAATTAATTTTTAATCTTCAATTCCAATCGATTCAATTGATTGTTCGATACTTTATTATATTCAAAAAGAAAATTGTGTTGTTACTATGATTCTGTGTCTAGGTTCGTATCCATTTATCAGAATTTCGATTCAATCGAACATCAATTTAACTTGATTGTTTTTCTTTTTCCAGGTTTACCCAATTCAGGAAAAACACTCTTACTTCGATCATTATCATGTTATCCTGATAAAATTGAGAAATTCGAAACAGTTTCAACAGTTGGAATTAATTTGGTCAATTTGAATTGTTCTCTAAATGAATCAATCACAATTAGGGAAATCGGTGGTTCTATGGAACCGATTTGGGAAAATTATCTCAATTCCAATGTAACTCACATATTATTCACAATTGATGTTTCTAATCCAGTTGAAATTGGATCAAATGTAATCACGTTGATTAATTTGTTCAATTCGTTATCGGTTAAATTGTGTCAACCTCGTTTATTGCTGGTTCTTACTAAATTAGATTCCATTGGAACAATTAAATTAGATGAGACAATTTCTGGTCTACTTGTTGATGATTTAATTTCGTTACATTCATTGAACAATTCAATTGAAATAATCGGAACCAGCGCAATTACCGGTCAAGGATTAGATGATATTATCAAGTGGTTGTCGAGTTGATTAAAAAATCTTAAGTGTCTCCAAGCTAATTGAACAATTAACTTACTATCATCATCAATGAACAAAAAAATAATTGAGTTCATGTTAATTAATCAGATTGATAACAAATCGCTTTTCACTTCATCAAGAAAATTGTAACCAATTAATTGGTTAATCAATTGTTTAGATAAAAATTGCCATTGCCAACACAAAATCATAATAATCATCATTTTAATTAATTGTAAGTACTAATTGTTATCATTATCAATCAAGTTAATTTAATATCTTCTTTTGATTGTTCCAATAATTTTAATCTAACTGTTATTAATACATTGAGGGTCACATGTTGATTGTTTAAACCTTGTCAATTAGAGCACGAGGTTTCCGTTGATTTAATTTCATAATCATTTGTGATACACTTAATTGTTTAATCATTTAAACAAAAAAATTGATTAAATTGGGATCAAGAGGTGGATCAAGATTTGGATCCGATTGACTCAATATCTTTTGCTTGGTTGTTGTTGACAACAACAAATTGTTGTTATTTTTGATTGAGTTGAGCTCAGAACAAGCTGAAAGTTAATTTGATTGAACATTTTTCATTCTAATTGTGATTTAGATTTTGTTAAATTGTTCTTTTCTCTTTTTTTCTAATTGTTCGTTATTAACTTTTCTTTTCTCAAAGGTTGACCAGTAATTGTTTCCAATAAGTTTCTTTGTTGTTTCGAAAGACAAAATGTCCAATGATCTCAAAATGTTATTCGCTGGATTAGAAGGAGGATCTTCTAATTCGAACTGTGTTCTAATTCGTGGTGATGGTGAAATTCTTGCTACTATCGGAGGTGGAACATCAACAAATCACTTGTTGATCGGTGAAGAGGAATGTCAACGGCGAATAGTTGATCTTCTAGATGAGGCCAAAAAAGCCGCTGGACTTTCGGATGAGGTCAAACTGGACGGTTTAGGCCTTTGTATGAGCGGTTGTGAGGATAATGAGGCTAACCTTAAATTTGCCGAATCAATGATGAACCGTTATCCTAAATTGTCTAAATCAATTATCGTTAAAAGTGATACAATTGGATCGATTATGACAGTTTGTCCAACAGGTAAATTCATTGAAAAGTTTCCATCAAATTTGGAGAAAAACAAAAACAAAACCGATCCCTTTAAGGTTTGTACATTTACAGAAAAATGGATCAGTTGTTTTGTTTTTTTTTTCTCTAATCAGTCAAAACTTTTTGTGTTACAATTTAATTAAGATTTAGAGAAAGAAAATTTTAATCAACAAAATCTTCTCATCTTTTCATCTTGCAAAGTTAATCAACCATTTCCGAGCATTTGTTTACCTGAAACAAACTTGCGACAACTTTGATCGCACCAAAGTTTTTCACGATGAAAAGATTGAGCTAAATCGTAAATGATAAGATAAAATTAATTGATTGAGTAATCAGATTACGATCAATCTTTTCTTTCTCTAGAGAGAAATTATCTCCCATGATTACCTCAGAGTCTCATTGTAAATGAATTGGACAAACGCCCTTGAATCGAGATACACCTTGTCACATGTTCGAAAATTATTTTATTCTTTTCTCATGATAAGAATGATGAAGAAACTGATGATGATGATGATGAAGTTTCATTGAAATGGAATCTTTTTTTTTACATGGAAAATAATCTTTTAATTTTCTCTTTTTTTTTCTTCTTTCAATTTTCAATCTTCTTTTCTAACAATTAAGGTGGAATTGTTGTAATTGCTGGAACTGGATCAAACAGTTTACTTCTAAATCCGGATGGATCAACATTCAATTGCGGAGGTTGGGGCCATTTACTTGGCGATGAAGGCTCAGGTTGTTGGATTGGAATCCAAGCAATTAAAACAATTGTCGCCCATGAAACCAATTTAATCCATAGTCCATTCCCTATTGATGTGGTTCGTCAAACGGTTTTCGACTATTTTAATGTATGTTCATACCAACTAATCAACAATTAGTCCAATCATTTCACTCTGTTCATTAATCTCATACGATTTATACTTTACAGATTAAAAGTCCAGAGGAAATATTCAAACCCGCTTACGCTGAATTTGTCAAGTCTCATTTTGCTGGAGTTTGTACAAACATTGCAAAAGGTAATTAAAGTTAATCACTTGTCAATTTACAATGAAACCAATTGATAATTAACTGTCTTCCTTTGTTTAATTACTTTCAATTAAAGTTGCCATGGAAGGAGATAAACTTGCTCAAAAGCTTTTTTATGATGCTGGTGGTATGTTAGCTCGTCATATTGTTGCTCTAGTGCCTAAAATTGATCCGGTAGGTTAATTGTCACAATCAACTAGAATCTATCAAATTATTCATTAATTGTTTAACCACTTTGTTCTTGTCGCAAACAATTTAATTTTCAGATTTTGATGAGAGATGGTAAACCAATTACTGTTGCTTGTGTGGGCTCATTATTCAAAAGTTGGCCTTTACTTCAAAAAGGTAATTATATTAATAGTTATAATTAACTGCCCTTTTTCATTTCGAGTTAATTGTTGATTTGTCCTAAATTAAAAAGGTTTCCTTGAGATCGCCCAAACCGCTGGTGTTACATTTAATTTGGTACAATTAACTCGACCCTCATCATTGGGAGCTGCTTATTTATCCGCTTGCAATACAGATTTCAAATTACCGATAGATTTTGCTACCAACGCGGAGTTAATTGAACAGGTCAAACCAATCGAGATGGTCAAAAGTACAAACCCCGTCTCAAGTTGTATCATGATGTGAATTGTCAACCAAATCGACCATTGGCCATCATTTCCATTATATTTACCCAAATCTCCTACAAATTGTAAACTTATATTTTGACTTTACCAACAAATCAGCTAACAATTATTAATATTTTAAGTGAACTTTACATAAATTTATTATTATTAATATAATATAATCAATATCAATTGTAACTAATAATGATAATTAAACTTTCGTTTTCTTTTACTAAAGGATATCCCAAAGAGTAAGTTTTACTCTTTGACTGCTTATTAATTAAAGTAAATTAACTGATAATTTAAAGCAAAGAGTAAGGAACAATTAGTTTCTCTTTGATTTTTCCATAGAAAGGGTTTAATCAGTGCCCCTGATCCAAATAGTTTGCAACTTGTTCACTCTTTGATTTAGTAGTAAATTATTAATAAAGTTAAAGTAATTATGTCACGAAGGAAACTATTTCATCGCAAGTAATATGGATAAACTTTGTGAGGTGGTCGCCATCTTGGGGAAAGATTTTTAAGAATTGATATTTGGTTTGAACAGTTAGCTTCAAAAAAGGTTGATCTTAATGAGTATCAAGGTGATGAAGATTTCATTGTGAAAACTAAATGTATTGAAGCTGTTAAACTTGTTGGTGGTCCAGTTATAGTGGAAGATACCAGTTTGGGTTTTGAGGCTTTCGGAGGTTTACCTGGTCCTTATATTAAATATTTTCTTGATGCAATTGGTCCGGAAGGATTGTTTCGAATGTTAAATACATGGAAGAATAAAAATGCATTGGCAACTTGTCGAATTGGATTCTGTGAGTCATCCAATTCAGAGCCAATCATTTTCAAAGGAATTGTTAAAGGAACCATAGTTGAACCTCGAGGATCTTCAGGATTTGGGTTCGATTATTGTTTTCAACCCGAAGGATTAAGTGAAACATTTGCTGAAATGAACAAGGAAACTAAAAATAAACTGTCGCATCGATATGCTGCCGTTGAAGCGATGAAAAGACATTTCCTACCATCAAACGATAATGAGCAAAGCTAAAGTTCAAATAAAGTTCAAATGAACCTGTTGAAGCTCATTGATTTATCATATTATGATATTATCACATTACCCTGATACACATGCAGTGTAACTAAGACCAAGAATTATCATTATTCTAGTCCAAGATGAAGTGTATGGATAACAATCCACTCGAAACTGATTAAAAAAGGGTCATCACAATCAGCTAATCATCTTGCCTCATCTTTTACTCTCTTTCTCATTTTCTGATTTAAATACTTTTTGTTAAAAATTAAGAATGAAAGTAAAACTAAATCAGCAATGATAATAATCATTGATAATCGTGATAGATTGTGGATGAAAATCAGTTTCAAATTACATTAAATGAAAGGTCATGAATCTATTCATCACTAAGCAATAATGATTGATGAATTGATTTTAAATTGTTAACCAAAAAACAATCGGGGAAACTGATTGGTTAATAAAATCACAAGCACAATGAAAAAAAGTTAAATGTTGGTTGAAAATCTCGTAAGGCGGAAATTGTGAAGACAAATTAAAACTCTTTGGTTAACAAACGATTCTCCCATTCGGTGGACAAAATTGAATTAACACGATCCAGTTAATTGCTCAGATTAAGCAATTAAAACATTAGAACAGCTAAATGATTAAACTTAATTGATCAAGTGTTTATTTATTGTTTATCATCAATCAACTTTATCATCAAATAACAAGAAAAACAAAACAATTCAAATATCACCAACGAACGAGGATAAATAATAAAAAATCATTTTCGTGATTGTGATTAACAACAATTTAATTGATTTCTTTTGTTAAATTTGATCGCCATGGAAAAGAGTTTACTCTTCCTTCTGGCTTATCCATTTGTCGCTGGATTAATTCCTTTAGCAATTAAGACTTTTTTCTATGCCGAAGAAAAAATATCTCGAACATTGAACAACGATTATTGGGAAAATTCTTATGACTTTATAATCGGTAAGTGTTTGGTAAATCTAAATATCGACAATCAAGATAATTGATCGTAATCATCTTCAACTCAATTCAATCTTTTCCCCTTAATCATCGATTCTAATAGTTGGCTCATCAGCGGCGGGATGTGTTCTCGCCAATCGATTGTCCGAAGATCCAACTAAAAGTGTTCTATTATTGGAAGCGGGCGGACCCACTCCGAGTCTTAGTGAAATTCCCGCTCTGTCCAATATCTTCCAAGGGTCAGTCTACTCTTGGAAATTTAAAACTGTCCAACAAGAGAAATCATGTTTCTCTATGGAAGATCGAGTAAGCAATTAACTAATTCAATGAATAGGATCTTAATTGTCGGTTTGAGAAAATAAATTGAAACTTGTTGTACATTAGAAATGTCGATTGATTCGCGGAAAAGGCCTCGGTGGGACAACTATTTTCGATTCGATGATCTATTCAAGAGGTCACCCTGATGAATATAATTCGTGGTCTGCGTTGGGGTTGAAAGAGTGGCGGTGGGAACGTAACTTTCCCTATTTCATTAAAGTTGAACAGAAACGTGATTTCAATCCACATGATTCACATTATACTAATCGTAAGTTAATTGTTGCCACCAAATTACTTGTGATCAGTTTTATGCTTATTGTTACACTTTCTCTCAGGTAATTATGGTTCGAATGGTTTACTTCCTGTTAATTTGGATCCATTTGAAAATCTATTAACCAGATCGATGAGATCAGCGGCAGCGGAATTAGGCCTTCCCTATGGTGATATAAACGCTATTTCTAATGTGATTGTCGCTCGACCTCAATTCACTCAGTTCAATGGTACTCGATATTCAGCAGCTAAATCGTATCTTGATCCGATTATACATCGAACCAATTTAAAGATATTAACATTTTCTCGAGTTAATCGAGTTCTAATGGATGGGAAACGAGCGATTGGTGTTGAATTTTCCCGTCACGGGATAAACCATATTGTTTATGCTCGACGAGAGGTCATTTTATCTGCAGGTCCGATTAACAATCCAAAGATATTGATGATTTCGGGTATTGGACCGAGAAATCTACTTGAAGAGCATCGAATTGAAGTTGTCGCCAATCTCCCGGGAGTGGGAAAGAATCTGGTAAGTCCGATCTGCGCCTTTTCACTTAACTACAAATTTGAAAATGTCCCAAGGAATTTTCTCAATGATCAATTTGATATAAACACAGTGAATGAATACGCTGAAGGAAAAGGTGAGAATAAAAATATAATCAAGAAGAAAACGAATTAATGATAAAGTTTATCGAGAATAGAAAAAAACAATCGGTCCAAATGGTTCTAATCGATTGTTTGATTTCTTCAGGTCGATTCACTACCACGGGTTATGATTCAGTCGCATTCGCACAATCCAATATCTATGGTTACAACGATACCGGACATTGGCCTGACATTGCTTTGTTTCTTTACTCAGGTGGTCTAATCGCTGATGATGGTTACTTTTTCCGTAAAAATATTGGCCTGAACTCTGATGTTTGGGTGAAATTGTTTGAATCTAACACGAAAACACCTTCATTCACTTTGGCCGCTTGTCTAACTCGACCCCGATCAAGAGGAAGTGTTAATATTGTCTCAGTTGACCCGGACGATGATCCTGAGATTGATCCGAAATACAATCAACAACCAACTGACCTTCAATCCTTGACCAATGCCCTGAAATTGGCAAAAAATTTGGGTAAAACTCGAGCGATTCGTGAAACTGGTGCTACCCCATATTCCGATAAACTACCGACTTGTCGAGAATTCGCCCTTTACACCGAACCATATTTAGCTTGTTCGGCTCAATCGTTGACAATTCCCTCTGAACATTTGGCCGGAACTTGTCGAATGGGAGATCCCCGAGATCCTCTCGCAGTTGTAGATCAAAACCTTAAAGTTCTCGGCGGAGTGACCGGATTAAGGATCGCCGATGCTTCCGTTTTCCCTTCGTCGCCCGGTTTATCATCAGGACCAGAATACATGTTAGGTGAAAGATTAGCCGACATAATCCGAAGTCGTCGACCTTTAATCAACCCTTATACTATTCCATATTAAACTGATTCTTTTGGTAATTAATTAATTTCTCTTTCTCTCTATCTCTCTCTCTCTCTCTAAATTTCACTTTCATACTCTTTTAATTAAGTTACTTAGGAATCAGTTGTTAATTAAACCAATTAGACCAAATTCTCAGAAGGAAACATTTGGTTCTGTTTGATTGAAAAAGGATTTCAATTGACATCGAACCAATTTCACTGATATCTATTGAACGAAAAGCAAATTAATATGATTTATTTTACAATTTAAATTCATTTTATTCACTTTCTCCTCTTTTCTTTCACTCTTCATTTGTTACATTCTGTCAATTTACTCATTTTCATCATGATTACAGTTCGTCATCATCAGAATCATTGTTAAATTACCATAACCATAACCATTAACATTTTCATTATTCCTTTTTGTCACTTCCTACACATATTTATGTTTTACCAATCACAATATAAATCATTCATTTTTTTGAAAATCAATTTTTACAATTAATAATCAGTCGATGTGTCGATTGTATAATGATATTAACAACGTAACTGAAAGTTTTGAATGATTTAGATAGTGGAGATAAGTGGATAAGAAATGGCTTACAAATCATTTTTGAAAAAAAAAGTAGATAATGATTAGTACAATTATTGCTTCTAAAAAAAGATCGCAATTAATAATAGGGAAAGTAAGAATTATAATCTTAATCAAAGTGGTTGGAGATTAAAAGACGAAATATTCAAAGCTTTCGCTATAATATTTGATTCATTCTGAGAGCTTGAATTTCTTGGGATTCCTTTGAGGTGTATGAACATCATTTGAATCAATTTCTATTGAATTGTCAACAGTATCCAGAGTTTGTTGGAATGATTGTTTGTCACTTTCGTTGAGATTTGTCTCAGAACTCCAACTTGGTCGAGTGTCACATGGAGTCGCTCTTCCTGAAAGTTGATCACAGCTTTTGCTTAGTTTGGGTGTTTTCGGAGTTCCATTAATAGAACCTGGAAAGAGATTCAATCCTTTTCTAATTCCTTTTCCAACAGCTTTCATCATGTTACTCGCTCTAAGTTTAACACTGTCATCCTTTTTTACCGATAATGGAGTAATTCCACCATTTTGTCGATTAAATTGTTTAATTAGACTTTTCTTTTTAGGAGTTTCTGGCATACTACTAATAAAAGCGTAAAGTTCAGCAAGATGTTTAGCGGTTTCAGGTTGTTTTGGAATATTATCACGACTACAAAAGGTCAAAACTGTGTCCACTACATCGTCCGTAGCATCTCCGCTTTCAAGTTTTTGGTATTCTCTTTTAGCATCGATAGCTAATTCTTTTGGTGGATCAAAAATTATATTCACATTGTCAATCATAAATTTGAGTTCGTCCGTTAAAATAATCAAATGCTGTTGGATTTCACTGGCGGTCATTTCTTTTGGGAACAAAAGATGTGGCGCAAAAAGAGTAGACAAATTGCGGGAATTCATCTTATTGTATTCACTTTGAGCTGCAGTTTTGTTTAAAAGAAGCAATAAATCACGAACAAATTTACGCACATTTGCAGGTAATAAGAGTAGAAGAAGTTGAAGTTTCTTGAGTTTTTTGTTCTTCTTAGATGGTGATAATGAACCAGAGTTTGTAACTTGTTCAGTTATATCAGGAATTTCACAATTAATTTTATAGAAAATGTCTGTGAGAAGAGGCTGGGAAAGTTCCGAGAGAAATGTCTTTAAAACATTAGCGCAATCATGTACATTATACTGTCCATCCTCTAAATTAACCTTTGTCCCTCGAGTTAACTTGGATTTGAGTTCTTGTTGTCTGACTAAACTTCCACATCTTCGGAAGATACCTTCTTGCACAATATCTGTTGAAATAGAGAAACAATTTAGAAATAAAAAAGATGAAAAGAATTAGAAGAAAAACTTACTTGAGTCTTGAGCAATAAAATCGATCAATTGATTCATACAAAGAATAGTTGCATCACCAATCTGTTTGGAACCTGAAAATCGGCGAAAAGATGAGAGAAAAAAATCAACATGGATTAACATAATGAAAGTCGTTCGTGTCAAATATTAAAAATCAAAGTAACAGTTGAATAATTGAAGTTATTTAAAAAGAAAAGAGAAAAAGGCAAAGACAAAGAGAGAGAGAACAAAACAAGACAGATGATTTTTTTAGTGTCAAAGACTAATGATTAGATTGGTTAACGGAATATAAATTTACCATCAACACTTTCATCTTTCGATTTGTCATCAAACAAGGAAGCTAAAGTATCTCCAACAGCATCAATGTTAAACAACAAATGCATTCGAGCTAATTTGATGAAAACATCTTCCCGAGTTGATCTTAATTTCTCAATGATATCTTCATGCTCACTGTTAAGGGAACCACTTGAAGAGAAAACGGTTGAGCCCGAACAAGAAGAAGATGTACTCATACTCGTTACTAGTAATTAACAGTTAAGATAAGACAAAAAAAGAGTAAAACCAACAAAAAGACACAATCAAAAAAATATTAATAATAATTAAAGGCGAAAGATAAAACCAAAGATTATAATGAAAAAAAGTCTCAACTTGATAATAACAAGAGAAAAAAAGACAAACATCAAACTTTGAATTTCAATCTTCTTTTCTCTGATTGGTTGAACCGGAAATTCTTTTCAATTCTGATTGGTTGACTTTGTTTCGATGGATCGAATCGCTGTTATACAATCGATTCGGTTTTCTTGTAACCAGAAACATTTGAAGATAATTAACTTATGATAATTAATAGATTATCACTTAATTATTTTGTTTTAATTTTGTTATTCATTTTATTACCTTGGATTACTGTGAATCAATTTTCTGTCGATCCCGATAAGAAACAATGACAATGAGGTTAAGTTGGATGATGTTTTTGATAACTGGTATCAACAGTTGGATATTTACAAAAAAACTCACGTTTTCTTGTTATTGTATTTCTCCTTAATCATCTTTACCAATCATCGGCTAATTAATTAGTTTCAAGGTAAATAGTGATGATGATCATCATCAACTTCTTCTTCTTCTTTTTTCCCCAGATCACAATGGCGGTAAGATTAGATGAAGACAGAGAGTCACAAAGAGAGGAGGAAAAGATGATAGAGATACATGACAGTAGAGGAGAGATCAATTAAGGTAATTAAATAGCACAACAATTTAAATCAATCAATTAAGTGTCAATTTTTCTCTCTCTCTCTCTCTCTCTCAACAGTTACATTGGTCATTTAGTATCGAAATTTGGTATGATTACTTTACTTCTAAAGGTCGATATCAAATTTTACATGTTAATTGATTGTTCCGATTTTCCGTTTGGCTTCATTAACTTTACAAGGACATTGGACTAGAAAACGAATATAATAATTACATAGATTTTGCTTATTTCTCATCTCTCGTGTCAAATGTACACCATTTACCTTTTATTAGCTCACCTTATTGATACTCGATGTAAACTAAAACGGAGAAACATTACCGTTGGTTAATGGCCTTGTTACCAACATATCAATACCTTGGTAGTTGAATGTTTAGATACACAGTGTACTTATCATTAATCTGAACAATCAGATGATATTATTTGGTTACTATGAAGAAAGTTTTCACCGTGGAATCGATTGTGATCTTCTTGAGTTTGTTTTAGGCTTTCTTGGTATTTGTCTGCAGGTTTACATCTTCGTTAACATTGAGTGGACATTTTTTTGTTTGGTCGAGTTTGGGTTTAGTAATTTGAAGATAAGTTCCGAATAAATTATGGATGAATTAATGGTAATTTGAATATTCTCTCTCTTAATCCAATTACTGGTGGAATAATTGGTTCCATATTAAATTTACTTTTCATTTTGGAAGCAATTAAACACCAAGAATACAAATTTACAATCACCATAAATAATTGAATCTACATTAAGTTTACTCACCATGACACTAATCTCCATCCTCTGGCTTAATCCTTATCTGAAACGAAAACAATATTATACTGATAAACGAATTCTACTTACAGATATTATTTGTAAAAGTTCACAAAAAGTGAGCGAAGCTCAAGGCGAATGTGCCTTCGATTATCAGTTACATATTCTATTCCCAAAATATCCTTTCATCGCCATTTCAGAAATTGATTCAATTGATAATGAGCACGAAAAGGATGAAAATGAGCCAATTAAGGAACAAAGGAAAACGAAGTTATCCCTAAAGAAGAGAAAACGTCAACAACAATCAATAACAATCAAAATCTTTACCGTTACAATAAGTACATTTGGATGGAATCAGTGATCAAAATTCACCGAATCTCTTACATAATATTATTCACAGGATCTTATCGACAACCGAGCAGTTGATTGGAATCGCTATTCGATGAGGCGGACAATGATGAAGATGACAATAAAATGACCTCTAGGAAATGTCGCGTGAAGAAAACTCCAAAAAAGAATAAAATTTCAAAAAAGTTATAACTTATATCTTATATTTTCTTCTTCTTCTAGAATCAAGGTTTGTGCTAAACAGAATTTGACTGAAAAAACTATTTCGCTATTCTATTCATCGATTTGTCGGAAACTTAATTGGTGGTTATTTCTCCCGTGAAATCGATTGACGAAATGTATTCGGCAAAGAAAACGAGAAGGAAGAATGAAAATGCCCTGATTCCATTATTTGTTCTATGGTTAAAAGTCCAATGTATCATTCGACTATGATTTGTGTGTTGATGAACATCTTAAGTTGATCATCTTCAAAATTAGAAGTAGGTAAACATGATTGTGTAAAGCTCACAACAATCAAGCAAAGGAAAACAAAGAAACGTCAACAATGATTAACATTGGATTAACAACTCGAGTTACCCAAATCTGAGAAGTAAAATTGTTACAATTAAGGAAAATATGACGAATTCCTGATTTACCTTTACCTCGATATCGATACCAAAAGAACCTTGGATGGAGCAATTAACTTTGATTCTTAGTGAGAAATAAGCAAATTAAAAGACACGAATATGGATACAAGAAGACAGATTAAACCTCGACTCAATGGAAAGGATCAGTTACTTACCAGGGAAAAGGAACTTAATTAACTTGGAACTTATCAAATTAGCCCATTCGATTGATTAACTAATGGGCGACAATTTAGGACAATTCGTTTTGTTGGATTACGAACAATTAAAAGTGAAAGAGAGAGAGAAAAGTTTTTTTTTTCGCTAAAATCTGGTTCTGTGATTCTGACATTGAATTTAGATTAACAATCAATCAATGATGATCGTTGATTGGGTGATAATTTTGAAGATGGAGATGATGATGATGATGAAGAAGCAAAAAAATACAAAAAAGTTACAAGTGAAATTTTTTCCATGTTTTCAGCTGATTTTTTGAGTTGATTATCTCAAGTATCAAGTTGATTTTAATTGTGATTCGTTTCCAATGTTGAGATAATTAGATGATTAATGACGTCTTTTGATTGATCGCTAATCAATCAGTTGGTTAGCCAACTATCCAGTTTGAAGGCTGATAACAAAAGTCCAAATTCAACAATCAACAGGTTAATTGTTACATATGGTAATCAATTTGGTACCAATGGTTAATCCATTTAATTAGAGGAAACAATTACAACCTTAATTGTTAAGGGTGACAATTAGATTGCAGATTAATAGGAACCAATGTATTTTCTTGGTTGTAAATTTTTGATGATATGGTGACATTTTTGATTATTGGAATTCATTTAATCAGATAATTAATAACTACTTCAATTGATTGTGTGTGTACATTGATCATCAAAATATAGAGATGATGATTAACTCTTAATCAAATCTAATTGCTAATTCTGACAATTGCTGACAAAGAAAAAACCACTTTAACCTTTTTTTCTTAATCAACAGAACATTTAATTTAATTGAACTTAATTTAATTGTCAAGATCAACTGACATCAGCATGATCATGATCATGATCATGACAATTTACTAAACACAATCAACTCAAGGTTCTAATATATTGAATAGTAATCACAATCAACTAGATTTTCTTAACAATTTGACAGTTAAATTATGTTTCCATTATAAATCAATGTAAACAATTAACTTTTAAAGATAAAAAAAAATCTACAATCAATTGAAAAGATTATCAAACCCAATCAATAACAATTAACAAGAGAATTTAAATTTTTCGATCAACAATTTACTTTTCAACGATCTAATTTTAACATTGTTACATTAATTAACCAATTTACTAAATTAAAAGTTGGATCAAAGTTCGGTTACAATTAACTTTCTATTTTTTATTCATTTCATTTCATCATAATCAAAGAATCACAATCAACTCTAATCAATGATGAACTCGAGAAAAAGCAAAACCAATTGATTAGTAAATTAACATCATCGATTTACTAATCATTGGAACAAGAAAAGATAATGATTAAGTTAATCATAAATGAAAAGATACTTGAATTACATTCTTAATGATGTTGATTAACTCTTAATGATAATGAAAATGTGATCAATTTGGTTTGTCAAAAAAAGTCACAATTAGATCAATCGAAACAATTTAATTGTCATAAACAATTAGCAAACTATTGGATTGATTAATAAACTTTTTCCAAAGCAAATTTACTAATCAAGAGAAATTGCTCTTAATTAATAATTTAAAACTTATCTTTATCACTTTTTTAGTCCAAACAATCAACTAATTGTTTGATTAGAAGGTTGTTGTTATTTTGATTGTTTTAATTATATTTATAAGGAAGTAAATTAGTTGATTGATTATTTGTTAATAAACACAAGTGATTCAAATTGTTACTGTTAAAATCTAATTGTCACCATAATCAATATCCCGATCATCTTACTTATAATCTGATATTTAATCTGTTAATTATGGTCGAAGACCTTTTAACAATCAAGTTAATCAATCCTGTTACAATTAATCAACAACATGTAATCACTTAAATTAATATGATATGATAACAATTAAATAATAATAATTGGACATTTCTTATTTTCTCAAGCAATTTAATTTGATGAAAATAAAAGTAAATCAATGATTATGATCAACAAGTAAATGATGGAGTGAAAATTTTTCCAACAATTAAAATGTACATCGCAATTTAATCAAAGTTAATTGTAGAGAGAGAGGACAAATTAATCAAATTAAATTGACAATAAAATAGAATCACCGATAAAATGAATGAATATCTTAATTATCTTTAAGAAAATTAATCAAAAGAAGGTAAATTGTGACATAACAATTTGAAGCACTTTAATTAAGAGAACAGGGTAACTAACTAATCACAATTAACTCGATAACATGGTGACATGAAATCGACAAAAAGTGAAACAAATCAATCAATTTACATAATTTAACTCTAATTGTTAAATGAAAGTAAGATAATGATCATCATCATGATGGTTAATCATGGAAATTGATCAAATTAAGTTGATGATGGGACAGAAACATCAATCAAAGAGCAATCGGATAAATCACCACAATTTCAACCACAATTGAATTTAATTGGAAATCAATGGTAATCGAAATTGAATGAGAAGAAAAATCATCGAGATTAGATCAACCTGTATAAGAACAACTTAAAGTCAAGAGATAATCTGATAATCTATTTTCTTCTGTCAATTTTTCTCTTCTCTTTCTTTTTACCAAGAAGATAAAGTTCATCATTACATAGAGAGTTGTATGAGTTTGCTTTTCTTTTGGAAGATAAGGAAGAGAGAGAGAGAAGAAAAGAAAGACCTAAGAAGATAGAGAGAAATTTAAGAAGAAGAAGATGATCGAAAGAAAGAAGAAGAGATTGGATGAAAAGGTAATAAGAGAAAGAGAGAAAAAAGATGATGAGCTTGAAGAAAATAAAGAAGAAGAAGAAAAGAAATGAAATCTTTCTGCAAATTCAGATAATCATAATTAGCACTAATCATCTAATTGTGGGAGTAGATTAATTAAAGAAAAAGAATCAAATTCTCTCCCCTCCCTAATCCATCATCGATTTCATATAAAAGGAGTTGAATCAAAGCTTCGGGAGATCATAAGTCTGCAGCCTCTTCCCCAGGAATGGATCTCAGACTAATTCTCGTTTTGTGCGCTCTCGCCGCCACCCGAGTCGGTAAGTTAATTAACGATTAACTTTAACAGTGAATTTGACTTAATTGTTACGAGTTAAGAGTTAGTCCATCGAAAAGTTTACTTTTCTTTTCAACTTCTCTGTGCGTTAATTGTTAACATCAACAATCAACTTATTTCTTTCGTTGATCAATCGATTAGTGGATTTTCTTGTTCTCTTTTTTTTTTCGTTAACTTTTAATTCTGTGTTTATCTCGTTAATCTAAATTTTAATTCTTCAATGTGTTTCTTTTTTATTCTGACCAACAGCTTCACAATCGGACATCCACAATGGACAATGTGCCAAACAATGTAAATGTATGTATTTACAGTTAAGGAACCATTGTGATGATTAAGTTTCTCTTTAATTTTTCTAATTGATTTGTATTGTTTTCTCTTGTTTTTAGCCTCCGAATTGAACGAATACCCCAATGGCCTTACTCATGTATACAAATACTCAACACGGACTCTGGTAAACTCATGGAACACTGAAATTGATGTTAAAGGTGATGTTCTCCTTACCCGATTATCTACCTGTGATTACTCATTGGAGGTAAGTGACAGTCTCTCTCTCACTCACTTGAGGTTTTCTTTCTCCGCCATTGGAATATTGTTCTCATATCTCTCTCTCTCTCTCTATTTATCCCCTTGTGTTCAGCTTCGTAACGTTGCCATCAATGGTCTTCCAGAGTCAAGATCATGGGAACAACAATTGGCAGCCCGAAGTTTAAGATTCTCCTGGATCGATGGTGAAATCACTGATGTTTGCCACCACCCAGAGGAAGAAGAATGGGTTATCAATGTTAAGAAGGCCATCATCTCCTCTCTCCAAGTTGTTGGAACCAGTGGTTATGTTTCAAAGGTTGAACGGGACATTCTTGGTGATTGTCAAACAATTTACCAACAAGGAGATGTAACCAATGACCGAATTGTTATGTTCAAGTCAAAGGATATTTCTTCATGTGAATACCACACCGATGATAAACTCGCTTCCGCCATTGAGACTATTTTGACTCCAGGTAAACCTGAATACCAATGTAAACAAACCTGGTCATCTCAATACGTCCTCAAGTCCGTTAAATGTGGTCATGTTGCTTCCGCTCAAACCAATGTCATCGCTAATCTTACCATGGATTATGTCAAGACTGAATCAAGATCTTTGGCTGCTCCTCTTGAATCATTCCGACGAAGTCAACTTCATGCTTCTCGAGTTGAATTACCAAAGAAAACCATCACCGAAGTAACCAACTCATTGACTCACCTTTGCCAATCCGTTGACAACCAAATCAAGTCACAATCTCCATCAGCTTTCCGAGAGTTTGCTCAATCATTGGAAACTTTGAAATACGATGAATTGAAAAAGGTCTGGAACTCATTGATTTCTGGTCAAATCCACGAGTCTTGCTCAAACGATCGAGTCAAGATCATGTTCGTCGATGCTATCCTTCAAAGCCGAACTGGTTCAGGTCTTAAGCTTTTGGTTAAAGATTTGTACAAGGTCAATACGTTTCAGAAATGAAATTGAAGTCCGCCATCTACTCACTTATCTACCGACCATCACCTTGTGCCGAAACCATGGATGCCATCACTGAGCTTCTTCGAGGTGAACGATCATTTGTTCAAACTCTTTTCGGAATGACCGCTGCTATCCAACGATACTACGAACTTACCCATGATCGAGTTGTTGCCTCCGTTGCTCTTGACATGGTTATCGCTCGACTCCACAAGGCCAATGAAGACCAAAAGGTTGTCATTGTCCGAGCTTTGTCTAACGTTCGATTCGATGCCGAGAAAATCATCAAGGCTTTCGAGAAGTACTTCGACTCTGCCAAACCTGAACTCAAAGTTGCCATCATTGAGACTCTTAACTTAGTCGACTCATGTCACGAATCAGTTTACGGTAAAATCCGACAAATGGTTCTTGAAACCAGCCAACCAAATGAAGTCCGAACCCGAGCTCTTAAGGTTTACCTTCGATGCGCTGATGATGAAGCCGTTTCACAACTTAAACGACACATTGAATCACGATCAGAGGATGAACATTTCATCTCATACGCTGACTCTTACCTCCGAAATGCTTTGACCACCATGAACCCAGACAAACAAGTCGTCAAGGTGATTGCCAATCTTGGTCAATCATCATGGAAAGAACCTAAATTGACCATGGCCCGAAACATTGAATTCTCAAAGATGACACCAGAAGGTAAATTTGGTCTCAACTACGAAATCGACTCAATCGTTGAAAATGGTCAAGAAGCTCCAGTTTGGATGGTTCTTAACTCATCAATCCCAATCCGACGAGTCAACGCTCTTAACTTCGAGATTGGTGTTCGACAAGAAGGTTTAGACAAATTCGCCACCAAATTGTTCAACAAACTTTCACAAATCAAGGCCCAAAACTGGGAAAAGATCATCAAGGAAGCCAAAGACCGAAAAGACTACCAACCAATCGTCAAAGAATTGACCCAAATCATCGAAGAGATCCAACAATTGGCCGCAAAGACCGCTAAAGTCTCTGCCTACATCAAGATCAACGGTGTCACCCTCTTCTACATGAATGCTGCTGAAAGCTCATTCGACCGACGAGAATCTCTCCAACGATTGATCATTGAAAACACCGAAGCCCGAAAAGCCATTGAAGCTTCACTTGGATGGATGCTCATTGACTACAAGGTCAACTCTCCATTGGCTTCAGGTCTCACCCTCCGATACAAACACGAAGGTTCAATCATCCCTGGTCTCAAAGCTTCATTGAAAGCCCAATCTACCTCAAACGACCACGTTTTCGGTTTCTACCCCAACTTCGCCGTTGAATTCGTTTACGGTCGAGAATTGGTTCTCCAAAAACCCGTCGCCAGCAAACTCGTTAAATTGAACTTGAACTCTGATGTTGTTCTTGATGGTCTTCACTCTCTCATCCGATCTGGTGAAGGAAAAGCCCACAAGTTCGTTCTCAACACCAAAGATGAAATGGATCTTCTTCGATTGGAAGTCTCAAAGGTCACTCGAGACGCCAATGGAGTCGAAATGAAGGAATCAGCTTACCCAAGCCTCCGACAAAAATGGTGCTCAACTGAATACACTGAAAAGATCTTCGGATTTGTTTTCTGTTTCGATGGTCAAGAAGAAGTTAACGCTCTTCGAATGAAGGAAGATGCTCGAATCATCCGACGATTATACGCCAAGAAAACCGACAAGAGTCTCAAGACTTACGAATTGATTGTTAAGATGGACGAAGGTGTTCGAGGTTTCATCCTTGACACTCCAAACACCAAAGTTAACCGAAAGGTTGAAGTTATGGTTGGACGATCAGGAAACTTCAATGTTAAGAAAAACTTTGCTGGTAAATTCTGGGTCTCAGTTAACTTACCTGTTAAATCAGTCGATGTTAATGTTTCAGCTGCTTTCCCCACTGGTCAAGAATGGATCGTCACTCTTGATTCCCGAGTTGACCGACAACTTCACTCTGCTCGAATCACCTTGGCTCCAAAATCAAACCGACAACACATTCTTAACTTGATGGTTAACTCACCTGCTCTCCGAGAAAAGGTTGACTACGATCTTACCTTCACCAGCCCAATGGAAGCTGAAAATGAAATGATGGCTCAAATTCACTCAAACCGATCAGGTAACAAGCGAAACCGACTTGCCCTCGTCAAGGTTATCCGAAACCAACAAGATAAAAACAAAATGGTCAAGATTGAACTTGAATTGAACAACGAGCGATCTGAAAAGATCATCTCACTTTTGGTCGATGGTTCAATCAAGGGAACTTACCCAACCATCAATGCCATCCAATACAACGGTAAAGTTGAATACCGACGACGACAAGGAAAGATGGAAACCGTTCAACTTAACGGTAACCACAAGGTTGACACCACCGGAGAAGCCAAGGCTTTCACCAACAACTGGGAACTTAAGACCACCCAATGGCCACGAGTTAACGGTAAAACCACTCACAAGATGTTCTTGAAGATGGGCGAACATTTGGAAAACGAGGTTGAAGCTCGATGGGGCCGAGACTACGAACAAGAATCAACCCTTAACCGAGTCATCTTCCGACAAGTTTCATCCGTCAAAACTGGTGCCAAGAATGTTGAAATGAAAACCAATGTTATCATTGAGAACCGAGCTCGACAATTTAACCACAAGGTTGAAAGCAAGATCACTTACGTTCCAAAATCAATGGAAATGTTCAAATACGAAATTGTTCACACCGACTTGAACCGACCTGAAAACAATCACGCTTTGGTTATCGACCACAAGTTGATCGCTCAACAAGAAGGTAGCTTGTACGTTAATGTTTCATCAATTGGATCACGAAGTGTCAAGACCACTTACTCACTCAACAAAATGGCTCCTAAATTGAACGCTATCTACAAGAAACAATCAGCCGACAAGACCATCCGAGGTTACCAAGTTTCTGCTTCTCTTAACCGAGAATCAGCTAAGAAATCAGCTGACTTGGAAATCACCAACTTCCCTGAAAACAAACAAATTCTTAAGACTGAATTCGACTTGACCAAACAACGATCAAAGGCTATCGGTTCCCTTAAAGTAACTTTACGAGAATCACCAATTGTCAACGCTGAATACGAACGAAGCGCCGACCAAATCTCTGGTAAAATGACTGTTCCTCGAACTGGATCACTTGAAGCCAACCTTGACCGACGAATGAAATCAATCCGATTCATCACCAAGAACTCAAATGACTGGACTCATGAATTTGTTGCCTCCGCTGGTGAAGTTAAGGAATTGAAATCTAAGACCCTTACTGGTGTTTCATCTGTACCAAACTTTGAAATTCACTACAACCCAATCAAAAAATCAATGAAATTGTCACTTCGATCAATGAAGACCGATTTCCACTCTGAACTTAAAGACTACACTAGTGAACCAGTTTTACTAGTTGAATTCAAGTGCGCTGAACACGCTGACAAACATTTGACTCAATTCAAATGGTTGAGGGAATCATTCATGTTCACCTCTGAACACGAATCAAAGGGAATTAAGGTTTACAACACTGAGATCCTTACAGAAGGAAAACCAAACGAGAAAATCATCAAGTTTAACTTTAAGAATGGTAAATTCGAGACTCGAGTCCAAAATGTCTACAACTACGATCAACGAACCCTCAAGACTGACTTTTGTCAACCGCTGACAACTTCGAAACCAAGATCAACTCTCGAGTTTCTCTCCCCGCTCAACGAGGTCGATTCTCTCAAATGGCCAAATCTGAGCCATCAAAGGTCGACATGAAGGTTAACATCAAGATGAACGGACGAGAAACCTCAATGATCTTCAACAACGAACAATTGACCAAATTACATCTTCAACACCGAACCCGAAACAGTGTTCCATTTGTTGTTGACAGTAAATTCGAATCAGAAAAATGGACCATCATTGGTAACGCCGGTGAACTCAAATACAACTTGATCATTGTCCCACAATCAGCTGTCAAGTCAATTGATTTGGGTCTTGAAGGTTACGGTAAACAAGCCAAGCTCAACTTAGCTTTGAACAAGGAATCATCCCAATGGGTCGCTGTCGCTGAATCAAAACTTACCATCAACGGTGAGAAGAAATTCGACGAGAAAATTGAAGGTAAATTCGCCAAAAATTTGATCGCTGGTCCACACTCAGTCTCAATCAGAAACTTCGAACAAGAAATGAACGTTGTCTACAAACTCGATGATAACAAACTTGAACTTACCTTGGTCGCCACTGAGGAAGGTCAAAAGCTCATCAATGCCAAATTCAACGGTGACAAATTCACCCGAGGAAAAGTTTGCAGCGTTTCAGGTAAACTCGAACTTTCATCTGAAAAATACCAATCACTCCGACAAACCGTCTACGAACTCAAATACAACCGAGATGGACGAAAAGTTGACGCTCAAGTTGAAAAGAAAGGTACCAACCCAATGACCATGAAGCTTTCAGCTGATATCGCTCGAGAATCAGCTAAAGTTAACGCTGAAATCAATGGACGAACCGCTTCAGGTAAACAACGAAAACTTGTTGTCGACTACAACCGACTTAACAAGATCGATTTCTCCGTCAAACTTTACGACATGTCTAAGGTTGACTCTGAACTCGGAGTTTCCATTCCTTTGGTTAAAATCGCTGAATTCATCGGTAACGAAGCTTCACTTTACCTTAAGTCAAAATCTTTCGACTCAGAGATCGCTCTCTCACTCAAGGCTCCAACCAAGACTTCAGTCACCGGTTTAGCCAACATCAAGGTCCAAGGACAACAAATGCTCCAATACAACTTGGCCATTAACGATGGTTCATCAATCCAATTCTTTGGTGCTGAGAAACTCAACAACCAATTGACCAACCCAATCGCCGTTTCCAATGAAATCATCTTCAAAGGTAAACAAATCTTCACCCACCACGTCTTGGTCTCAGATAACCTCATCTCTCTCAAGACTGAATCACCAAACCATTTCAAGATCAACCAAGCTTTCATCATGAAAGAAAAGCTTCCTGAACTTTTGGGTAAATACTGTTTCGGAAACTCTTGCTCAAAGATGACCTCAAAATGGACTCTTGGACAAAAAGGTTTAATCGAAATGAACATTGAAGGACCAAAAGGTGCCGAACAAAAGTACGACATTTACTTCAAATGGAACGGAGAAGAAGGTAAAGAATATGGTTCAGTTCTTTTCGTTAACAACCAACGAAAATACGGTCACGAATGGTCTCGATTAGTCAAGAACCAATACAACACCGTTTACGAAAGCAAAATTACTCTTCCAAAACGAGTTATGACCATCACCACCACCAAAGATGTCAAGACCTCATCTGATGAGAAATTCATTGGTTCATACACCATCATGATCACCCCAAAGGAAAACGCTGAGACTCTTAAGATCACCTTGGAACGATCCGTTAAACGATCAGCCAACAACTTGAAATACGATCATCACATTACCTTTGAACACAAAGCTCTTACCCGACCAATTAAAATGATCACCTCAATGAACCTCGTTAAATCTGATGCCCAACGATACAACCTTTTGGGTGTTAAATCCGCTGACATGAAAATGACCCTTAACTATGACGGTGAAAACAGTCACGATCTTAACTCTGCCCTTTTCTGGGAAATTGTTGAAGACAAATTGACCTACAACTGGAGAGTTTGGCAAAAAGAGGAAAAAATTGACTTTGGATGCAAAGGTGAACAACTCACAACCGGAAGCATCAAAGCTAAATTATTCCACTCACTTAAGGACTACTCATGCCACTGGGTTGACCGAAATGGAGAACGAAAGGAAATCAAGCGAGAGCAAAAAATCTCAATGGGATCAGAGATTCTTGGTGGTCTTCCACGAATTACCTTCCACGATAACCTCAAACACCCACTTGGTTCATACTTCTACAACGGTACCTTCCACCTTTTCGAGGCCATTAAAGACGCAACCATTGACTTCCACACCCAAGACGGACAACGATACCACCTCCAAGCTAAATTCGATACCACCAAGCAAGAAAAGTGTTTAGAAATGTCTCTTTTCGAGAAAAATAACGAAGAAGAAAAGTACGGTCTTCGAAGTTGTTTCAACCCAAAAGCTCGAGCAGGTAAATCAGTTTTCCTCTTCGAAATGATCACTTTCGGTAAAAAGGTTAACATGGCTGACGGTGAACGAAAAGCCACTTTCACAATCAACCGAATGAAGGACTTTGCCAGCGACTATCTCATCTCACTCATCTGGGACACCAACACCATGGCTCAGGCCACTGTAAGTATCAAAATCGAAAGACAATTTAGAAAATGAAAGTTAATCTAACTCTCTCTCTCTCTCTCTTAATCTTAATTTAGTACCAAGCCATTGATGCCGTTGAACAAATGTCAAACAAACGAACTGCCATGATCAACGAACGAGACGCTGAATTGAAGGCCAAGATGGACTACATTCGATCATCTCTTGGAGAACACATCAACAAAGCCAAGCGAGAATTTGACAACCAAGTCGACGATTTAAGCAACGAAATGAGACCTGAAGTAGAAATGTTGGTTCGAGCCATCAACAAACTCGCCAAAGCCACACGACCCAAACGAGCCATCTCATTGATCCGAAGTGATGAACATTCAAAGGCCGACCTCACCTCACCCATGTCTTACGAATGGAAAGAATATGACATCGACAATGGTCGACTTGAATTAATTCTTCGAAATGTTGAAGCTCAAAAGGTTCCTCAATTTGTTTACAAAGTTATTTTTCGAAATTATTTGACTCAAGTTTAGGACAATTTACATAGATAATTCTAATTAACAATCTAACTCAACCAAACTAGAAACAAATTAATTTGCTCCAAGTTAATTGCGTTTTATTTTTTCTCTTAAAAATCTTTTATCCTTTCACCTTTCACCAACCACCCACTTTCCCAATCTCTCTCTCTCTCTCTCTCTTCCCTTTTAATTTTTAATTGTAATTCCAATTGTTTTGTTAAATTGTAACAATATGATTGAAAAAAAAACACTCAACACATAACGATGTCTAAATTTTATGGTTGTTACCCTGTTCAATAAATTATAACATTTCAAATTACCAGCATTTGCCTCCAATTTTGTGATATCATAAAAGTTGAAATATTAATAGAAGGGCAAAAAAAAAGAAAGTAACAATTATCGAGAAGATAAAAATTACCAATGAAAAGAATACAAAAAATTATGTCAGAAGTGGGGTTCGAACCCACGCCCTCAATTGAGGACCAGATCTTAAGTCTGGCGCCTTAGACCACTCGGCCATCCTGACGGAATAAATAATTCTAGGATATGTAAATATAAAAATGTAATCACAATTTATATTAATCATTATTTTCTAATTGTTAGACAACAATTAAATTTTAATTGTTGTTTGTGTATTTATAGACATTTAACTTATTCTGTGTGTAGGTGGAGAGTGAGGAGTGTTCACCTTTTTTCTCTAGCATATTTTATATCAAATACTTTGTAATTTAATGATTGTAATGTAGTTGTGTCATTGGAGATCCCGGAAGTTTATAGTTAATTGAATTTCAAGTAATCATAATTTAATTGTTGTTGTTTTTAAACCAGATATTTAAACAGTCGTAAGGATTAATTGAATTTGTAATTTCTTTCATTTGTTTAAATTAAAACTTGGTGTCATCACAATTAAGGATAAGGAAGTTAAACTTTTTGTTTGTTTTCAATTCAATAAACAACATTGAGTTTGGGATAATTGTTTCAATCGGTTTTAATTGTTGTACTATATTTGTCCTTGATAGAGTAACCAGATTTTGATTAGTTAATTGTGATTAGCAAATTAATTTTTAAAATAATTGATTTTTGATCGTTCAATTGTCTCTAGTTTGTTCCTGATTATCCTTGAATGGGAACAAAGGTTTTAACAATTGATTAAAGTAGTAATTAAATTAAACAGCAAGAAGGTTAATGAACAACAATCAAAATTTAATCAAACAATTTAAATTACCATTGAAATTAATTGTTAGCTGATTGTAACTCCCAAGCCTCACCTTACAACGGTCAAACTAATACAAACAATGGTCAAGATTTAATTTCAATGGAAACTAATTGCTCCTTTCAGGGATAATTGTGTCACTTTTTTTTCCCAATCAGATAAATAATTAAATCATCATAATGATGAAATGAAGATAATTATGATGATGATGTTAATAATTTACCAGAAATAACTGATTTCCAGTCCACACCCTAAATCGATCAGTCAAATTCAATATTCTGACAATTTAGTTTGGTGATTGTTGTTTGGTCAGTTGTGGTTCCTCAGTTGGTCAACTCATTGTTGATTTTTTTTCCCTCTCTATTTAATTGTAATCATCTGATAATCTCCACCATAAGCAATCAATTCAATTGTTTCTAATGATAAACGTTTCATGTTTGATTAAAATTATATCCACTCCTTAGCGATCAATTATCAACAATTAGATCAATAATCCTATTCACTTAATTGATCATTCAAGTTGATTGCCAATGGTAATTATCAGACTTATTATCATTACTTTCATTTGAATGTCAATTAAAAATCATCAACAATCAAATCAGTTTTAATTCAGTTTTGTTTCTATCACTATTATTAATTATAATTTCACTTGTATTCATTGATAAAGTATAAAAAATAAATAAATATCCATTCAATTGATTGTTAAATTAATCACTTGGGTAATAAATCAAACCTTACAATCAAATTGCCAATACACTTTTGTTAATCTAATCCAATGAATGATTGTTAATTCATTTCCACTTCATTCAAACAACAACAACAACAATCAACTATTGACCATTAGTTTAATAATCTTAGTTAACTAATTGCTCCCCAACAATGGACAAGGTCAACGATCATAATAACCAAAAAACTTTAATCATTTAGCTGATTACGAAATGATCCAAACCAACAATCAACTGTTTTAAATTATAAGTGACCTCTAAATGGAAGACAACAATTAACTACCTGATTGTTACTCTAAACTTTCCATCAACAATTAACAATATTTCACCATAATCATAATCAAACTGTTCCGTTATATTAAATACTAAGGCCAAGGTAAGTTAATTACTATCACCGAGAACGTAAACTAATTGTGAATTAACTTTCGTAACAATTAGTAACAATTAACTCGTCATTCTAAACACCATAGAAAACTTATCATCAAGTTTAACCTTCGAAGGTCAATTCCAAGTCGATTTGAGAAAAGTTCTAAAAATTTTTTTTTTCGACAATTCGATTGTGAACATTTTCAATTATCTTTTAATTGTATCTAATCATTTGTTCATTGACATTTAATTTGATTATCAAAATTTGGAGAAGAAAAAGAAAATTCTAATTAACTAGAAAATGTCAATAATCTTTCCTTACTTAGAAAACCCAAAGAAACTCCTTCTTTCTCTTTCTTTTCCTCTGTCTACTTTTTTCCTTTAAATTCTCTTTCATTTTCTCTTTCTTTTTACTCTGTCGCATTTTCTTTCTCAATCTCACTTCTCTCATCGATGGAACAACAACAAAAACATCTAAACAATAATAAATTTTTAGATAAGGTTTTTAATCTAGTTCTCTGCGATTAAATCTCAATTGAATTTGTGATTAAATTTCAACTGAATTTGTGATTAAATTTCAATTAAACTTGTGATTAAAATTAATTAAATTTGTTCCCTCAATTGATCATCCGGGTCTTCAAGTTCACGAGAATACAAGTGAAATCTACCTGAAGCCAACTAAATATTAGTGATCCTCCAGATCTAATTGTGAACATCAATCAAAATCACCTGCCCTTTCTCTATAACAAATCACCTCCAAAATAAGAAAGTGGAAACTAATTGGAAATAGAACTGTCAGCGAACATCATCACCGACAAAATGCCACCCAAACCAAAGGTAAGAACAAGACAGAAAGATGAAACAACCACAAATGTATTCTAATCAAATGTATTCTAATCGAATGTATTCTAATCAAATGTATCTACAAAACCTTACAGACTCCAATACTATTCCGTCGTGGAAAGTAAACGAAAAATTCAGCGAGGAAGAATATAAAACAGCAGTCGAAAGAATCAGACAGATCTTCGGCAATGACAACAACAACTCGAAAGAGACATTAGGAAATTGCGTGCCTAGACTCAGACACGCTGAGCAAAGACATAGAAACGGTACGACTAATGACATTGGACCCGATTGACACGATGGGTAACATCATTAAAAAACACAAGCTGACACCACTGAGAGGCGCGATCAGTAAATTAGAAAACGCTCTTAAGAAACGGGATAGAGCAGCTAACGCCGAAACTGCGGTCGCCGTGGAAGAGGAATCTGAATCCTCAGCATCCTCATCGGACGAAGAAGCACTTAATGAAATACAACCTCAGAAAAAGAAACTAAGAACATCATTGAACATCATGAAAAAGATAAACCCGAAACACCAACGAACTGGTGGAAATGGGATGAAATGCAAAGATTCTTCAGATTGGTAGTAGAAGGACCAGCAGAAAAACGAACCGTCCACAAAATCACTGAAATGATTTCCCGCCTCGACAGAATATACAAATTCAGAGTAATTGCCTGGAAAAAACTATCCATCATAATCACATACACAGAGCAAGACAGATCGGAATTACAACAAACACTGAAAGACGAGAGTCTAACCTTCTCGACACCCGAATGGCAAAACCCGAAAATAAAACTACTATTTATAAAACCACCAGAGAACGAATCTTGGAACACGTACATGACTCGCATAATGAGACTAAACGGGTTCAGAGACCCGAAACAATTCAAATTAAGAAGCTACTTCGACATGGACAGAGGTGAAAAATTCGGCGTGGTAATGGAGGTCAGCCCGGCAATCCGATCAGCGATCGAACAATCACTGAAAGGAAGGATGTCGGTAGGCTACACCTTCGTCACAGTACGAGACTCTTTCGATGTTATAAATTGCCGATTATGCCAAAAATTCGGGCACACCAAAAACAAATGTGTAAACCAAATGAGGTGCACACTCTGCTCAGAAAGGCATACAAAAGCCAACTGCAAAAATACGGAACGAAGATGCGCTTCGTGCGAGAAACCAAACCACTCAGCGTACTCGCAACAATGCATATTATACAAGAGCGAACTGCAAATGGCCATTTCGCAGATCGACTACCACTACGATTTCTTAATGATGTAGAAAAGCTGACTCCGAACTGAGGTCGCCGTGAGAAAAAGAAAATTAATAAATAAGTAAACACTCTCAAGAAGATTAAACTAATCCATAGCCTGAGAAGAAGAAAATAAAGAAAAACGAATAATCCCAAACTAAGACTGACAACAATAAAACTTGAAACTAACATTATCCTGTAAACAAACTAACAATCAGAACTCATTGAAACCAATTAACCTTCACTTGTAAAACCGAAAACTGAGAATTAAATAAAATAAAGAATTAAAACCAATCAAAACTGATTAAGTCTCACAGCCTTAATAAAATAAACATAAACAAGAACAGGTTAAGCCAGGCCAGAGGCCGAAAACAGAATTAAAACTACCGGAGGGTCAAAACAAATAATCACAAACAACGAAAGAATCACGACAACCAAGAAACATTTAAACACAAGTGAAGATGGACTTGACACCAGAACAACTAGTTAAAAAGTTAATAAATGACAAGTTAGTAAACACCAAATTCACCGAGTGGTATGAAAATACAAAAAATCTCCAAGAAACGCTAACAGACCTGATCGAACTAGATACCGAAGAGTTCGAAAGAAAATGGAAAGTGGATAAACAAGTGGCCACGGGTTTAAATGTGGTAACATCTCTACTGACACAACAAGACAGTGATTGGAAGCCCCAACAGCCCAGAAGAAACTGCTCCAGATCATCGAGCGACAACCATTAGAGGAAGAATTCGACCCCTATGTGGACGACTGCTTGGACGAAGAGATTGTGATCTACCACAGCAAAAACAAGAAATGGACACCACCAGACTTGATCAAGACCAGGATTAAAAAGACACTAGAGGGGAAGAGGAAAAAAGTACATGTGCTAAAACGACCACTCACGACAGACATAATAAGT